ACGATCGTCAGCATAAAAACCGTACTGTACAGCAGCCTTTTTTTCCCTAGTAGGAGGGAGAAGAAAGAAGGGGCACAGTACACACTCTGCCGTTTTTGGAAACACCTGATCATGCTCTGGTTCTGGTACCTGGTACAATTCTACCGCGAGAGCTGACGTGAGACAGCGCTTTTGCCTGATAAGAAGACAAGGAATAAACTTACTGGACTGTGCAAGTTTTCTGCTTCGCACGAGGAAGTTTCTTCTTCCTTCTAGTGAGGGCAAAAATGAAATGGTTGTTCCCATTTAACGGTTTACCTTCGAAGCTAGAGTTTCTGCAATATATAGGAATCGGATTTGTGACGTCTATAAAATAAGACACGTCTTGGCATTATATAAGAATACGAGGGGGTACCGTGGGACCGTCATGCCAAACGCAATTTGGATCATGACTAGCTCTTTTCATTTTGCTTAGAGCGCAATTATTTGTGTCAGCGAGTGAGATATGCAGCGACCACGGTAGCTCGAGGCAATAACAAGCAACAATCATACTATAACAATGAACTGCAAGCTAGGCGCTTTCAATCTATTTGCTTCTTTTATGTATGTTTATTGACTCTAAAGTCGTTGTATTTAAAACTTGTTGATATGCAACATGCATTCAGGCGGTGATCCCTCCTTGATAGACATTGTCTACTGCTTTGGCCCATGCGAAAGAGGAGCCTTCTTATCGGTAAGCTGGAAGTGATCTTCGATCTCACGGGAGCTTTCTCGAGTAATTTCCACTGCTGCGGTAAGAATTTCCAATTGACTTTGGTAGGGAGGAGTAGAAGTAGAAGTAGGAAGAACAAAGGATGGCATTCGAGGAGCTGGTCTTGGGGAAGATTGGAAGGATAATGCAAGGAATGAGATGAGAGAGTCTTCATCGTGACTTTCTTGCATGCGTTCTGGTGAATGGCATGCGAAGGTTGTTTCGTTGTTTGGCATTGTGTTGGTTGCTGATGATTCGTATTGGGGGATGATGGAACTGTGTTGTTGTCTGGAGACGAGATTATTTGTGAGAACAAACAATATTCTTGGAAAACAGCTGACGATTGTCAGTCCGAGTACCGCATGAGAGTACCTCACGCTTTCCCCCCTGCAGTAGCAAGACCGAACAATTCTGCAACGATAATTACGATCGTTGTCAGCGTTAGGGTTTTCTCTCCCTAGCAAGACAGAAGGACGATAAGTACGATAGGTTTTTCTCCCCAGCAAGAAGGAAAGATGGCTGGGACTGCCGTTTAATGTGGTCCCATTTCCCGGCCGTTGCGATTTCGCCTTCTTGGACTGAGGTAGCGAACCAGGAGGTGTCATATGGGATGTGTAAATGACTATCAAATATCTGCGCCTGCAGAATTGGGTCCCGTCGAATCCTAACACTAAAGCCTTCCTACCGGTACCTGGTACAGGCAATCATATTTACAGCAGCAGATAGTACCGGTACCCAACTGAGTTACGAGTGCACTACTAGTATTCACTGCTTGCGGAGTACTCCTTCTTGGCTGATACTATGTTATGTGGACAGCTCTTTAGGACCGTGAGAATGAATCGATCACCCAATTCTTCTTCTGCACAAAGGTTGTGACGTCTTATAGGCAAGAGCAAACCGCATCCAGCTTATGCTTCCCACGCCTGGTATAATATACTATTCCCATAAGATGGCTTCTTGGACGAACTCCGCCTATAGTATTCAGTAGCTTCTTGATTCGAGCAGCAATCATGGTCTGGACTAAGCAAGCTATGGGCGATAGAATCGCCTCTTTTTGGTCCGCAACCTTATAATATACGAGTACCGATACTGGTAAACTATTTTATTGTGAGACCTATCAGTTACCAGTACCACACCGTATCAGAAATGTTGCCATCAAAAGTAGGTATATACTTCAATGACACTCTAAACTTGTCGACTCTTTCGACTCCAAGAAAAGAAAACAAGCGAAGAGCAGAGAGACACCCCTTGAACCAATTATAATACTGTATAATATAATAATCATCGCAGCATCAGACCTGACATTCAAACGATTCTTGGCTTGTCTTCCAAAGTCTTCAGCGGTTGGCTGTGAAGTCCTCTTTAGACACCTTTGTTATTCTACGAAACCATGACAATCCTGATGAACAACTGGTGTCCAATGTGTGAAGAGGCGTGTCATGATCACTCCTCGATTTGTACTGTTTGCGGGACATCCTTGGAAGCACCACCGTCGAGATCCACCACGGCAGCGCCATTGTCTGCAACAAATAATAACGACGGCGAGACCTTTCGACTAATCCCAGAATTCATGACGCAAGATCTGAGACAAGCCGGTCGAGAACTAAGGGATGTCTTGTCTCTCAGTCGATCTCTTGCCAACAATGATGGAACTGGAACGACGAATATCAACGATGACGGGGAATGGCAAGCGATTCCTGCGGAACTACTAAATCCCCAACCAACGTCATCACAAGTTCAGCCTACCTCCAAAGCTTACCTTGACCGAATGCCACGATTTTTATTAGAAACCAACAGCTCGATATTCCGTCAAGCAACCATGCAGCTGACAATCGATGGAGGGGGAGCTGACAACAGCAGCGGCACAAGTCAGAAGATTTCTATATCCTTGGTCCCAGGAGAATTTGGACCTTCCGAAAACTGTTCTTTTTCAGACTGTCCCATGATTGTGGCATCGCCTCGCACTGGAAAGGGAGGCAAGCTTTCCGAAAGTACAAAGCAGAGTATGATTCAGCAAGAGAAAACACTTGGCAATCAGTGTATAGTCTATTTGGAACGTGGTGATGGGGTATCCTTTGTCCAAAAAGCCATGTTGGCACAAGACTGCGGTGCAGTAGCGGTTGTCATTGGAAATTCTCTGACGGAACCTTGGCCATATGTAATGCAAGATTCCAATAAGGATGGAGAGCGATTGGGACTAACCATTCCCGTGGCCATGGCCAAAAAAGAAGACGGCAAACATATTGTGGATCTATGTGCCAAAAATGAGGCTTCCGTCACTGCCAAGTTTGAATTTCAGCAATTGTCGCGGGATTGTGCCATTTGCACAGAATCACTGAAAATCTCTGAGAAGATCTTGCAACTGCCAGCGTGTGGCCACATATTTCACGAAGCCTGCGCTATGAAATGGTTGACCAAGCACCACAACTGTCCTTATTGCCGAACCCTTTTGCCAACAGATGATAGAGATGGCAATACTGTCATGCCAAATCGTGGAGACAGTAGTCTGGAATGGGGGCAGTATTACGCGTAATATAGTATAAAATACAGTCAGTATAGACGATTTTGAAGGAGAATGATGGATGTGTTGTATAATATATTATATCTCTCGTTGATTTTTTGAAAAGCAAGCGCCTATTGTTGGAAGAAGAAAATTAGGAAGACAAATGTTCGATGATTGATTCCTTTTCCGTCGACAAGTTCTTGGGCCAAGAATCTTGCGGCGGCAAGCATGGTAATAAGACGTCCGTTTTGCAACTCCTTGGTTTGCATGGTAGCGAAGTCAGCTGGGTCCTCGGGTTTCAAGCCAAGAGGGTCGTATCCAAGGTTTCGTAGGAGGATGCGTGTTGGTCAACAAATCTACAATCACACAACACCAGCCATTCCTAGATCGATACAGTAGTATAATAGGCAGCTAGTAAGAAGATGCATCTGATTTGATGTTAGCAATATCGATGATATTAAAACTTGAATGTGATAAGACATAATGAAAACTTGTATATGATAAAACATAATCACATGAATTCTTGTGGAGAGGCTTCTCGACCCTAGTTCATCATTTTTTGCGCTTCGTAGTGCGGAGCAGCAACTTGTGCATCGGGCATGGGTTGCGCTGGTTCTGATGGTGGCAATGTTGGGGCGTTTTGTTGTTGTTGTGCTGGTGGTGCCGGAGTGCTCTTCGGAGATGCCGTGGTGCCCAAAATGTCCTTTGACGCAAACTCGTGTTGAAAGGCTCCAATCACTTCCTTGTGACGGGGGACAAAGATGGTTTGGCTGATTCCACTCCACGGATCATAGGCCCAATTACTTTGTGGAGTATAATTCGTATTGCGGTCGGACCAGTGCTCCAAGAAGTACTCATTTCGGCAGCCAGTCTCGTCGAAGCCCCATTGGAGACCGACATCCTTCAAACTGGTGCTGGTTGTGGTGGTGGAAAGCGATGATGGTTGCGATCCAGGAATGACAAAGGCATCTGCACTCAAGGACAAGACAAGGAGGGTAGAAGTGATAAGTTTCATGGTTGGGTTTGTCGGGTTGTTGCTTGGATAAGGTAGTAAAGAACTGAAAGATTAGGTACCGGTATGTCGATGACACCAACAACTTCAGGAAAAGTTCCGTATGTGCGTACGTCACTGCATACACCTAATTTCGTAGTCTGTGATTCCAGATTCCATCCAGCCAAAACCCTTCACATCATCATCATTTCGAAACGATCTATATTTTCACCATGGGACACCTCCAAGAATCATCCAAATCAGCGCAACCCGAAAATGCACGGTGTTGCTGAACAATCCAATGTTGAAGCATCAGCTCCATTACACCAGTCCATAAACGAGGAAGCACAATCAGAATGCAAAGACCAAATAACGACTTCCGATGATTCACCACCTGTGATTATTCAGAAAGAACTCGTCATGATTGGTGCAGGTCCACATGCCCTCACCTTGATGCTGCGATTGATCGAACCTGATCCTGACCTTGAAGATGAGAAATCACGTCACGAGAAGATGGATTTCTTGAGCAAGATGCGACCGATGGCACACGTAAGACGACACATTAAGGAGTTTCAAAAAGGATCGGCTCACATGCTGAAACAAAAGACGAAACGGAAGAAGAGTAAAGATGGTGATCAAAGTCCGTCCATACCAGCAAGTTTTGTCAAGGAGAATTTCCTGGTCGTGGATGCTTCGGCTGATGAACCTTGCAGTCTGCATGGATGGATGGGACACTGGCAAAAGAACTTTGAAATTATGGAAATCAGTCAGCTTCGATCACCCATTGCCGCCCATGCAGATCCTTATGACCATCGCACGTTAGAGCTGTATGCGGAAGCCCAAGGTAGAAAGGAAGAATTGATCATGTTGCCACACATTCCAAGGAAGTACGGTCGATGGGACTTTCACGGGCCATTCAACGCGCCATCCACCAAACTGTTTCGAGACATGCATCGAAAGTTGATTGAAGCCTATGGGGTTGATGAGTTGGTGCTTCCCGGTAGAGTTAAATCAATACAAGCCAAGAAATGTCCAACTACCGGATCACCGTTGTACATCCTTTCTATTGCATTGAAGGGAGGAACTCGCATGTTGGTGGAGACACCACGACTTGTCTCTGCCATGGGTCCATCACCGCCCAAGAATCTATCCATGCCTTGGTTGAAACGGGTCGATGCTGCAGGATGCATTCTTCATGCACGTGATATCGTACCCTTTATTCAAGCTTCCAAGCAGCAGCCGCAATACCTGCCAAACGGATTGAAAGCGACAAAACCGTTGGACATACTTGTGGTGGGTGGTGGTATCACCAGCGCCCATCTCTGCATTGTGGGAGCCCGCCAAGGGCACTCCGTAACTCTTGCCCAGAGAAGTCCGACATTGGTCCGTCAATTCGATGTAGAAGACGTTTGGATGGGACCAGCACGGGGGAAACTATTGGATAAGTTTCATTCAGAGGAATGCATGGTGGAGCGGGCCAAGGCCTTGCGAGAGGCTCGCAAGGGAGGCAGTATGAATGCTGAAATGTTTGCGGCATTACAAAAGAATAGGCATGTGACGATTCAAGAAGAATTGGAAATTGCTGATGTTGTGGTGATTGAAGCAGATGATGTCGACGAAGATGGACGGCGGGCGCATCGCTGTTTGGTGTGGTTTGATGATGTAAGTTTGAATAATACAGAAAGGCTTTTCATCTGGATCAATTTCTTATTGAATGCTTATAATTCTTTAGGGTTCCGATCCAGTCGAGTTTGATCAAATTTGGTTGGCCACTGGGTTTACTCATTCCGTGAACAATACTCCAGTTTTGAAAGATCTATGCGATCAGCTTCCATTCGCAACGACACCAGCTGGTATGCCAATCTTGAATAGTGATTTGAGCTGGAAATTGGAACAAACCAAGGACAATGAATGCAATAGCGACGGAAGAAGCTCAGCTATCGAGCAGAACGAAACAGAAGATGATGAAGTTGAGGCTTCGTCGAATCTTTGGATAATGGGCCCATTGGCAGGGCTTACTCTTGGTCCAGATGCATTGAACTTGATGGGAGCCCGACATGGTGCTGTTCGGATAGCAAAATCACTACGGAATGATCCGCTGTGGCAAGATCTCGCAACAGAAGAATCTTAGACCAGATAGCATTGTGGTGAAGCCGATTTGGCAATGAAGCTGCTACCCATGAATGTAAAAAGACTGCCCCACTCTCGTTTATCAGAAGACTTCAGGATATTTGAATCGTAGGGGCTCGGGTGTAGTCCACTTCCTTTATTACCATGAAAGTGCTCATATTTTGAGCACACAAATTTACAAATATTGGATTTCATATCGAGTTTCATATCGAGTTTCATATCGACTGCAGCTTCAGCTTCAGTTCTTTCACCTTGCCGACAGCTCCCCATTCTTCATACAATCCAGCGGCCTTCGATAAATGGCGTGCCCATCCCGACTTGTCCCAGCCAATTTGCAACAGGAAGTCCCCATACCGTTCATTGCATACGGCGCTGTGCTGTAGGTGGCCCAATCTGTTCGCTGACTCTATCGCCTTTTGATAAAGTTTATCGATAGCATCGTAGCCTTTTGGACCTTTTCCATCATGTTCCGAATCGTAACCTGTCACTTTCAAGGCTGCGTGCTCGGCATCTAGCAGGAGATCATAGTGCTCAATGTTTGGGTTCCCATCTTTGACCCATTGCTTTATGATTTTACGGACCCTGGATGCCCTTGCCTGGTACTTCCGCTTTTTTGTCTTTCGAGCCATTACATAAAGTGCCACTCCCCTACCAACGTGCATGCTGTTGAGTTTGTTCTACTCTCAAGAGAAACTATGAAAGATCTTCTTACCTATGAAATGTTTCTTGCATTCCCAGAAAATATGCTGGACAACGCTTTTCAAACGTATCACCAAACTTAATAGACCTCTCTGCAGCTAATTCGTAGCTGGACGAAAAATACAATTCGCCCACTATAAGATGAGCCATGCCTTGGACACTTCCTGAACTTCGCAAGGGCTCTCTTGCGCTGTAAATGGATCCTTCGAGGTGCGTGCTCCTTCCCGTGCCAGTTGTCAAATTAAGTAAACCTTGCCACAGCATCTTCATTATCAGTGAGGCTTCATACTGGTAGTGTTCTTCCATGTACGAGACAAGACGAGGCAAAATCTGCAACAGTCTTGACAAAGGCGCGCCTAATACAAATGGGATCCATATCTAAGAGTTTGTGAGGTACCTTTGTGTCGGCATTATCTAAGGTACACCTGCGAAATTCTCGTACCTGGTACATGCCGAGCAGCCACATCGCCGGCTCCACATCACCAGCCCGCATTGATGACTGGTAGCCAAGTTCCAACGCCTTGATACAAACTGACAGGTCCTTCTTCCAGCAAAGACAAAATCCGTAAGTAGACAAAATGGTTTGGCCTTCTTTGAGAGGTGGAACGCTCTTTAGAATAGAGAGTGCTTCCTCAGAACACGCAACAACGGTTACAAATTTTTCCTTCATGATAATCCCCGAAAGAATTCCGAGATTGGCAACTCCAAACGGTGACAAGAAGTTCTTTCCGTGCTTCAGAGTCTGAAGTTCGAGGCAACAAAATCAGATTGAATGATTGAGGCAGACAACCACAACGAGATACAGCCCAGTGTCGAAGACTTACCATGTCTACAATATGGCAGAAGCTCAGAGCCGAGGTGAAGATGAGCTCAAGGGTGTATGACAAATAACCTATCCGTTCAAGAAGCTGGACAATGGCCAACTGTCTTGGATCAGTCATCTCCCCTAATGATGCATCCAGGGTCTTTGTCCCCATTCGTTTTTTCATAGCTTTCAACGTGCTATTAAGAGTTAGCATTGCCTGTAAGGGTAGCAAGACTCTGCCCCAACTAAACTTGTAACCAAGTTCACGTAACGTATCTAAGCACATCTTCAGAGCTTTCTTCTTCAATTCTCCATCTCCGCCGGATATTTTTCTTATGACTGCCATCCGAAACGGCATCTTCTCCATCGCCGAGCAATCGTCTCGTTGAAAGACAGCATTGCAATATGCTGCAGCAGCTCGATTATTTCCCAGCGCAATCTCTGTCTCGGCTCCCAAGGTGTATAAGTCCAATGTCAACTTTCTATGAAAAGTCCAGTGGTCTCTCGGGAGCATGGCGGCACCGAATTCCACGTACTTTGAGGCTGATTCCAAGGCTGACAAGCTCCTGGCCTTCACTGCGGCACGAAGGTTCAGAGCAGCTAGTTCCGGTCGAGTCGCCACGTTCCCTCGATTGATGAGATCTACGACGTCAAACAGATCGTCTTCCAGTTGCTCTTCATCCAATGCTGATAAAAGTGCCTTGCCTACTTTGCACTTGAACGAAGCAGATGCAGCTACATTCCCTGTCAGAGACATTGCAGCCTCTTGAATTCGATCGTGAACCCATCTGAAAGTGTTTTTGCCACATTCTTCAATTAAGGCTTCATCCTGCATAATTTTTAGCATCAAGGCCGTGTCAGTAGTCTCAGTGCCGTACTCAATCTGATGATCCTTCCATATGATATCAATGGTAGGCAGCGTGAAGGATGTTCCAAGGCAAGCGGCATATTGGAGCAAAAGCTGCACATCTTCGGGCATTTTCTTCATTCGGTCTTGCAACAAGTCGACAACTCCGGATGTATACCTTATCTGTCGTTGAATTCGGTAACTACACCACATCCATTTCTGCAATTCATTGTCGTAGGTAAGCAGTGATTCATTCTCCAGCATTAGCATGAACTGCAACACAAAGAATGGGTTACCAGACGTATATCTATAGCAGATGCTTGCAAGTTCTTCTGTCTCCTTTTCGTCCTCAACAGACATCATAGCCATTAACATCTCATTTACGGTATCTTCGCGACAGCTTTGAAGCTCAATCTCCGTAATATGAAACGAATATTTATCTTGCTTTTCCTCCAGACAAGCAATTGCGTTCAAAAGCGCACCTGCTCCAAAAACCTTGTCCGATCGATAGCATCCAATAATCATCAACTGATTTGTGTTCTGCAAGTCAGATACCAAATAATCAATCACTTGCAAGGATGACGCGTCGGCCCAATGCAAGTCATCTAATACCAGCACCATTGGAGAGTAAGCAGCGTTCAAAACTCTACTTAGCAACCTGAAAGCATACTTCCACCGCTCTTGTCCATCTTCTATGCTTACGTGGTTGGAGGAAGGTGTCGGCTGTCGAGTGAGACTCGAGTATCTGTCTACAATTGTCTTTAGTTCTGGAATCAGCGGAAGAAGGATTTCCATTTCATGGTGTAATTCATTCGCAATCATTCGGCCGACAGCAGCCATGGCTTCCTTTTTCGAAGACAGCAGCTGCTGGCAAATGGAACCAAAAGCCTTTGCCACTCCAGAATATGGCTCGTTGCTGATCATTAGATCAAATTTTCCTTCAACATAAAGTCCATTCTCGAGTTCATCAACGGCCTTATGGATGCTCTTTGCTAAACTCGATTTCCCAACTCCGGAAATACCTTGGATGAAGAAAAGTTCCTTGTGGCTACCCGATGTGGTGAAACTTTTTGATGCAAGCTTGGAATCAATGATGCTTCCGTGTTTCGTCTCCATCATTCGTGCAAATGAGAACCTCAATACTGAAAGTTCTTCATCTCGGCCAAATAATCCCAACGATGCTGTATTGAGTTTCCCAATTTCCATAGTTTGATGTTGCGGAAGGCTGGCGATATGCTCTCTTTCATGATCTGATTCACCTTCAATGTTCCCAGCCTTGCTAACATTGTGATGTTGCGGGCTGTTGTTGATATGCTCGCCTGCGTGATGATCCCCCTGCTCTTCGCAAAATTCCGCATCCTCATCCATTGCAGCCTCCTTTACCAATACATTTCCATTATTGTGATGTTGAGGGATTTCGATGTTTTCTGCTTCTTTTTCATACATGCCTCCTCAACTTTTTTATCTTGTTGGTAGCTATGGTATTTTTTGCAGTATTTCTATCGTATTCGTATTCGCCGCGACAAAATAATTTGCGCTTGATTATTTTATTTGATGATGTCACCAAATACCATACAGAATGACTAAATGGACTCGCACAGTGACTGACTCATTTTTAAAAAAATATCCCAATCCGTCGTTCACCATACGTGCAACAATACTGTACTCCGAGCTGCGGACACCACATGCCACTTTAATTCTACGTATTGTCATTTAGTATAAGAATTGGGTATTGCTCAAGATTTTATCAGCAGCCTCAGCTCAGAAGCTTTGCCCATCGCACCCCACTCCTCATAATAGCGAATCGATTCCGACAGCTGATGCATGGCACCCTTATTCGTGCTATTTGAAGAGCCACAGTGCAACAAGAAATCCGCATACCGCTCGCTGCACAAAGCGCTATGCTGTACGTGACCTATCTGAACGGCAGACTCGATCGCTTTCTCATACAATTGGTCTGCCTCATTATACTTCTTTCGACTCAACGCCGCGTGCTCGGCATCCAACAACAAATCATAATGCGCAATGTAGGGAATTCCGTCTTTGATCCACTGCTTGACACTCTTGCGAATCGTGATGGCCCTTGATTTGTACCTCCGACTTTTGCGTTTCCGAGCCATTGCATACAAAGCGACGCCTCGATGAAACATTTCATGCGTGCCCATAAAGACGCCTGGAAGGATCTTTTGAAACTTGTTGCCATCTCGCACAGCTCTCTCTGCAGCCATCTCCATACTGGAATAGAAGATCATATCACCTTCCAAAAAATGTTTGATTCCGAGAAGCAACGGCGTATTCACTTGGTCCTTTTCGCTATTGAATACTGATCCCTTCACTTCCGTTCCTTCAATTGACTCAGATTGTAAGTTCACAAAGCCTTGATGGAACATCTTGACAAAGACAGCTTGCTCCTTTTGATATTCTTCGATGTGGACAACCAGTTGTGGGCATTGCTGCACGAGTTTACCTAATGGCTGTCCCATTATGTATGGAATACAAACCTGACGACGAAGTGATGAATTGTCAGTGGAAGAACAATCGGCGACACTGAATTGACAAAATGGAGAAGAAAACAAACTTACTTGGTAGCATGCTAGTATCCACATTGCTGTCTCGATATCACCGTGCCGCATAGATACCTTATAGCCCCGTTGCAATGCTATTACCGAGTCAGACAAGTTTTTGGTCCAACAAAGACAGAACAGATAACAAGTCCACATTGTCTGTCCTTCATATTGAGAATCTGAGTTTTCCTGCATCATAAGAGCTGTCTCAGCACATGTCACAGCAAAACTGAAATCATGTTTCAATATAATCGATGCCAAACCTCCGATACTGTTCAATCCAAGTGCCGAGCAGTCGCATTCCCCATGGGAAATGGTCATCTTCACAAGTTGACAGTTCGCAATCACAAGAAAGAAGATTTGTTCAATGTGATACGCAATGTAACCAATTCGTACGAGAAGCTGCATAATCGCGAGATGTCTTGGATCCGTCATTTCTGCGGGCAATGAATCTTTGTCCTTTTTCGCCAGCCATTTCTTCGTCGCCTTGACGGTACGAACCAACGAAGTGACCGCTTGAAGCGGGACCGTCCCCTTTCTCCATACCAAGGGATGCCCAAGCTCTTCCAACGCCTCCAAACACATGTACATACCTTTGCGTTTCATATCAGCATCGCCTCCTGACAATTTCTTGATTAAAGCAAGTCGAGCTGGAAATTTCTCCATGACTGAGCAGTCATTTCGTTGGAAAACGGCGTCGCAGTATCGCTCCGCAGTTGTACTATTCCCCAAGGCAAGCTCCATTTCGGCGCCTAGCGTAAACAGATTCAAGGTCATTTCCCGATGAGATGTCCAACAATCACGAGGCAGCATTGAGATGCCATGCTCTGTGTACTGTACAGCACTTCTGAATGCTGAAATACTCCTTGCCTTTTCGGCGGCTCGCAGGTTCAAAGCTGCCAGTTCGGGGCGGGTTGCCACGTTGCCTTGATTGAGGAGATCGACCACGTCAAAGAGTTCTTCCTCCAGCTGATCCTCGTCCAGCGCTGACACTAATGTCCTGCCGATCTGAAACTTGAACGATTCATTCACTTTATCCGAAAGCGAGATGGCAGCCTCTTGAACTTTGTCGTGAATCCACTTATGACCCTGCTCGCCATGGTCTTCAATGAGCTGCTCGTACTGCATCACTTCTATCAGGGTCGAAAGATCCGACCTGTTAGTGCCGTGCTCCTTCCAAATGATGTCAATAGTAGACAATTTAAAGGATGTTCCTAGACAAGCGGCATATTGCAATAACAACTGAATGTCTTTTGTCAATTTCTTCATTCGGCCTTGAAGTAGTTCCACCACATCCGAAATGAAATTGGTTCGTTGCTTGATTTCGTTGACATCCCACGACCATTTTGTCCCAGATTCGTCGTATCTGAGCAAAGCTTCACTCTCCAATAGTGACATGAATTGCAAGACAAAGAATGGATTGCCTAGGGTTCGTTTGTACACTATCTTTGCGAGATCTTGCGTTTGCTTTTCGTCTTCGATTGTCATCAATGCCATGATTAGCTTGTTCACATGATCGAGTTCACAGGGATTCAGCTTCATCTCAGTCACCTTGAAGGCGTATTTAGTTTGCTTTTCCTTGAGCTTGCTGATGCTATCCAACAAGATGCGTCGATCGAAGACCTCTTCCGACCTGTAGCAGCCCAAGATCATCAGTCGATTTGGGTTCTGCAAATCTGATACAAGGTAGTCGATCACTTCCAAGGATGACTCGTCCGCCCATTGGAGATCATCCAGCATGAGTACAATCGGAGAGAAGGCTGCATTCAGCGCCCGGCTTAAAAGTCTGAACGCATGCTTCCAGCGTTCTTGGCAATGCTCGGTAATGTTTCCCATCTGAATGCTTACTTTAGATCGCGATGCCGCTTTTGAAGTGTGTTCGTCAACAATCGCCTTCAGTTCTGGGATCAATGGAAGAAGCGTCTGAACTTCATCTTGTAGCTCAGTAGCAAGCATTTTGCCTACCGAGATAACCGATTCTTTGGAAGAAGACAGCAGCTCGAGGCATATCATTCCAAAAGCCTTGGCGATCCCAGTGTATGGCTCGTTGCTTTGCAGTAGATCGAACTTGCCTTCCACAAAAAGACCATTTTCAGACGCTTCAACATCGCCTTTGATGCTGAACGCAAGGCTAGATTTCCCAACGCCAGACGTGCCTATGATATAGACCAATTCCTTAGGAACGGTAGAAGTGACAAAACTGTCAGCTGCGAGTTTTGCATAATAATCCAAGGTGACACCATCCGACTGGTCATTGTGAGCGCTCATCATGCGTTCATAGCACGAACGCAAGGTCAAGACCTCATTTTCTCTGCCAAACAATCCACGAGATGTTGTTTTGATGTCAAATCTCCTTATTGTCTGTCTCCTTGATGACGCTGATGATTCTGAAGGGGCTTGTTTCATCATTGCCATTGACCTCGTTCTGCAGAAAATATAGTGAACACGGAAACTATGGCATGGATATCATTCATGTCAGAGTAAAACTGCTTCTTTTGCTTGTGAGATTTGAGTGGGATTTGAGCGGGATTTGAGTGGGATTTCATGGGATTTTGACTTCTTGCCATTTCCCATTTTGAAATGGTAGCCGCGACCAGCGGTTTGGACGATTTGCGAGTGGAGCCAATTGATGATGATGTAGCTCTGCCTTGATACTGATTCCGAAGGAGCTTGTTGCATCAATTTAGTTGGCCTCGTTCACGTACATACCGGTATGGTCGATGAGACCCAAACATAATGTATGAATATACACCGGTATCAGTATTGGACCAAATCGCCCGCCTGTCCGTCAACGTCATTCAATATTCATTCAACGCCATATTCTGAATTCAATCGATTGGAATCCAAATGATTCATCATCTCATACGAGTACCATAGTACCAGTACCAGTATCATCAACACGCCGAAATACCACATTATTTAGCAAATAATGGATCTTTTAGGAGGGTATAATTCCGATGACTCGAACAGTGACAGTGATAACACCAATCCTCCGTTGAGCAGTCAGCCGAAACCAAATGCAACACAGCCTACACTCAAAGTGAATCCTAATAGTGTCAAAAAGACTTCAGAGGGCTCAAAGTCAACATCCTCTTCCAGTCGCAAAGGCAAAAGATTGCTCAAGCTACAAGCTGTTCTACCTGAAAACATTTGGAATCAGTTAAGCAACGGAAATCTGCAAAAGGATAGTGACGATGAAGAAAGTGATGAGGAAGGAGGAAAGCGAACTGTGACATCAAGAAAACGGATAAAGCCTTCAGGAAACAACAATGCTTCTCAGAATCCAGGGGATAAGTCTGATTTGACTAATCTTTTGCAGGCCTTACCAAAGTCGAAAGCAGCTGCTGGAATTGGCGGAGGCAGTGGCAAGTCTTTCCTTCAAGATCCAGGAGACATTTCAAACACAACGACGACGATTGGTTCCGCAAACGCGTCCTCGTCGACTACGGATAATGCAAAACCATCACCAGCACCCCTCGGAGCTGCATTTCTCTCAACAACGGTGGAGACGATTCGAAAGAAGAAGAGTGGCCCTAGTACTGCCCGCGATATTCACGGTCAAAGCTCATCAGTAGCCGTCGAAACTGTGCACGATGACAAAGATGACACGGCTGAAGACAACGAGAATGCTCCCAGAAATGCTGCTTCAGCTGCCCCGAGAAAGCCTTCTTCATCGTTGCACGCTGCAGTTCGATCCTCAAGTTCCGTTCCGAGGCCCGGAATGTCATCAGTTTCCTCATCTAGCCGCAGAGCCAGAATGGCGGCCCCAACAGTTTCTGCTGCTCGATATCAGCAGCAACAGCCACAACCTTCTTACCCTGTTCCTTCCGGCATGGCGCAGTATGCACCCACTGCCGCATATCCAGTAGCAACCCCTTCACCTGCCCTACCTTCGCAAGGCCGACCAGGAGCGTCGAAATCAAGAAAACGTGAAATGGAACGCATGCTGCGACAAGGAAATCTTGCGGGCGTCACCTCTGACGTACATTTGGAAGGGCAAGCCCACGTCTATCAACAACCTCAAGAAGCCCAACAGCAGTCTTATCAATCCCATGGTGTACGTGTTGTGCCAACAGCGCAGTACAATACAGGCGCTGGTGGCATGGTCACGGCAGCCAACATTACGGGCAAGCAACGGGGCAAGAATCAAATGAATGCCCTCTTGTCAAGTGCAGCTTCTTTGGAAGCCCAACGAGCACGAAATCCATTGCCCCAACAAAAGGTACAACGGGCCAATGCCAAACGAAAATATGGTTGGTAAACTAGTATATAATAGTAGTCGCAAAAAGTCGCACAATATGAATGAAAGAATCTTTGCTGTCAGGATACGAACGGCATAAGTTAGTAAATACGATGAATGAAATGAAATAAATAAATCATTGATAATTAGCAAGTTTGTATTTGAATGTTAATCATTTTAAAATATTTTTATTATTATTATCATTATTGTGTGACGGTATCAGTCCTGCACATCACCTGCTACTTCACCACAGTCCCATCGTCGTCATAGGGAAATACTCTTTCCGTCCGTCACCACGTGAATGCTGGCCGCAACATACTCCAGATTCTTTTGGTTCAAACCAGCCATACTAATTCGGCCATTCATGGTTAGGTAAATGGAAAACTCATCCGTCAGCTGTTGACACATTGCTTCATTCATTCCAGTAAAGGCAAACATGCCAATTTGACCGGTAATATGGGACCAGTCATGTTGACTTCCTGCCTTTTGCAGTGCCTGGACCAGCTTGACTCTCATCTTTTGGATCCGAAGTGCCATGCCGGCACATTCCTCGTAGTATTGCTCCTTCAGGGCAGGATCCATCAAGACGGTCTTGACAATCGAACTTCCGTGTCGGGGCGGTGACGAGTAAAGTGGCCGAATGATCAATCGCAATTCACTGAGAATGTGATCTCGCTGCTCGGCATCTCCGCACACCACGCTCAGTGTGCCGACTCGCTCCCCATACAAACCAAAGTTCTTGGCAAAGGATTGCGCCAAGAGAATGGGAACATGCTGGGATACGGCATAACGAAAGGCCTGGGCATCGACTTCCGCATTGCCAGAGGCAAATCCTTGATAGGCAGAATCAAAGAAGCATACATGATGCTTTTGGCGGACGACATCGATAACCTCTTTCCATTGTTCGAGTGATGGATCGCAGCCTAAGAATTGGATTGAATTCGAGAAGATCATGTGTTAGCCAACAATAATACACCAATCATGGAGGCAAGCACCGGAACTATAACACAACAGCAATCATGGAATACCTTACCTGTTGGATTGTGAGCACACGCATGTAATAGAAAAATGGAACCATCTTTTGCCCGATTCAAGTCTTTCAACATGCCTTCCAGGTCCAGAGCATTGGTGGATCGATTGTAGTATCGGTACTTCCGGCAGTCCAAACCACATTGGTTAAAGATCGAGATATGGTTGGACCAAGTTGGATCTGGAACATAAATGGGATGATTCTTCCAGAACTGTGCCAAGAATCGTCCTCCAATGGCACAGGCCCCCGTTCCACTCAAGGTTTGGACAGCTGCAACATGTGTGTCAATGTCCATGTTCGGACCGTAGGCAAACTTGAGTGCACAGCGAACAAAGTCCTTGTCACCTTCGATTGGCAGATATTCCTTGGGCTCTTGGCTTTCCCATAGCATCTTTTCCGCAGCTCTCACAGAAGGAAGGACATAAGACTTGCCAGCGTCATCTCGATAGGCACCAACACAGACATTGACCTTGCGGGGATCTTCACACTGGCGATAGGCTTGAGCAATACCCAAAATGGCATCGGGGGCTCCCATAGGCACATTTTGCCAGATGTCGTCCGACGAGCCTTGTGAATAGGCGCTGACGTCGCCCGCGGATGCGGATGGATGAAGTCCCTCCTGTTTGGTTTTTGGTGCCTCGTTGAGGTTGGCCTTGAGTGGAAAGTAGGCGATTGGAATCAAATCATCGTCATCAAGATCGCCCAAGTGACGAAGACTGTTGGTTTCAGCATCCCAGGCAGGATCCAACGCGAGACTGGATCGACGAATATGAGTGAGCTGATCTTCAGAGGTTGGCTCCCCAGCGTCGATGGTCGTGTTGTTATTGGTTGGAGGCATGGTGAATGAATGAGTGCTGAATGAATGGAATTTCGATTTTTTATGGTTGTTTGGCAAGGTTCTGGTTCGAGTATCTCTGTGTGGGTGGTAGCTGTATCTGTTTTTGGATGGTCGTGGTTGGTCTTTTCTGCACTTTATATGCTATCGGCATTCAAGAAACTGCAGGATCCTCAGCAGTGGTTTGGGTTTAAATGCGAACACTCCGATGGCAATAATACTGCGTAGATACGGTGATGATGATGGCTTCTCAAAACAAGAACCCTACATCGAATTTGAACATGATTTGATCAGATCAGATTGATTTTTGGCACGGCCGTCCGTCTGTCAGGCTAACATTTACTTTAATGTAGATCTTCGGTAAAATATGATGCATGATGAGTCAGAGAAATGTGGTTTCTAGACATCCAACTATTGGAGGTGCAATTTGGACACGTCAAATAAACTCCGAAAAAAAGACCAACGTGAACCTCAAAACTGCACTGCAAGTCACCCAAGCACAAAATCTCGAAACTTATTGTACACGCACGGGTCGAGTCTTGAGTTTCTGTGCAAGAACCTACAGCATCTCTCAACTTACATTCCAACTTTTTGTCCAGACGATAGAGATGATGAGATTGTCACTAGTAAGTCTCGTTTCATTAGCTACTGCAGCATCGGCCCAGCCTTACTATGACTACACACTAAAAGGAGAGGAGAAATGTGCGATGATTAATATTGCAATGGATGAATCCGGTTCCATGGTTGGGGAACATGATTTCATGAGGACACGAGCGGCAAAACAACTAGTAGACCTTTTGCAAAGCCCAGGGCCCAAGTTTACAAAGGTCTTCGTATGCTCCAACGGATTTGGAAACAACTTTCAACTGTACCCCGAAGCAGATGCAGATGGATATCGCCACATTGGATGCTCACTGGGGTACGATGCATCTATTCTGCAATACAACCTCAATGTTGACTCACGCACAGAAGATGGCTATTCTGCCACGACCAAGTCCATTGATCGTGTGCCAGCAGTGATTGGAGGAGTCGACCTTGCTCAAACCTGTGGATTCATGGCCAAGAACATGATCTTGGTCACAGATGAAGATCGTGATGCTATCACAGATGTTACGAAAGAGCAAGTAAGATCCCGTCTTGCTGAGACAGGCTACATCTACAACATCATTGTCAATGTCTTCATCAACTCGGACTGGAGCGACAATATCATTGGAATGCGATACAACTACAACACAACCGACTATACCAGACTCGCCACTCCCGAGATGGTGTTTGTCCCTACTAGTGGCGGAGATACCACTGGCGATACCACTTCTCCTCCACCTCCTGACGGCTCCTATGTGCCACCGTCCGATGGCGGGATGACTTTCCCTCCACCTCCTGATGGCTCCTATGTGCCCCCGCCCGATGGCACCACTTCCGGATTCCCTGCTGGGTTTCCTGGTTTCCGGCGAAAGCTTCAAACCGCCCCATCCATGTATTTCAAGTTCTGGACCCCAGATGTTCCAAACGAACTCTTCGCAGTGAAAGAGGATTCAACCGGAGCTCTCACATCTGATTACGTAGAGATCGAGGATCCTGGAAGAATCTACACCGAAGTCATGACAAATGGACATGGGCTCACCATTCAAGATTACGGAGAAATCATTGAGAATACTCAAGGAGCAATCTTCTCGATCCGGACCTTGCGAAAGGGTTATGCCGGTGGAGGACAAGAGCAGATCTCGGACGCTTTTGCTGCTGCCTTGGTGGATATCAAGGTCTGCGAAATGACCAGGTGCCGTACCCCAGAAATTGCTGCCGATCCCCATATTATCACCTGGAAAAACGAGCATTATGAGTTCCACGGACAGTGTGATCTCGTCTTGGCCAAGGATCCTGACTTTGCCGAAGGAATGGGACTCGATGTCCACATTCGTACCAAGATTGTTCGTTACTGGAGTTACGTCCAATCTGTGGCCATTCGCATTGGCAATGACATCTTGGAAATCCAAGGCGGTACCGAAATGAATACGGAGGCCGAGTACTGGGTCAACTTTGAACACTTGGGTGACTTGACCACCTTTGCGGGATTCCCAGTGTACCAAGAATCCAACAAGATCCACCGTCGCTCCTACACTATTGATTTGAACTCCAAGTATCCCGGCAAGAAGATCTTCATTGATTTGTATAGAGAATTCGTCCGCGTCAAGCTTGATGGTGGCTTGGAGACCTTTGGCAATACCGTCGGGCTCTTAGGAGATCCACGTTCTGGTTCACTGCTTGCTCGAGATGGCGTCAATTCTTTTGAAGATTACATCGAGTTTGGCAACGAGTGGCAAGTCCTCCCAGCTGATGGCCGCCTCTTCCGTCAATCGGCACACCCTACCTTCCCAGAGCGTTGTTTGCAACCCGAGGATGCCCAAGGTGAGCGCCGCCGCCGATTAGATGAATCTTCCATTTCGGTTGAACAAGCAGAGGCTGCGTGTGCTTCCTTGAAGGACCCATTGACCATTAAGGATTGCGTGTACGACATTCTGGCAACACAAGACTTGGATATGGTCGGCGCATTTTAGAAGCAATGCAGTTTTTGCAACCGTCCCTGTTTAGCTCTCAATCTGATACGTACATTTATAATAGCTGCATTGATTTTTTTCTTGCATTCTACAAAATCTTCTCCCTTTTCCAGTTCTCCAAGTCGCCAAAGCCGAACGTGAAGTACCAAATTCCATGAAGGTTTCAGGTTTGTGAACACCGGAATTTAAATCCCCGAAAAATGACCAGTGAATGTCAATGCGACCAACTCGAACCATCACACCATGTAGTTGGTGTATGGACGCTGTGGAGGGAAACTTTGTTGAAATCCAATCGATCCTGGTGTGGAAAGCCAATGTTGGTTAGAATGATCTCTTCTTGTGGCCTAAAGTGAAGCACAGCGCGCTGGCAGGAACATTTACTAGCACCTCCTATGTTGCAACTTATTTGTGACTCCAAACCCCTCATTTGTTTCGCTCGTTGCTCGTCCGGCCCTGTCCATTGACTGAGACATCCCGGTCCTCTATTGACTGAAGACTTGGAATGTCAATGATTGGACGTGTGTGTGGAGCCCTGAAGTAGTCGGACCATCCATGGCAAAAGAGTTTGGATGGGAAAAATCTACAGGAGTGCTATGTTGTTTGTGAAGCAAAGATCGTTTGAGAAAATGACAAGAGAGATTGTGATCCAACTTCACGTTCGCAAAGACTGCGTGAACCTATGTGACTCCGGATTTGAAAATTGCGATTTTGTTCATTAGAGCCCTGATAAGCAGGATGAAAATCTTGTTATGGTTCACCGGAAAACACCTCCTTTTCTGTTTTTCTCGGAGAAATTCTCACAAAATGACCACATTCACTCACAAAACTGATGTACCCGACGCGTGAGAAACAATCTTGCAAAACCCACAACCTTTGCACTGTTCAACATGAGACTCTCTTCAAGCCTTCTACTACTGGCTGTCGGTGCCTCTGCACAATTTTCGTTTCCTCCACCTCCCGGAGATACAACAACAACTGATCCCACTGAATCGTTTTCATTGACTGGTCCTCCACCTCCCGGAGATACTACGACAACTGATACCACTGAATCGTTTTCATTGACTGGTCCTCCACCTCCCGGAGATACAACAACAACCGACACCACTGAATCGTTTTCATTGACAGGTCCTCCACCTCCTGTTGATACTACAACTACTGAATCGTTTTCATTGACAGGTCCTCCGCCCCCTGGTGATACTACAACCACCGACACAACAGGGTCGTTTTCATTGACTGGTGCTCCACCCCCTGGTGATACTACAACTACCGAAACCACTGACTCGTTTTCATTGACCGGTCCTCCACCTCCTGGGGACACTGATGGCGACTCTTTTTCATTTCCTCCGCCTCCTGGTGATACTGCTGGAGATGGATCTACTACTACAGATTCCACATCAATAAGTGACCCCAGTCTTCTTTCACCCCCAGACACTTCTAACTATTACTTCCCCAATAAGCATGAGAAGCCATTTGGTTACAAATACCATGGAGAAGAAAAGTGTGCTATCATTAATATTGCTATGGATGAGTCTGGTTCGATGGTAACCGAACAACAGTTCATGAGAGATCGAGCCGTGAACAAGATGGTAAGGTTCTTGAATGGGAACAAGCATCAGTTTGACAAGGTCTTTGTTTGTTCGAACGGATTTGGAAACAATCCTGGAGGAAACCCGGACGCAGATCCAGAAGATGGATACCGTCACCTTGGATGCTCCTTGGGGTACGATCGAACCATTTTGCAATGGAGCTACTGGAATGAGGGACGTAACGAAGATGGCTACGCTGCCACCATCAAGTCCATTAACAATGTTCCTGAAGTCATTGGCGGAGTGAACATCACTTCGACTTGCAGGACCGCAGCTTTGAATATGATCTTGGTCACTGATGAAGACCGCGATGCTGTCACTGAAGTCACCAAGGACGATGTCCGACAGCGCCTTACCGAGACTGGGTACATTTACAACATTGTTGTCAATGTCTTTATCAAGAATGATGCTGCCAACATCATTGGTATGCGCTACAACTACAACGCCACCGACTACCCCAGGCTTACCATGCCCATTCTTGATCGTGAGACTGGTACTTTCCGTTTCTATGGCGGAGGAGACATCCCCAATGAAATCTTCTCGGCCAAAATGGAGGACGGAGTCATCCATGGCGAATATGTGGAAGAAATGGACCCTTCCTTGCTATACAAGGAACTCATGACCAATGGACACGGCCACACCATTGAAGACTACGGAGAAATCATTGAAGGTACCAAGGGAACCATCTTTTCCATTCGAACCATGCGCAAGGGTACCAGGGGAGACGTTCCAGGACTCTCCGATGCCTTTGCCAACGCTCTTGTTGATATCAAGATTTGCGAAATGACTCGATGTCGCGATCCTGAAATCGGTGGAGATCCTCACATTACAACTTGGAAGAATGGTATGTCTTGCGTTTGGTAGTTGCATTCTCATTTTCGTCATCCAATGTACTCTATAACTCACGCATTTCGCTGCGCCTCCTCAGAACACTATGAGTTCCACGGGCAATGTGATCTCGTCTTGGCCAAGGATCCAAAATGGGGCGGTGGCCTTGGATTGGATGTCCACATCCGTACCAAGATTGTTCGTTACTGGTCCTACATTCAAGCGGCTGCCATTCGTATTGGCGATGACATCTTGGAAGTGGAAGGCGGCACCGAGATGAACACGGAGCCAAAGTTCTGGGTCAACTTTGAGTATTTGGGCGATCTGACTACCTTTGCCGGCTTCCCAGTCACTCAAGATTCCAACAAGATCCACCGTCGGTCCTACACAATCGACCTGGACTCCAAGTACAAGGGCAAGAAGATTGTGATCGATTTATATCGAGAGTTTGTCCGCGTCAAGCTCGATGGTGGCTTGGAAACCTTTGGTAACACTATCGGTCTCTTGGGAGACCCACGCTCTGGCGCACTATTAGGAAGAGACGAACACACCGAGTTCAATGACTATGTGGACTTTGGAAACGAGTGGCAAGTCCTTCCAGCGGATGGAATGCTGTTCCATGAAACTTCCCATCCCCACTTCCCCGAACGCTGTATTGAACCTGAAGATCCTCAAGGCGAGCGTCGTCGTCGTTTGGATGAATCGTCCATTACGATTGAACAAGCTGAAGCCGCCTGTGCTTCCCTGAAGGACCCACTGAGCATCAAGGATTGTATCTACGACGTTGTGGCCACACAAGACTTGGACATGATCGGAGCGTTCTAAATATCATGATCCTTGTGGCATACATAATAATAGTTCCTGTACTATAGAATCATATCATATATTCCACATTCCACTGCTCATTCATAGTCATTCGTTCCAATGCCGCTGTGAAAAGCGTTGCAGTATGTTAAAATCAAGTGACATGAAATGCCGCGGTATATACATGGTAAAAATACCGCGGCGCGGTAAGTGTACGAGTAAGAGCCATAGAAAGCCTTTATTTCCAAGCGCTTCAAGGGAATTTTCGTTTCAACGAAGCTATGCTAACAAAACGAAGAACACTTGTATTCGCACATCGTCTAATAGTTTGATGAATCAAATGATGAAGCTTTTTCTTCTTGTTTGAGAGCTCTTCCTGCAGTGCAATCTGAAGAAGGCATGTCGGCTATCACGTTGTCCATGCTTCACACCGTTGTAAGTTGTCTGCTTATCAACAGTTTGTAGCTTTTAAAAAAGCTTTACAATGGCTACCATGGTCGGATTGTCATGGGCCGATAATGTCAAATGCTTTGACAAAACCTATCGTGCCTCCTACACCTCATCATGATACCAAAAGAAGCTAGTATCTCGTCCCTCCAAACTCGAAGCAGTATCCTTCCTGGGATCAATTAGAGTCAGTCATCGTTTTCGTAGAAGTTTCACATGTTTCAAAGGATTCAGACACGTAGATAGCAAGGGATCCGTCAAGGAGAAGGTCTGAACCTCCACCAACTATAATACTGCCAAGATCTTTTCCCATCCAGATCCAGTCGGATTTTTATTCGTGCATCGTTAAGTAAAAACTGTCGGTCGGCCAGACCAATCATCGAAAATTTTTGATTTTCATCCTTTGGATGCCTCACAATTCTGGTTCAGATTGATTTTTTCGTCACGTCCCAGCAGGAACTATTCTTATCTGACAATGATTCTTGCTCTACTTTCCCTCTTACTCTTGGCTGTTGCCACCTCGGCTCAGCCTTACTATGATTACACCCTGCAAGGAACCCAAAAGTGTGCCTTGATCAACGTCGCCATGGACGAATCCGGTTCCATGTTCACCGAGCAAGTTTTCTTGAAGGATGTGGCGCTTCCCGGCATTGTTTCTACTTTGCAGACTCCAGCCTACGGTTTCGATCATGTCTTTGTCTGTTCCAACGGCTTTGGAAATCCTCCTGCCAATCCTGGCGTCGATCCAGACGGCTACCGTTTCATTGGTTGTTCGGATGGGTTGACTCTAGCCATCTTGGACTGGTCTCGAAGCTTTGCAGGTACTCACGAAGACGGATATACTGCTTTGATCAAGTCTATTGATCGTGTTCCCGCTGCCATTGATGGCGTGGATTTGGCTCAGACTTGCGGAAGCATGGCCAAGAATGTCATTTTGGTTTCCGATGAAGATCGCGATCATCACACAGCGGATGCCGGTGTCACTCAAGCCTCGGTCGTCAACAAGATTCAAGATCGTCAATACGTTGCTAACTTGATTGTCAATGTCTATATTGGCGATATCGATGCCAGCAACCTCGGCATGCGGTACAATTATGATCCTGCCGTGCAAGCTGCATTGGTCCCACCAACTTATCCCAATGAGGTCTTTGTGGCTGTCAAGCTTGCCAACGGTACTTTGGATGGAAACTACGACCTTGTTCCATATACCCTAATGGATTACACTGGTTACATTACCAATGGCCAGGGCAATACTGTTGCTGACTATGCTACACTGATTGAAAATACACCAGGAGCCATTTGGTCCATTCAAACTCTGCGCCGAGGAATCCTTCTCGGTCAGCCTGAGTTGTCTCAAGCCTTTGCCAAGGCCTTTATCGACATCAAGACTTGCGAGATTGCCATGTGTCGTCCTCCAGAAGCTGGCGGTGATCCGCACATTACCACTTGGAAGAATGGTACGTGTTGCTTTCGCGATTTGTATTTGCTGAATGATTGGTTTTGAATGGTCTCCCTCTCACACTTGTCGCTTCCCCTTCTTACAGAACACTATGAGTTCCACGGTCAGTGCGATTTGGTATTGGCCAAGGATCCAGACTTTGGCAATGGCCTTGGCTTGGACGTTCACATTCGCACCAAGATTGTCCGTTATTGGTCCTACATTCAGTCCGTGGCCATTCGCATTGGCACCGACGTCCTTGAGATTCAAGGCAATTCCGACTCGAATCTGGATCCGGACTACTGGATCAACTTTGAGCATTTGGGCGACTTGGATACCTTTGCCGGGTGTCCCGTCACCCAAACTACGTCCGGACCTCACAAGCGTTCTTATCAGATTGACCTCCGAACCAAGGTTCCTGGCCACAGCCTTCGGATTGATCTCTTTCGGGAATTTGTCCGCGTCAAGCTCAATGGCGAAAAGACGGCCTACCACCAAACCGAGGGGCTCTTGGGAGATCCCATTACTGGCAAAATGTTGGCCCGCGATGGTGTCACTGAGTTTGCTGACTACGTTGACTTTGGCATCGAGTGGCAAGTTTTGCCATACGAACAAAAGCTCTTTCACGAAATGGCTCCTCCTCAATTTCCTGAACTCTGCCTCCTTCCCGAGGATCCTCGTGGAGAGCGTCGCCGCCGTTTGGCCGAGAGTGAGATTAGCGTGGAAGAGGCTCGTCGTGCTTGTTCCGCTTTGCAAGATTCCTTGAGCATCCAAGATTGTGTCTACGACATTTTGGCCACTCAGGACTTGGACATGGTTGGGGCTTTTTAGGCAGGCAGCATGTTCAAGCTACGAGAAGAAAAAAAGGGGGAAAAGTGGCCACTGGTTTCTGGACTTGTTGATCCTATCCATAATTGTCGACGGGAACCGAGACTGAAACTGGCGGTAACATGATTTCCCAATTCTCCCCATGTGTCAACACCATAGATGAGCTGGGTTTCGAATCTTATTTTTGTCGCGTAAGCCAATGCAAACAAGAACTAAGAATGAAATTTACAGCCAATTTTTGCTTCGTCGTCTTCATTTCCTCTTACAGCATGTTGATGCATCCTCGTCGTCATAATTTCAAAAAAATTATAAAAACGATGTAATGCCATCACGCGAGCAATGTCTCAGAACGCGCATGCGGGCGTATATTTTAAAAATTGAAACTTTGCGCATTATTACAATAATATTGCAGGGCACGAATGAACAAGACTCGGTTTAGGAACTCTATATAGCTGCGGTGATAATGATGACTGGTGATACAGTAATGATTGTGTCTCTCTTGAGCTGTCATATACCTACTACCACTCAAGTGCCCAATAGAAGCTTTCCACAACTGTGCTGTGGAATCCAAGCTTACGTACTCTTGAAGTATCATCTTCAAGAATAAGAAAGCAGACCACACAGAAACGCATATAGCGTATCACAGCAACGAAATCAATGGAGTGCAATAACGAACAAGACCCATCGATTGACGAGCTCGTTGAAGAGTTAATCGAGCATGACTCGTTGATTGGCGAACGCACAGGAAAATGCAATGTCTCTGGTGCTCAAGGAAACTTTACAAAGGCAAAGGTTTATTATAAGAGAATGTTGGAGAGACAAACGAAAGAGTCAGGTGAAGATGATCTTTCTGTGGCCACCACACTCTACCAGATCGGAACTTATTTGACGTTGGAAGGGAATATTGATGAAGCCTTGGAGATGCTCGAACGAGCTCTTAAGCTACAGTTGGAGACATTGGGAGAAGGACATGACGATACAGCATTAACCTACCAACTGCTTGGCACCAACTTTCTGAATCACAGAGAAAATGAACAAGCCGAAGAAATGTTCCGAAAAGCTCTGCATATCAAGCTCGACATTCTGCGCCAAATTTTTTCTAATTTGACGGGTCTGTGCCGACAACTGATGAACTCCTTGAAAGGGCAAGAGAAGTATTCAGAAGCAATCGAGATACAAAAACTAGTGCTTGAGAACCTCCTACAAATGCATGGGGAAGACCACCCTGACGTTGTGCAAACATATCTCGGCATTGCAGGGCTGCTGGGAGACCAAGCGAGGTTGGACGATTCTCTTCACATGGTCGACAGATGCGTCGAAATCTGTTCTCGACTACAAGGAACTGAAGACTTTCACCCAAGAATATTGACACAAGTGCTCTTCCACAAAGCGACATGCCTGGAAGCACAAGGGGACTTTGAAGGTGCAGAGGGGGTGCTCGCGGAATTGCGATTGGTGCAAAAGGAAACGCTAAGTGAAACGCACCCCTTAGTAGCAGAGACAGCAGAGGCCTATGACCATCTTGCAAAACTATATGGTCTGAAAGGCATGTTAGACAATGCCATCAATGCGTACGCAACTGCTACCAATATTCGCAAAACGGCGCTTGGCAACGGCCATCCTAGCACAAAGAAATCTGTGATTGCCCTGAAAGCCTTGAAGCGCCAGAAAACTGCAAGAGCACTGAACCAAGAGGGACTGGTAAGGAAGGCGCAAGGTGATTCGGAAGGGGCGCTGCAACCTCTTCGAAGAGGCGCTGGATATTCACAAGGAAATTTGTGCTCACACAAGTATGGTGAATGTCTACGAGAATATTTCGGCTGAGAAAATGGAACAGGATTTGCTGGAAGATGGCATTGCTGCGAGTGCAGAAGCCCTCAAGATTCTTCGAAAAACACTTGGGGACGGCCATATTGACACGAAGAGGCGCATGGAAGCGCACAGATCTTTGCTGAAAATTCTCTTGGAGAATCGGAGCTAACAGCAGCTTCGTTGGCAATGTCATCTTGAGCCACGACTTGCTCACAGATGATATCCTGCCGACCAATACTTGGGCACTAAATTCGATGCTGTCATCGCCTGCATAATGGTTGATGAAGTCGTGCCAGGGCACCACTCTTTGTGTCTTCGCCGGATCAACTCATCGTGTGCTGCTAACTGCTGGTGCTACTGCTGGATTCCTCTGAAGTTGCTAAGAAATGTTTCGAAACAACATGAATATTTGTCATTTCAGAAGCAGGCATATTTGCTGGTTTGTCATGACGATACCCATCGAGCTGATACACATGCTTCACTTGGAACCATGAGCTAATATCGATCCAACTTGCAGCACAATAACTGGTAGACCACAAGCTTAAGCTTGGATTAGGTCTGCTTTTGTTTTATTCTCTATTTCAAATCACACTATACTCCTTCGACGAGCACCAAGATACAATATTGCCTTTCGCTTGGTGGCTCTCCCTTTCATTTCCGCATGCGATGCACGGATACTCTTTCATGTTTAGTCTAGATAGTCGAAAATATCCAAATGCAGCAGCTAGCTACATAATAGCTCTACGAGTACTGTAGCTAGAGCTAGCTAGCAGCAACAAAAACGCGGGCCAATGCCATGCCATGCCATGCCATGGCTATGATGATGTTGTTTCCAACGTAGACCGCAGGCACACTGTTCGATCTCTTTGACTACATTGTGTTACAGACGGACAAAAGGCCGAACGGCCTTCGACCGTCAAAAGTTGTTGTCGATGCGCCGAGACAATGATGCCCAGTTTATCGACTGAGATTGAATTCACCCACTTGTGTTGTGGTAATTCAAGACAAAATACTACGAACACACACACGGAGGACGGCAGTAGGCTATCTCAGATAGTTTAATATATTTTATCTCATACATATATTACAGTACGGCACGATAGCACTCAAGTGCCCAATAGAATCTATCAACAACTCTGCTGTTGAATCCAAGATTACCTGTTTCATCTTTTTTTAAGAAGAGTCTAGTGTATTCTAGAAACGAATACGATGGATGGGAACGATGGACAAGACTCCTCAAAGAAACTCTCTAAAGAGTACATCTTCCATATTAAGAAAATGAACTATAGAAAAGCTTCGGAGATTTTGGAGAGAATGATGAAGGTAAGCGAGTCAGCTAAAGAAGATCTTTATGTGGCCAAGTTACTCTTCGACGTTGGGAATGGATTGGCGTGGCAAGGATATTGTTATGAGGCCGAGGAGAACCTCGAACGAGCTCTTGAGATACAGTTGAAGAAATTGGGAGAAAATCATGATGATACAGCAAATACCTACGAAGCCATAGGCGAGACGCTTCTGCGACAAGATGTCAACCACCAAAAAGCCGAAGCGATGTACCGAAAAGCTCTGGATATCAAACGGGAAATTCTGCCAAAAAAGGAAGTGGCTGATTTGATCGATCTATACCAGCAATTAGCGCTATCGTTACAAAAGCAAAGGAAATTCTCAGAAGCAACCAAGATTCAAAAATTCGTGCTTGCGACATTGCTTGACTTGCATGGGGAAGATCATCCTGCCATCGTAAAAACATACATTGCCATTGCAGGTCGGTTGAGAGACGAAGACAGGCCTGACGATGCTCTTCAGATGAGTGATAAATGCATCGATATCTGCTCTCGCCTACAACAGCAAGAAGAATTTGATGTAAAAGTATTGGCCATGTCGCTACTCGTCAAATCAAAATGCCTTTTCGATTTGCAAAACTTCGAAGGTGTCACGGAGCTGCTCACCCAATTGCTAGTGATAGAGGAATCCCTTGGTGAAATGGACCCCTCCACAGCCGAAACCTATGAAAACCTTGCAGTGACATATATCCGACGAGGTATGATAAAAGATTCCATCAAGGCGTACACGAAAGCCATACATATTTTCAAGACAGTGCTTGGTGACGATCATCCAGACACAAAGAAGTATATGAGTTTTGTTCAATTGTTGGAGCGCGAGAAAGTTGCCAAAGCACTGCACGAAGAGGGACTAGCAATAAAGGAGCACGGCGATTTGAAAAAGGCGCTACAACTCTTCCAAGAAGCGCTGGGCATTTACACCGAACTCTATGCTGCTCAGGCCCATCCCAGTTTTAACGCACTCGCCGAGAGTATCTCGGCTCTCCACGCTGATATGATACCAATATTGGAGATGCAAGGCAAGCTTTCGCAAATAGCCAAAATGAAAAAGCAAATGCTTGCGAACCTACTTCTAATCTATGATGAAAACCACCCTCGCGTTCAAAAAGAATACATGGGAATGGCAGGGCTGAAGACTGACCAAAAAGGGTTTAAAGATGCAAGGTTGGCAGAAGCACTTCTCAATAAAGCAAAAAGCTTGGAAGCACTGGGGAACTCCGAAGGTGCCACGGAGCTGTTCGCCCAATTGGAAACGCTAATGGTAGATAAGGAAACGCTTGGTGAAAGGCACCCGTCCACAGCAGAAGCCTATGAAAAACTTGCACTAACATATGCCAGAAGAGATTTGACAGGAGCTGCCATCCAGGCATACACAAAAGCTATCAAGATTCGCAAAGCGGTGTTTGGCAATGATCATCCCCGCACAAAGGAGCTTATGATTTTCCTTAAGGTCTTAAAGCGGGAGAAAAGTGCAAAAGCACTGCACAAAAAGGGACTAGCCATGAAGCAGAAAGGCGATTTGGAAAATGCGCTAGATCTCATCCAAGAGGCACTGAGTATCTACAACCAAATCTATTCTTCTCAGATTCATCCCAGTTTGGAAACATTCTCGGAGAATATATCGGCTATCTACTATGATATGGCAGAAGTCTTCGAGATGTTTTCGGATGCCAATGTAGAGAAGGGTTTGCTGGAGCTTGGCATTGCTTCAAGTTTAGAAGCCCTCAAGCTTCGTCGAAATGCATTTGGGGACGATCATCCTGAAACGAAAAAGCGAATGGAAGCGCATCGATCTTTGCTGCATCGTCTCTTGGAAAATCGGACCTAAAGACGGCTTGCTGGTCAATGCCACACTAAGTCAAGTGATTACGAGCCATCGCATGGGACGACTTGTCATCGCATGGTTTCTTTTTAAAACGCAATCCCCAGTGATCATGAGTGCAAGATGGTGTTGCCATTGCCAACATACTGATCACACATCTCGGTAAAGTTTATTATCTTCCAAAATTATAGGACACAATGTAGGAGCAAACGAAAGATCAGAAGTTGGGCTATACTGGTCGTTATTTCAAGATGATGTTCCCATGTGCGACTGCATGTGGCTGAGAATTCTTCGATGGAAACCAGTGAATATCGACCACTTTACTGCAAAAATTGGTAGACAGACTAAGCTAGTTTTAGGTCTGTGGTTTTTTCATCATGTATATAATAACAATCACCCACTGAGTGTGACAAGCATCAACTTTTTGCCGTGTCAAGCGCATTTCATGTTGTGGTTATTGAACCATCGATGAAAATGAGATTTTGGTGCTCAGATCACCCCCCAATGGAATTGCATATTTTTATCCCCCTTTTATCTAGTCTAGCATGTCGAAAAATCGATGATGCAACCAAGGCAAGAAGCAAATAATCGACTAATAAAAAGGGTCGTTCCATACCGGTAGCTGACTCTCTCATCGAGTGCCCGCAACAGAAGTTGTCCACCACTCTGCGGTTGAATCTAGGATCGCCTACTTTTTGAAGTTCATCTTGAAGAGAAAGCAGACTCTAGAGACGTTCTATAAACGCAAACAATGGAGGGCAACAAACAAGACTCGGTTGAGGAACTTTTGACAAAGCTAGTCCCAGGTCCATTTTCAACAAAGCAGACAGACTATATAGACGCCTCTAGAAACATTGGAGCACACCGAACAAGACTCATTGGTCGATGAACTGTTTGAAAAGTGCAGTGTCTATTTTTATCAAAGAAACTATCAAAAGGCAAGGGAGAGTATGGAGAGAGCCTTTGAGATACAAACGAAAGTGCCAGGTGAAGATTAACTTTCTTTGGCCTTCACTCTCCTCCAAATTAGAAATATGCTGACGATGGAAGGAAAACTTCATGAAGCCTTGGAGAAACTCGAAAGATCTCTTTAGATACGGTTGAACAAATTGGGAGACGAAGATGTTGATATATCACACACCTACAAATCCATGGCCCGAGTCTTTCTGGATCAAAACAAGAACGTAAAAGCCGAAGAAATGATCCGAAAAGCTCTGCATATCATTCGAGAAATTCTGCGGCATAGCTTTTCTGATTTGACGGATCTGCACAAACCTCTATTGCAATCATTGGAAGATGGACTGGCAATGAAGGAGCAAGGTGATTCGGAAAAGGCGCTGCAACTCTTCGAACAGGCGCTGGGTATTTACAAGGACCAGTGCTCATTTTTCTACGTGGTAGAAATGAAAATGGTTTTCTGGAAGATGGCATTGATGCGAGTGTTGAAGCCCTCAAGATTCGTCGAAGAACACTTGGTGACGACCATATTGACACGAAGGGGCGTATGGAAGCGCACAGGCCTTTGTAGAATCGGAGCTAACGGCGGCTTCCTTGATAATACCGTACAGTCCGCAAATTGACGACTAGCCATCGCAATCATTGGCTCACGTAGCTTTCTCAGGAGGCAATGATGTTCTCAGCAACCATGAGTTGGCTGCGCAAGCCAGAGACAATGCTACCGATGGACGAAACATCATCGTCCTCTTCCGGCCCTTCCTGACTGCTGCTAATAAAGGTGACTAGACCCAGCTTGCGTGAACGAACGATGTGCGAAGCATCTTTGCTCTTGTTGTTCTTGAAACTTGGTAGGCTTCCATCGACACTGAGCTCATCCTCAGAGTACATCTTGTACCACTCTTGTTGTTTGAAGTGACTATGAATCGCTTCCCATGATTTTTTGCGAAGCTCCTTGCCGTCTGGACCGCCCTTGTAAGCGACAGCAATGAGATTTCCACAGGCGGCTTCCAACTTGCGTTCGTATCGTCGGACAACCTTGGACAAGCACTCGACATCATTCACCATTGCGGAAGTCATGATGATTTCAGACTCGGTCGGGTGTTTGGGGGAGACTGATCTTATGTTATGAGAGCTGCGCAAGACCACCTTCGCTTTGGCAGATTTGAACATGGCTTCACAGATGTCCTTTCCTTCCGTTTCCCAACGGTTGCGGTTGCTTTTGGCTCGCTTGACAAGTTCCTCCCCAACAATATCCAAGACACCGCAGGCCTTGAGGTTTGTGGCAAGAGGAACGACCCAATTATCAAAGAACCAAATCTCGCCACTGTACCATCCTGCAGTTGGATCTTCGTCAGATCTGCCATCCAAAAAAGCTTGGTACACTTCCAGAAACAGATTCTCGTTCCACTGGCGATAGAGCTCCCAATCTTGCATGGTATGTGCAACATCTGATACTTGCATGATGTGATCAATCACGATGGTTGTCTTCAAGTCCTTTTCTTCTGCGTCGGATGGGAGTAGCTTATTGTTACAGTAGGCCTTGTCCCATTGGATCTTCCGAATGGAGCGAAGATCCTTGTCAAAAATATCAGTGGCCATGACGCAATGAACGAGAAGCTTGCGAAGGCGTTCGCGCTCCCCATCGTTTTCAAAGATGCAGTCCTGAAGATGCGCAAAGCAATCCAAATTTAACATTTTCCAAGCAATATCGATCGAGTTCTGCTCAGCGATACTCTTGTTCGAGTACTTCTCGGCCAACTTTGGGTGTTCGACGGCGAGCTGTTTGTTTGGAACACCAGAGTGCCCAACATCATGGATCAAGGCAGAAAGAACAATCGCGAAACGAGCCAGTGGATCGCAGGCAATTCGAGATCCATCCTTGCTACCGTCGATACCATTGATGCCATTTACAAGAATGTTGGCGATATGGGCAACGTGGCTGGCGTGTTGGAAGTTGTGAAAGTCGTTCGATTCATAGCCAGATGCAGCAACAATGACAAATTTTCGGAGTTCTGAGTGAACTTGTCGTGGAAGATCGGGAGTTTTTGGTGTGAAGGCTTCTTCAGCAGCACTGACTCTAATTCTGTTATCGACATGGCAACCAACAATGTCCTTCACAAGACCTTCCAACATATCAACATTCGCAGCGACAAGTGCACCCATTCGGTCCAACGAAAGTTTTTCTCCTCGATAATCTTCAACAGTAGCAGTCGGGATAAGACTTGCGGCGAGTCTATCACGTCCGTTTCTTCGCCATTGCTCAAGGTTGCGCATAACACAGCCTCCAAGATAGGTTGCCTTTGGAAGGACTATCCCTACCAGTTTCACAAGTGGCACGAGAGCATCCGAAAGGAACGTGTGCTGCTCGAAGTACCAACTAGTGCGTGGGTCTTCAGAGCGACCAGAGTGGTGTGCCTTGAGATGCTCGCGGAAGTTGAGGTCATTCCACTTCAAGAATGTCACATACGATTGGGCATAGTGGCCTATAGTTGACATGGCAAGAACCAAACCAACCTTGGCTTCGCGTTGCTTCTTCAATACGCGCTGAGTGTATGGAGTCTTGGCTGTGATCTCCTCGAAATTTCCAGCCATCGAACTTATGCTTTCCCCTGATTCCAAGTCTGTGAAGTTGACTACTAATTTCTTGACGGAAGCTCGGAAGTTGGGGCATCCAAAGACAATCTCTTCGCAAAGCTCCTCGAAGTCATCTTCGAACTTTTCAAACGCACAATCAAAAGAAATTCTCTGTTGGTATGCTTGTTTGCCCCGATATATTGCGCAAACCGCATCGTCCTTGGCGGCTTCAAGTTGAGAATTATCGACCCCAGTATGCTGAACGCCATGGATCAAAGCTGCAAACAATAACATGAAGTGATCCCATGGGTCCGAGCTCACATCGGTAGCCCAAGTCTCCCAGATGAAGTTTGCGCGAAGGACGACTTCTGATGCGAGCGTAAAGCTGTGGAATGAGTTATCTTCACTGTAAAGGTCCGCAATGGTTTTGACATACTTTTTCAGCTGATCAGTGATCACATTGAGCCGTGCGCCTCCCTTTCCAACGCAAAGTTGCAGGACATTCAGCAGAATATCGAAGATCTTTCCTTGTAAGGCATTCTTGGAGCACTCGTCCCATTGAAGGTCCTCCCAGCTCTTGCCAAAAAAATCAACTTGGTTCTCTTTCAAGTCTACATCAATGGAGTCCGCTTGGAGATCATCTTTTTCAATATCATCTTTTTCAATATCACTATCTCTTTGAACAGGGCCCGTTTCTCTCTCAGAGATGCCACCGGACCTTCTAGGTTTGACTTGGGGGTGGTCTACAGTGTTGTCTGGAAGAACTTTTCCCAACGCACCCTCCTGTTTGAAAATACCTCCAGGTTTGAAATACCTTCGCATCTTCCATTTTTCGGAGGATATCATTGCTTCTACATCTTGAGACAGAGCTTCAAGAGCAGTAGGATTCGCCGAAGTGTTGTGTTCGGTACCGCTCTCCAGCCAGTACGTATAGTGTTCTCCCTTTCCTTTCATGTCGACAAGACCTCTTGCTTTGAAGCGGAATTCTTGGTTGTCGGACTGGGAAAAGTGCGTGAGTCGACCATACAGATAATTCGAGGCGTGAATCTTCCCCGCGGCACCAGTCGACTCGTGGCGGCTCGTCACGTTGACCATATCTCCAAAGAGACAGTAATGAGGCGTTAAAGTTCCCACAACACCAGATGTACAGCTTCCAGTATGGATTCCAATTCGGAGGTTGATTGGCTCTCCAGTGACAGGAGATTTTACATGCTTCACGCATTCCAAGACTGCCAACGCAAAATTTGCAACGTTCTCGGCGTGGTATGGATCCGGCTCAGGAAGACCAGAGCAGCACCTATGATATTCAAAACACAGTGTGTAAGTGCAAGACAGCGTCTTGAAGACACACTAGTCGCTTCGGAAACTCACATGTACGCGTCGCCAACGGTTTCGACCTTATAGAGCTTGAACCGGGCAGCCAAAAAGTCCATGACAGAATACAATTGATTCATTAGATCGATGATGTCCCAAGGTTCGACTTGACCGCAAAGATCGGTGAACCCAACAATGTCGGAAAAGAACAAAGTGACATTCTCGTGGAATGTGGGTTCGATGGTCTTTCCTTTTCTCAAGTCATCCGCGACTTGTTTTGGAAGAATATTGTATAGAAGGGTGTTGGAAAGAGCCTAAATATAGCAGATGCAATGGTAGGGTTGGCGAAAGCAGTAAAGCACCGACACATTATTCACGAGGAAGGCTCACCTGTTCTGATCCGAGAGTTCGGCTCAGCTTATCAAGCTCATGTGCCTTATCAGACTCTTGTCTAATGTATTCGCCGAGGAAGACGGCATCTCGTTGGCAGCTATGAAGAGGCAAATCGGAAAGTGTAAGACCCATGTTGTTGAGATCTTCAACGTTTCGAGCTTCGGGACTGAGCGTGAACATGACCATGTCGCCGTCCAAATTCACGATGGACGCCTTGAACTTGATAACGCCTCCTCCCATTCCAAACCTCTGCTGTCCATCAGCTGCAATGTGTGTTGCAACTCCAGTAACTGCAATCGAGTCTTCGATTGCAGGTGCGAGGAAGAAGTTTTGGTCCGAAAGCTTATTCAAGGACATCCAATTCCAAGAGGTACCAAGAACTGGCCTTGTGATCTTGAGAACGTCTTTGATATGAACTCCCACCAGATCATGCGAGTTGGTGGCTTTTAAAAGCACCGGAAGTTTCTCGCCAACTTGGACAATCCTGAATTCCTTGTCCACTATGACGTGGAAAGGAAAGACCTCCTGCATCGTATCCATGGAGAGCCCAGGTTGGTTCTCTTTGGAACCTGTGAGTGTTGACGATTCGGTGGACATGGATGCAGTTGCATCTATCGTCGTTCGTTCCAGCTCAGCCTTGGCATGTGGGCAGATAGTCTCCGTGCTGTCAATATCTTTTCTCAGCTTCTTTCCAGTGAAAAGACACTTGTTTGGCATCTTGACATCGCTAAAGTCGACGACTTCGTCATCCTCACAGTCATTTGCTACCGCGTTGGGAGAAAGCTTCCATATTTGCTCTTCATCCACTGCTGTTATTCTCCAAGTGCTAAATTTCGACGCATATCCATCTTGTTTGGTGAGTAGGTTCATTTTTACATCGACTTCGAAGTGAAACGAGGCCACTTAAAAATATATAGAAAGTGGAGCCATAAAAGGTTAGCGATGCGACTATTGGCACCAAAACGCTGCGTTCAGTCGAAATGTAGACTTACATTCTTCCACCATTCCGACCACCCAAGGAACGAGTAGATTACCTCTTAGACTGAAGTAGTGAAGCAAGATTGATCCTTCAACTGTGTCACAGTCTTCGCACCAAAAGACTGGCGAACAAAAGTTCTCTCCAGGGAAACTCTTCTGCACGTGATCGTGCATGGCATTCAGGTTGGATAACCACTGTCGGAGTGTAGAACCTTGACACCTGAGAAGGGCTTCGTGTCCATGAGAGAAGTGATACCTGATGCTGTATTTGCCATACGATTCGAGGATACTGTCAAAGGAGACAGAAAGTTCTTCTGATGCTGCGGTGACGAGCTCGATCCATGTATCGTAGTTGTAGAATGTTTTGGTAACAAAAGACTTATCCTTGACATCACAGTCAGCTTTCTCCTTGATAGAATGCCAAACCTTGAGGCCATGTGATTCAATGACCCAGTCTTCAAATATTTCAAATACCAGTCCGTGCATGATGATGATAAGGAGTGATTGAGTTTTGCAACGAAGTTTGCAAAATATGTGTTGGTTCCATTGGATGAATTGTGAGGCAATTCATGCTATTCGACTCGTGGTCTCTTGTGATAAAATAGACTCGCCGGCAATAGTTCAAAGTGCAGCGTTAACCTAGTTGGAACTAATAGCACGTTTCAAAAGCTCGTATTCTGATCTTGATTCTTCAAACGGGATCAAAGCGTCCAGTACCTGTACTACATATCGTAGCTTTTATTACTCGAATGGAATCAATGGTGGGAAAAAAATCAAAATACAGTATTTTAAAATAGGTCTTTTTGGCGTCACTACCTACAGGAACGGCCGGGAAAATCAATATTTACTCCCAAGAATTGAATGCTAAATTTCTATTTCCCGGCCGTTCCCAGTATCTTTCCTTGGCGTACCGGACATAAAAAACATTCGTTCTGATCAGAATATCTATTGCAGTATCTATCACAACAACCCTTGTGGACCTGAACTCTGAACCTGCGTACAGTTAGTATCCTTTTGCACCGGCTTCTGATCAGATTATAGTATACATTTCTTCATCAGCGGCACGGACTTCAATTCTGTTATCGACATGGTAATATGCTTTTCCCATCATTTGCAGACCCAAGGACTGTACCCTGTACGACTTGTTTCGGAGGCCATGCACTGGTACTATGGAATGCGAGCATTTTTTTCCTGCAATCGACCAATGATGAGCAAAAGCAATTTTCAATTTTATTGCCATGTTTTATAAAATATATAAGTGTACAGGGTAGGGTCTGCAACTGGTGGGAGAAGCAGACAAAACGTGCCGTAAAGGCTAGTAGAACAGAAGAAACAGAAGTCGACTGAGTCGAACATATGGTCGATTGAGTCGGCCGAAAAAGGAACATGAATTTAATTTATGTCGTCAACTGCGACATGGTGCGACACGGAGCTACAGGCAAATGTGTACTAAATAAATAGCTTAATTTCTGACACCCGAACATCTTAGTGTTCACGTGCACACCCGCAAAGTACTGTAGTAAGCAAAGCTGCCCGGGGAAAAGAAGACGGGCCACTTTGCAGAAAATACAGAGATGATGATGATACATACCGGCACGCAATAACCCTCCACATTACTTTTTTTCTGCGGCATTGTTGTGAGCGTGCGATAGATTCATCATTGCGCACCATCCCCATCTTGAAGAAGAGAATCGACTATAGAAACTTGCTTCATAGAAACAAAAACAATGAATTTCAACGAAGGAGACTCCGTTGAGAAATTCATGGAAGACTACCTTCGCTGTTTTGATAAAGACAGCCAATACAACGCAAAGAAGATTGTGGAGAGAATCTTGGAGACACAAGTAGAGACACTAGGTGAAGACGATCCTTCTCTGGCCTTGGCACTCGCATTCAAGGGAAGTAAGCTGGAGAAGGAAGGACATTTCAATTAAGCCTTGGAGAAACTCAAAAGAGCTCTTGAGATACAGTTAAAGAAATCTGGCGAAAAACATGTTGACACAGTACGAATCTACAAAGTTATGGGTAGAGTCTTCCTGCAACAAGATGACGGTGCAGAAGCCGAAAAAGTATTCCGAAAGATTCTGGATATCAATCGAGAAATGCTGCCACACCATGATTCTGATTTGATGGATGTGTACCAGAGTCTAGCGCTATCATTGAAAATGCAAGACAAATCTTCAGAAGCTACCAAGACGCAAAAATTTGTACTTGCCACCCTTCTAAAGGAGCATGGAGAAGATCACCCTGGCGTTGTAAAAACGTACATTGGCATTGCGGGGCTGTTGCTAGAACAAGATAGGTGGGACGATGCTCTTCAGATGCTCGATGAATGCATAGAAATTTGTTCTCGACCACGAAGACTAGGAGAGTTTAAAGGGTTATTATTATCAGCGCTTCACGCTAAAGCAACATCCCTGCTGGCACTAAGGAACTGTGAAGATGCGACGGAGCTGTTCGCCCAATTGCTAATGATGCACAAGGAAACGAATGGCGAGTTTCACCCCGACACAGCAGAGGCCTATGAAAATCTTGCAGTGGCATATGTGCAACAAGAAATGCTGAAGGATGGCATTAAGGCGTACACGAAAGCTATCGGTATTCGTCAATCGTTGCTTATGAGTGGTGATCGCCACACAAAGCAGCTTATGGAGACCCTCGAATCGTTGAAGTGTGCGACAAAGGCGGAAGAATTGACGAACAAGGGACTGGCAATGAAGGCGCAAGGCAATTCTGAAAAGGCGATACAGCTCTTTCAAATGGCGCTGGATGTTTACAAGGGAAGATTTAGAACTCATCCCAAATGGGCAGCAGTTTATGAGAATATTTCGGCTGTCAAAGTGGAACAGGGTTTGCTGGAAGATGGCATTGCAGCGAGTGCGGAATCCCTGAAGATGTATCGTAGAGCAGTTGGGGACGATCATCCTGGCACGAAGAAGCGTATGGAAGAGCATCGATCTTTGCTGAAACGTCTCTTGGAGAATCGGAGTTAATTGAGAGAACTGATGATGCAGAGCTTGAAAGGGAAAATGGCATGAGGGGAAGGGATGTCAGCATCACATCTAATGATAAAATGTGTTATTTACCAGCTGAGGAATGATGAAAAGGCCAGTTGGACTACACAGGACGGTACCAATCAATTCCTGTGCCAATAGTATATTTTTTAAACCATAATGTGGATGGGTTTAGGACCTATGATATGGGCTATCAACGGTTTACTGCAATCCTGTCACCATTTGACGGTCAATGATCTCAGATTTCTTTAATATGGAAGATATTGATTTTGTCATTGCAGATCGCGCCATAATTTTGTGAAGCTTTTCGACTACCTACGGTATAGCTATCTAAGATAGCCTACTGCCGTCCTCCGTGTGTGTGTTCTAGTATTTTGTCTTGGTGTGTAGCTGGTGGGTTGTGGTGTGAAGCGGGTCGAACTGATCGAGTAATAGACTCGATTCGTTCGACCAATCTCAGAAATCCCGTGTGCGGTATTACTGAGATCTGCTTTCCTACCAGGCACCGCCGATATGGTAAAATGGAGGCGGTGCCCAACAGGGCGGGTGAGGTTTGGGAGAGAAAAATTGAATTACCACGACACAAGTGGGTGAATTCAATCTCAGTCGATAAACTGGGCATCATTGCCTCAGCGCATCGACAACAACTTTTGACGGTCGAAGGCCGTTCGGCCTTTGTCCGTCTGTAACACAATGTAGTCAAAGTGATCGAACAGTGTGCCTGCGGAGCAATGATGTTGAGACGGTCGTTCGACCGTCGTCAGTATGATGAAAGGAATCCAATGATTCGTTCTCGAGCTTTCGTCTACGAGTACGTTAGACAAGACTAATTTTAAAAAAGTTGTATTAATACATAGTAAAACTCATCATCATGCATCGTTGCGATTGATAACAAATACGGTACAATTGGTGCTTGTGAAAGTCAAAATGATAATTTCAAAAGAAGAAGCAAATATTGAATGGATGTGATATGAACGCTGCTCGCACCACCATCGTAAGCTTGAAGAAAAAAAGCAGACTATACAGTAGACGCTCATATTCTAGAAACGAAAAAGAAATACAGTATTGGAGGACAACGAACAAGTTTCGGTTCTCAAACTGATGGAACAGTTCCATGTCTATCTCCAACAAGGCAACCATCAAAAGGCGAAGGAGATTTTTTAGAGAGTCTTGAAGAAACAAACGAAATTGCATGGGAACTGTGTTGACTAGGAAAATGAAATTCAATGAAGCCTTGGAGAAACTCGAACGAGCTCTTATTGAGATACAGTTGACGAAGTTGGGAGAACCACATGATGATACAGCAAAAACTTACGGACGGGTTGGCACAATCTTTCTCGAAGAAATTTACCGAAAAGTTCTGGATATCACGATTTGACGGATCTGTACCATCATCTATCACATTCGTTGGACATACAAGGCAAGTTTTCAGAAGCAATCAAGATACAAAAACTCGCGCTTGCCGAACTACGAGGAATTCATGGGGAAGACTATCCCAGCGTTGCGAAAACATACATCGGCATTGCATCACTTTTGGGAAGCCAAGATAGGGCTTTGACGATCCTCTTCAGATGCATGATAAAAGCATCGAGATTTGTTCTCGACTACAAGGATGAGGAGACTTAGACCCAAATATACTGGCAGCAGCGATGTTCAATAAAGGAACATGCCTGAAAGCACGAGGGAACTTAATAACTGCCACAGAGTTGTTTGTCAAAGTGCTATTGATACAAAAGGAAGCGTTAGGTGAAATGCACCTCTTAAGAGCTGAGATCTATGAACGTCTTGCAAAATCTTATCTAGAACAAGATATGTTAGACGATGCTAGTCAGGCGTACTCGGAAGCTATCAATATTCTCAAAACAGCGCTTGGCAGTCGTCATCCTCGCACAAACGAGCTCATGGCTATCGTAAAAAGGGATAAAGTGCGAGAATGCTGCGAAAGAATTGAACGAACAGGGATTGTCAATGAAGGCGCAAGGCGATTCAGAAAAGGCACTACATATCTTTCAGGAAGCGCTGGATTCCTATAAGGGAAACTTTGGTGTTCAACCCATCATGGGAGCAAGGTTAGCTGGAGGATGCCGTTGCTGCGAGTGCAGAAGCCCTCAAGATTCATCGAAGAACATATGGAGACGATCATATTGACACAAAGGGACGTATTGAGGCACACAGATCTTTGCTGAACCGTCTCTTGGAGAATCTGAGCTAACGATGGCTTCGCTGGAAGTGTCATGCTTATGCAATTGAGGTCGAGCCAACACATAGAACGACTTGCCATCCAATGGTGTCTTATCACCCACGACCCAGTCGTAGAAATTACGTAATGGTTCTCGTTTTCTTAGCAGCAGGGCGCCGTCGTTGTATATTCGTCGGACTGACGGCTCTTTAATGATCCAAGCTGCTGAGTGCAATGAGTCTTGGGCGCGAGGAATGTTTCCAATTTGATGAAAAGGCTGAACAGCTATTAATAGCAACAAGAGGAATAGATGATATTTTTTTAAATGATTTATCACTAGGGCTAGCTAGATGCTAATAGAACGGCGTCTCGATCCAGACCGCAGTAGTGGGTCTTGCCGCCGCCAAGCAGAAAGATTCGCAAAATAGGATACTTCAATCGTCCTTGTCTAGAAACCATCCAAAAAAAAATCTTTCTGCACGTAGTTACACTGGGACTTGTTAGGGATACCACTTCATGATGAGGAATCTAATTTGACGACCGACTGGATAGGATTGAAAGACTGGGGTATCGTTACACTTACTACAGCTCAGTCAAGAGCCACTGAACTTGTGTGTCTTGTGACAGTGGATTGTAAATGGAATCACCATTGGAAAAAGAACCATGGTGCCATTGATTGTTGATATCCGATATGCCGCAGAGTATGCTTTTGACGTGAGACTAAAATCGGTCGTTCACAGTCCTCAGTCCTATCGATCAATCAACCATTTAAAAGTGGTTGTTATATTCGTAGTGAAGGCTCCATGGCCATCAATATGATCTTTTCAGCTCACGTATCCTCGATGATCCGATCAGTTCACGTATCCTCAGGAACCATATCTTCTAAAAGATCCTTCCTGAGGGCTTGACCATGGCGCAGGTGCCGTCGTCGTTCTACGTTAACAGGTGGGAGGTGTCAACGTATTCTGAACAGAACACCCAATTTTGAAAGGTATAATTTACGTCAGGAAAATTGATCCAAGTCAGGCCCTTGCCATATGTGTTCTTGATTACAGCAAAGATAGCACGATGGATCCAGCATTTGTGGTTACGGATATGCCTATGTGACTTTCCCATCGCCAAGTTGGAGGTGTCGACAGACTCACTTCGACAACATCCCAATCACCGATCGAAGATATCATTCGATACAGAAAATTGTAAACATCATGGACCCAAACTTACTCAAAGAAATCTTTGGAACATCGTCTGTCATATTCAATATCTTCTAGTTGTCGAAAAGGTTGGTGATGAGAACCGTCATCTCCCTTGACAACAAGATCCAATCTTCCGGAAAAGCGAAGACACTTGGTGACACAAAGATCGTTTGATGATACTCGGAGTGACGTCCCTAGACCTTTTGGTAAGCGAGGTCTACAGGGACTTCACGGGTTATGGTTGACGCTTTCCGAACCCTCTGCCCAAAATCGAGAACCTTGATCCGAATGTTCCCTCATTTTGGTGTCACTTCGCGTAGAAAATGTACTAGAAATTCTGACATCATCGATCATGGTATCTTTTTCCCGATCCCTGCGACGTACCAGAAGCCGTAAAATTGGACAATAGTTTTGTTCTTCCTCTTTCGATCCGAAATTTGTGCATCCAGTATCGTCTCATAACTTTTGAGATCTGATATCTTTCAGCATAACAAAAGCAACCCAAAAGCTACACACTTTCACTTTACCCAATCACCGGTACACCACACATCATCATGGCCAAGAAGACCAAGCAAGTTAAGGAGGAAGAAATCGCACTCAACAAGTATGTTCTTCAATCGTACATTTTCAGAACCCTTCGAAAGATCTTTCAACGAACGTCGACTGACCCATTTCTGTCTTTCTTGCTTGCTTGCTTTCTTTCTTTCTTTGATCACCACAGAAAGGACGCCAAGAAGGTTCACAAGCTTGAATCACAAATCCCGTACCACGAAGGACGCGGAAACAACGAAGAAGTTGACAAGATAAAAGCACAAATCGATGCCATCTGGGCCAAGACTCGCGAAGCTGCTGCCATCTAGATCGGTCCATGGATCCATCGGCCCACTTTCTTCTTCTATTGGGACACCACTTGGGTATACTATTGTAGTAAAAGAAATAAAAGAATAAAAATCCAATTATAGAACTTTTTGTGATGTCTCCGCTCTTTTATATTAATCCTTTCCGTCTACTATTCACGATCTCTCAACGTAATAGATATCCGAACATGGCCACTTTACTACTCCCCTGTACGTGCCGTATGATATGATCCTTGGCCCTTGTTGGCTCTGCTTGCAACATCAAATGAATGTAAACGTATTCTGTGAGCGTTTGCTTGGGACCTGCTCAGAATGAACCGATTGTATATATATTTTGAAAAGATGGACTCAGAAGACAAATCTCTTGTGATCAGTTATTATCAGTACAAAAGCAACAGTATCAATAGTTTGTTAGCCTAGTCAGCTTAGAAAGGAGTATTGAGATCCCTTCAATGCGCATCGGCCCGACCTTGAGTCTTGCTTCAAATTTACCAACGAGAACTCCACAGATTTCTTTTGTCTTCCTTTGGTTCGATGGTATCTTTTTCCCGATCTCTGCGAGGTATTTACACAGCACAACCAGAAGCCGTAAAATTGGACGATAGTTTTGTTCTTCCTCTTTCGATCCGAAATTTGTGCATCCAGTATCGTCTCATAACTTTTGAGATCTGATATCTTTCAGCATAACAAAAGCAACCCAAAAGCTACACACTTTCACTTTACCCAATCACCGGTACACCACACATCATCATGGCCAAGAAGACCAAGCAAGTTAAGGAGGAAGAAATCGCACTCAACAAGTATGTTCTTCAATCGTACATTTTCAGAACCCTTCGAAAGATCTTTCAACGAACGTCGACTGACCCATTTCTGTCTTTCTTGCTTGCTTGCTTTCTTTCTTTCTTTGATCACCACAGAAAGGACGCCAAGAAGGTTCACAAGCTTGAATCACAAATCCCGTACCACGAAGGACGCGGAAACAACGAAGAAGTTGACAAGATAAAAGCACAAATCGATGCCATCTGGGCCAAGACTCGCGAAGCTGTTGCCATCTAGATCGGTCCATGGATCCATCGGCCCACTTTCTTCTTCTATTGGGACACCACTTGGGTATACTATTGTAGTAAAGAAATAAAAGAATAAAAATCCAATTATAGAACTTTGTTGATATCATCTCTCTTATTTGTGCTTTCCGTCTACGACATGATCTATCAGCGTCATTTACCAACGAGAACTCTACAGTACAGATTTCTTTTGTCTTCTCCGACAATAGTCTTCGCTTTGCTCAAATGGAAGAGATTCCTTGGAAGCCAATAAAGTGACTACACAGTGAAGGTAGTAACAGGAATGAAGTGGAAATTTAACATGTTACTTCAGCGCTTGCCATTGCAATGAAAACATATGGACGAGAACTCGGAAATCGTCTCTCCTTCAGCTTTCAAATTTCGAATTTGCATTCACTCGCATGCCTCTTTTGGTCGTCCGAAAATGATTGGAGCTGTCTGCAAAGGCTGGACATACAGCGATTGCTGTTTGCCTGATTCCTTGGGGCGAATCTGTGTGATTGTTGATCGTGCGCATGGTTGGTGTCTCTCTCAACTTTGGTAGATCATATGGTACGTTTCGCCCCCAAAGTATTCCTTTTCTCTTGCCTTGCTTAAAATTCAATAACTATTTTTCATTCCATTGGTGGCCGCAATTCACACACTTGTAAAAGACCGACATGGGCTCATCAGCGGATCGGATCTGTATTTGCATAAAGTAGGCTTCTGAATGGTTGCACTTGGGGCAGTTCTCTTTGGTTCGATCCACATTATCCCAAGCTTCAGCTCCTCCCAAGATATCATCGATGGCCTTTCGAAAAGGAAATGTCTTTCTGGCTACCGTAGACTTGATGGGACAAGAGTAGGGGCAAGTCACACAGTAAAAGTGTCCTGATGGTTCTTGTTCCGCAGAGTGTTCCACGTGGCGAACTTGAAGCAGAGTTCCATCCAAAGGACAAAACCACATATCGAAAGTAAACTATATTCGTTCGGAATACAAATGCTGTGTTGGGAGGGAGCTCTATTGAGATGATGACAGCACTTTCTTGCTATCAGCAATATGGGTTGATGGCATGATCGAGAAATCAAAATAATAGGTCTGTGGTGGATTGCGACTATAGAAGTCCATTCGTGTGGACAGACAGACAATTATTGAATTTGGCAACCAGAACTCAAAACTGTTTTGTGGTAGCTCACGTTCTGGTAGCTTCGAGTAAGTATTCAGTCTTTGCACATTTCTAATATCTTTATCCTTGCTATAGAGTTTACGCAAAACTGTGGATAGCCTCAAACGCCAAGTCTTGTTTTTTATAATCACTCAAATATTTGCCATCGTCCAATGTTGCCTGATCACAGAGATCCCCCCTAGTACCCTTGGCGGCTGCAACCAATATCCCACTCGGATAGTTCCATTCGGGAGATCCAATCATGGCTCGAAAGAAGTGTGTAGCTGCAACCTTGTAGTCTTGGGCAATTCCATACTGCACCAAGTCTTCGAACTTGAACTGTTGAGGGTTCTCTTCGATCTGAATGTGCTTGTTTAACGAATCCTGCGTGAATCCTGGCGATAGCAGCCAAAAGTGTATTATTGAATGTTTTCGAGCCAGGGAAGCTATGTAGAGCGATAAAATACCTTGGAGATGCGAGTAGATGCTGTGACCATTATTTAGATCCAGTCCTGTCCCATTCAACATCGATACATAAGAATCTAAGGATTCACCTAAAATGGGCGCCGAAAACATTGGTGGGATGCCTCTCGCAGCCTCAGATCCCGAAACAATCACCCTTGAAGAGTCGAAAAGCATCTTCTTTTCGATCAGAGCTTCGATGAGATACATTTGTGACAATATTTTGATCTGAGCCATTTCCAACATCCCGCTTTCCTCCAGCACAACTCCAAACCTCCCAGGGAGGCAACCTTGCCAATTCATCACTAACGCATTCACGACGCCATCTCCGAGGGCCTTGATCAGCTCGTCTGAAGCACGACGGCATGCAGTTCTATCACCATGTGGATCAAATGGCACCACTTGTATGCTTCTTGCATTCGGCGAATCATCGTCACCAGATCCATTCTTAATTTCGTTCACCCAAAGTTGTGCTTCATCGATACATGGCGATGGACAAGCAATAAAGATTTGACTTGATGGCTTTTCACTTGAAATCAGGCATGCAATTTCCTGTGTGATGAGGAGATCAGCTCGTGTCGACACAATTACGTATTTGGAGGATTCTCCTTGTTCTGTCATGCTTTTACGTTATCTGACGCTTCTTCTCAGTGATCGTAGGATGATGTTGGCGCAAGAAGAATGAATCAATATTGAAGGAAAGAGAGATGCCTTTCGCTTCGTGGGAAGGATGTTTGCGAACGACTTGAGAAGTCGGTTTCTTTAGTGTTCCCTCTCATGATGTTGTGAGTCATCAGAAGAGAAGAAACATCAATCTTCGCCAAGTTGAAGGTGCGGACGACGTAATGACCACAAACTAGATGGAGAATGCAAGAAATGAAGACAACGATGAAGCTTAAAAGTACAGAGTACAGTACAGTACCGTATTGTTTGTTTTTGTTTGTTTGATTATTGTGCCATCTAAATTTAGCCTCTAATTGTATTGATTTGGTAATCGGCACATAGCTGTGGTGCGCTGTGAAGCATCATCCCCAATGCTCTATCTAGTGTAGCGCTTCCAATCCCAGCTCTCGTCCGCTCTTAGCAAGCTGTGTTTGGAAAAGAGAATGCCAGAGGAGCTGCTGCTTGTCCATGGCCAGTTGCAAAGAGTTGCTTGGGTGAAGACAATCCAAATCCGAAAGTGCCGGAGTCAGTCATGGCTGGTGCCAAGTTCTCATCCTCTTGTTCCTCGCCACCAAAGTAAGTCTCAAGGATCTTGAGGGTCTTCTCGTATACAGCATTGCTTGGGTGCTCTTGAAGTGCCTCGATGTATTCAACACCGTTAAATTCATCAAGATGAGTAGCATAATCTCTGTCATTTCTGGCACCGACGGCGAGAACCTGATCAATGCCATCCAATGCGGCACCAATCACAGAGTTGTCCATATTGTTAAAGGCAAGGATATCAGCCAAGGGTCGAAGGCCTCCGCTTTGGATCAATCCCATAACTTGGACGTCGCTTCCGACGGTGCAAATATTTGAAAGTGCCCAGACAGCTTCCTTGCGGACATCCCACTGAGAGTTGGAGGCGTTGCTGATGATAGATTCAATGAGATCTCGTCGTCGAATAAACATTGCGATCTGTTCTTGGGTTCCAGCAGTAATGTTGGATACAAGCCAGCATGCCTCCTTGCGAATAGACTTCTTTCCACTTTCGAGGAGTCCGAGAATGTGGTCAAGGATTCCAGCATCAAGGACGGCTTGGGTTTGTTCGTCGCTTCCTGTGACAAAGTTACCAAGGCATCGAAGAGTAGGTGTCATAAGTTGAGTAGAGTTTGCTGCCAAGAATCCAATCAGGGTGGCAACGATATCGGTGTTCATGATAGCTTCGATACGCTCATTGGGTCCATCAGAGAGGTAAGATAGCGCCCAAGTAGCGTCGATCTTGGTTTCAATCGAAACATCCTTCTTGAGGAGATCGGCAAGGTAGGGAATTGCTGGAGCAACCAATTCAAAGGCAGGTGCAGGCTTGCCTCGGCAAAGGTTGGAGACAGTCCAGGTGACATTGGCCAAGAGAGACATGGAACCAGGTTGGGCAATGTTCCTGAGTAGTGGTTCAAGGGCTCCGTGTTGAAGGAGGATATTTCGGAACTCAGTATTGTCACCAGCAATGTTTCCGAGGCACCATGCAGCTTGTTCCCGCACGTCTGGGATATGGTGACAAAGCAATTGAATTAGAGGTGGAACAGCACCACCTTCAACGACGGCTGAGGTCATCTCAGTAGACGCGATGTTGGTCAATGCCCAAGCCGCCTCGAAAATCAAAGTGTTTGCTTGAGGGTTTTTGGTCAAACATTGGATCAAGATAGGAAGAACCCCGGCTTGCAAGACTGCGTGAACTGGTGGATTTCTCTCGAGAGACAAGATTCGACGAAAGCCTCGGACGGCATCCTCCGTTTGTTGCTCAGTAGATTGTGGGTTTTGGAGGATAAGTGAAAGTTGGGGGATATCAGCAACGGTGCAGGTTGTTTTTACTCCAGATGACGATACGTTGTCCGCCATGGTGTCGTTGGCATTGATTACAGGGGCAGCCATTCGTCTCTTGAGAAGCATTCCATCCTTCTTGGCCTTTCGGATCTGACGAGTGGTTTCTTCCCGACGGCGACGGCCATCACCACTATCAATGGCCTTTTTGAAATTGGAACGACGTTCTGTGGTGGAAAAGGGATTGACGAGTTAGTCAATGTGGTCCATCGTGTTGCAGGAGTACATAGATTCGAAGTGTTGCTTACCTTCTTCGCGGAACATGTTGATGTGTTTATGTGTTGTGATATTGATCGGTCAGAGACTGAAAGTGTGAGCAAAGTTTGTTTGAAACCGAAATCGTGGGCGAGGCGAAATGGCGATGGAAAGTTTGAAATCTTCGCGCGAAGGGCCGCCGCGGACTAGACACGCTGGGGAAATCCATATTAAAAAAATCAATTTAAGATGTGACACATGCAACCTGTCCGTCGTCCGGAACGAGTAAAAACTCTCACGTCCCCAAACCGTCGTCGGGAGGAGAGAAACCCAAAGATTGGCGAGCCTTGCGTAGAAGTCTACGTAGGATCGTACGAGACAGGTTTGGCTCCCGTTTGGAAAAACTCATTCACGAGAAGTGCGCATTCCCACGCACGGACAGACCCAAATCTACTGTAGTGTCTCTTTGATCTTGTCACTTGCGCTTGCTCTTCCCTCTTCTGAATAACAAGTGACGAGTTCCCCGTGGGATTCACTCTTATCGGCTACGTGAGGTGCAACTCCTTCCGTATCTTCTCCAATAGTTGAATGGAATCAAGTTGGTCCGAGCTGAATTTTCTTGCAAACATCATTCCGTTCTTCTTGGCTTCGACAATGTTGTCCCACGTTTGATTGCCCCAAAAGTACATTTCGGCTTTCCCAAGGGCTTCAATTCGGAAGCATCTATTCTCGTTCAAGTCCAATACTGCATTATTCATGCTTCCAACACAATTATTTTCTTCCCCTCCCCATAGCTGAAACATGTTGGATTGTTTTCGTGCTTCATGCAAAAAGCCAATGATATCCATGGCAGCGATCCAAGTTCGTTCTAAAGCATATTGGGGGTGAGGTTCCATTACTTTTGGCATCAATGTATATATATATATATATATATATACACACACAAAAGGTACACATTCCCCTTACCTTCAACACAGCAACAGCAACTATACTTTGCCATGGCAAATATTTGAAGCACCTTTTCACTTTGAAGCATTTTCTCAACTGCTGAATATCCAAAGATTGCCTGGTTCCCGGAATTGCTCTTGTGTCGCATCGTCTCGGTCATCCAGTCAGGAACTATATCATGAAAGATTGTTCCTGTTCGGATTGCAAGTTTAGTAGATGTGGCCAGAAGCCGATGTTTCCATAACAAATGCGTTTGGGGCGCTTCCACACGTCTGCCTTTCATGGTGGCTTCCCCGAGCCACACATTTCCTGCAGACTCATAGAGATGCTTGGACAATTCCAATGCTCCAAATAAGGGATACACTGCTCCGCCAAGCGACGCAAAGTAGTCAAACTTGATTTTTAGCTCTGTCGTTATCCAGTACATCAATTGGAGTGTCACTCGCGATATGGAATCCGTTTTGTAAATAATGGTCCCAAATTGCACAACGACAACATTCTGATAGTCATTGGCAATGGCTTCCACTTGCTGATGATAGGATTCGTCACCTTGCTGTGTCTGCTCCAAGTGAATGATTATCAAGTGATGAGGCAAATGTATAGCTTCAATCAAACGACGAAGATGTTTGGAATCCTTGTAGGCAACAATCGAAAAGACAACCCTTGCTTGTTGGGGAGGCACCGGGAAGACTTTGGCAATTTCTTGCAGCTTCCACCCAGCCTTTTGTATGGATGCTACGCGTTTTATCCTCGGTCGATATTGATCAAACTGACACTTTCCATTGTGGGTCAGATAGAGTTCCAACAATTCCAGCGTCCATTCGTTTCTCAGCTTGGTGGTTTCGAGGCCTTCAGTGTCATTTGCAAGGGCGCGCTTGGGAAGATTGGATTGAATCACTGGCTCAGCAAAGGATTGAAATAATGTCCAATTCAGAGAAATCATGTCACAGTGATCCAATTCCACAAAATCGCTTTGATCCAAGGTGGTCTGAAGGAAGTGTGGCAATGACGAAACTGATGACTTGTATGTGCCTGATGATGCCGACGTGGCTGTCAAATCCTTCTCTGTTAGGTTGGTAAATGCAATCCATCGGTCAGATCCACTGATGTCATCTGGAAGGATGATGCCTTGCATAAGGATTCGTTTGCCCCATCCTAAAGTAATCATTAGCATTGTTCCAATTAGACAAAGCCAGCAATGAAGCCTCCGTTTGGTAGCTCCTTTGTATTTCTCTCTTAATCGAACCTTCATGGCTGTCGGGAGTGCGAAACTTAAATCGGTTAAAGTATCATGGTCTTATAGTCAAAGGCTTTATTGTTGCTGGTAAGTAATCTTGTGTTGCAACAATGGATTTCATGCGCTTTCAGCTCTGCAATTACGAGTATGCGATGCGATGCGCTATGCTGAAAATCTGAATTCGGTCGACCTGTTGGACCACATGCGATTTTCTTCGTGATAAAAAATCTAGCCCCTTGCCGCATACGGCATAAATATAGTTTCAAACAAGATCGTCATATCGCATCGCAATATGCCATCATCTTTACCTACCATCATAAGCCACGAATCGATCAGAAAGCCTTCAGTCGAAGATGGGTTTGAAAGGCCTCTAGAAATCACGACTAACGCTGCGTCGGTACGACCAAGAAGAGGGAGTGCGAGTGGAAGCATGACTCCAACCGAAACGCCGAGACGACCAAAACGAAGAGGCAGTGCGAGTGGGAGCATGAACACTGTTTCATATGCACCTGAAATAACCAGTAGTGGTATGTCGTCAAGACGACCAAGAAGGGGCAGTGCGAGTGGAAGCACGAACCCAATTTCATCTGCAACTGGATCCAAGACAGGATACAAACGTGAGATAGCAGCACTGGAGTTTCTCCTGGGAATACCCATGAAAGCAGAACGGGATATTGTTCACCAAGGGTGGTTACAGCAAAATGGAATGGTAGATATGAAACGAAATAATAAAAAGGCAGACGATGCTGCTGCTACTCCAGTGGCACGATCGGGAAGTGGTGACATTCGGTCCGGCAATGGTGACATGCCTCCACTAGTTGGGCACCATGGTAGATGGTGGGAAAAATGGGTCGGCAATCCATCCAAACAGATGGATCCATCTCGATCAAGCAGGATCGAAGAAGAAGAGCTAGAGCAACCGAATCAATTCGACGAAAGTCTTCGATCCGCAACCTTCCGGAACAGGCATCAAGTTGTTTCGATGGTCCATGCACCTGGTCGCCGACTTGAGGGCGATGATGCTATTCGAATTGAAATGCCTAAAGAAATCAAGAAAAGTTCTGGGCAGAGACACATTGCTCGAATAGCAGCCAAACGAGAATGGGAGTTGGAAATTGCTCACGGAATTGACAACGCAGCCTTACGATCGAGTGCGAGCAATGCGTCAGATGCCAGGAAAGATCATCCACCATTGCTCGATGGCCGCATATTCTTTTCTGCAGCAGGGTCTTACCCCTGTGAAGTGTTTAGTATCATTCGGTATGAACCCAAAAAAGAAGAAGCGGCACGCCGCCGCAAAAAGCTCGAAGCTCGAGGTGGTGGTGGTAGCGAGTTTATTGTCCCGGCACGAGATTGGCGTGGCATCTCGTATAGAGCACTGTTGCCTGCGCGAAAACAGGGAAAGCATAGATCGAGGAGTAATGACAATTCCCTCATGCTGTTCGATCGATTCCAAAACCATCATGATCCATTAGAAAACAAGAGAAGTACGAACGAAACAGCTTCGACTGGGTCCGAAACACTTGAGGAATCCGACGACACGGATGACGAGCCAGATACATATGTTCCAGGTTTGGTAAGATCTTTTCTATTGTCAATGTGTTGCATGTGTGAGTGAGAAATGTCTCTGACACACTGTCGAATTCACTCGTTCAGTTGGATGATCCGGAAATGGTTCTAGGACGCCACCGGAATGTCATGATTGGAGACAGGAGCACTGGTTGTATCGTTGCCTCCACAATCCAGTTTGTACAACCTACATTGCTAAAATCAAACTTAAATAAGCAGTTTCGAGAGCGCTTTGATGGATGGGAACCGCCAAAGGTTCAGCGCCCCTTCATTGGAGCCCAAATCGTGGATGGCGTCTATACTCTGAAAGAAGATGATGGGCACGGAGCGAGCCAAAGCTTGGCCATCGAAAGTGGATCAAACATTTCTTCTTCCACAGGGTCACAACGGAAACGACAGGGCTCAATGTCTTCCATGCCTGGGGTTGATTCCTCGGAAATTATCCGAATGCCGCCATCGCTTACTCTTTCGAAAATCAGATCCTTGAAACTGCAGGCTCTTCGAGCTGCAGTCAAAGCAAGACTTGAGATCAGTACTGTTGCCCTTGCAATCGTATATTTTGAAAGACTGTGCTTGGATTGCCGCATAGACAAAACCAACAGAAGATTGTCGTTTGCAGCTTGTCTCTTGCTTGCTGTGAAAATCAACGAATCCCATGTGGGACTTGTCATGACCCATGAGGACAGGAGTGGCGCATCATCATCCAAGGCTCTTGCCGCAAACCGAATACAATCGTTGTACCGCCCTACAAAGAAAAGCAACAACATGTTTTCGTCGCTCTTGGAATTCTTTACTCAAGAATGGGAGATATCATTGAAACACCTCTTTTCTGCTGAATGGGGAGTTTTTGCTGCGTTACAATTTCGGTTGCATGCAAAGCCATCCCAAGTTGCCTTCCATTACAGGCGGCTCCTAAAGTCTTTGGTAAGATCGATCGATAAAGTACTTGCTTTGATGAAGAAACCCGAGCTCACGTTCATTATCTATAATTCATATGCAGGGCTGGAACCCTAGACAATACCTCGGTGGCGAGATGTTCAGCTTTTGGCAAACGGCATTGGCGCACGAGGAGTATCTTCGGCAGGAGAGGCAAGTGAGAATAGAAATGCGTCAACAGGCGAAGGAGAAAGAAGAATTGATGCAGCTACAACGGGAAATGGGGAGATTGGAAACAATCGACGACGCAGGTATTGAAACAATCATTGAAAAGGATGTCGATAAGGAAACCGAAAAGGAACAGGAAAAAGAGACGCCTCAGCTCGCAACGCCAAATTCTCTTCCATCAAAAAGACAATCAAATTCCCTCGAACCAAAGAAGCAAATACGTCGAGGATTGTCTCTCCTGAATCGTTTTGGCCCTGGCACTAAACCCACTAAACGATCATTGAGCACAGATCGGGTTTCACAAAGCGATGAGTTGGGGCTTGAAAATGACAATCTCACTACCCGCAAGCTGCCGCTATCTACATCAGTCCCAATGCTATCTAGCTTGTTGCCGGGAGATGGACGTGCTGATGATGTGGATACCACATCTGCTGCTGTGGCCAAGCGCTACTCCAATACCGACAATACTGCAAAATCCTTGGAGCCGGACCACTTGGGACGTGGCGAAGACGATGCCAAATCAATATCGGATCACAGCGAGACGAGCATAATAATGGTATAGATGATAATTGACTTTCCATTTGATATGCATCGTAGAGTGATGCGTGATGTGTATTATTCATCGTTTCTCTACTTCTCCATTTACACCACCGCATCTTACATGAGAACAGGAGAAGAATGATGAGCGCTACAGTACAGTATGTCGTCTTCCTCTTCAGTGAGTATTCAGTACCAATATCTCACCCCTCAGCAATGACAATAACAATAACAAGGTGGTGATTTCTGCAAGGCATCCATTCATCAGCTGTTCCAACAAACCTTTGCTGATTCGGCAAATGAGCAAGAAGGTCAAATCGTTGGGCAGCTATCATGGGATTTGATGTATCAAACGCTTAGTGAGGATCTCTTTGTCTTTGTGGTCACTACAGATGATTCTACAAGGGTGGCTGGATGCTTCATATTTAGCCGATTGGCATTGTCAGAACAGACTAACATCATTTCCTTTCTGCTGTCTCCTATGGCAGTTCAAACAACCCATCAAAAGCGAGGGATCAGACAAGACTTGCTTCGATTTGCAATGGACGCATTGAAGAAACGAGAACCAAACATCGACTTGCTGGCTACCTATGGGGACCCAAATTACTATTCCAATGTCGAATTTCAACTGGTTACAACTGCTGTCATTCCAGCTCCCCTACCACTTTCCGTGCCTAAAGGCTGGCTGGTGGCTGGCACTGCCTTTGCACCAAAAGGGTATTTTATCGATACTGGGACCAAGTTGTTTTGTAGAGCAGCATTGAACAAGAAAGAGCTGTGGTCAAGACGACATCCAACATAATCCAACAAATATATCAGATGAGAGCTGAAATAAGATCACAACTACGTTTTGAGTGGCAACAATGGCCTATTATGCACGAAAGGATCTATATCTAGTCCTCAAATGTAGTCAGCACTACAACGTGTCATCCAAAGTGGACAATAGTCACGTTCACCTTGGGGTCAAGTCACTCAACCGAATGCGTTGTGTACATTTTGCCTGCGCTTGATTGTGAATGCTGACCGATCGGCACTGCAAATTTGGATTATTGGACCAAGTTGTAGACCTTGCAGAAGAGTCTGCGGCATAAAACTCGGCAAGAATTTCTGGATTTTGTAAATGAGTGTTTATGGTAATCAAGGCGAATGGTCGTCTCCAGACTTTGGCGATCCCAGAAGATGTGATTTGGACGAGTGGGTAGGGCCAGAGATGGACACCTGTTGAACGAAACTGGTTTCGGTGAATGTCACCAGAGTTGAACAAGACTCCGGAAATCCTATGTTGGGAGATAACCCGCCCAATGCTGTGGATATCACGCAGCATACCGACTTCCAACACACCACTTGCAGCGACAATGACTTTGAATTTGGCAGATGAGGCAATCAGCTTTTCAAAAAGCCATGCAAGTTGGGCGTTACCAAACAGAGTACCAGTGGCACCATTTCGATACCATCGGCAATCCATGACAAAGAAATCCACATCTCCCCAGCTGTAGGAGTAATAGTTTCCAGCACCCTTGGATGACCCTTGGTATGGATTCGGCCAGAGATGTCTCCAAGCGGCAAGCGAGTTCCCTTTGCCTCGTTGATCACTGTTGCCTGTTGCACTTCCGTAATCGTTGTTGTCCCATGATCCGTAAGTCGGAACCGTCTTGATGAGATGGGCAAAATGAGGTTCGGCTCGCTGTTGCAAGGTCCTGTAAGACACAAATAAGAAAGATCAGTGAAAACTTTCGTGAAAGACGCGGCAACGAATGCAAGAGAGAGAAGATGGAACTCACCGGTACCAGATTCGGTCATATTTGACTTCCCCATTGGACCTAAGATCCTCATTATTCAAATAGACCGTGTCTCCAGGTAGCATTGCAAAGTCAATGTTTCTTTTCAGAGCTGCATTCCATACTGGTTGTGAGGTGTATCCATCACGATTCGACTTGACATCCATGCAGGATGCCAACAAGTATTTGAAGGAAGTTGCTTGGTTTTGCCTTGGCGCTGTCTTGAAGTGCCCCTGAGCAAGCCACTGGTTGTTGATTCGAACCTCGTACAAGTAGGTGGTATTTGGTCTCAAGCCTCCAATGTTGCGAAAGGCAGCCCCATTCGCGTTCGAATCTGGATGAAGATTGACAGTATTGACGGATTGCATTTCGCCGTTGCTTGAGTAAGGCCAATAGACCAACTGCATTGGCACATTTCTGCCGAGGTAAACCCAAATCTTGACGTAATCTTGTGCGGTGTGTCCTATGAGTGGCCCTGACTGAAGGGAATAGGCTGGAAATCGAGAAACGGTTTGTGGCCATGGTGTGATTGGAGGCAATGGATCGGCTGGATTTGTTGAAGGTGCGGGTCCTGATGCAGCTGCAGGCACATCTCCTCCGCCACCTCCAGATGGTGCGCCACCACCACCTGATCTTGACGACCAAATGATTTGGCCATTATTACGTCGAGCAATCATCAGTCCATCGCGGCTTGGTGTCAATACAAGATTGTAATTGTCAATTCCAGATGGCTTATTGCTGGCCCATTCTACCTTTGGGCTATCGTTATTGATTTTTGAATAGGTCACCAAATTGCCATCGTCTTGCAAGACTGACCAGTACCTCTTGTTGGAGGGAAGGTGAACTATACCACTGCTCCAGAAAACATGGTTGTTTTGATCGTAGAGAACAAGATTTCCGTCAGCCTGTTGTTGGAGATAGAATGCCTTGTCGCCAGGCTTTCTGTGGATTCGGTTGTCTTGATATAATCTTTGATCTTTTGTCAAGAAGGTATTTGCTCCCCAGTTAAAGTTAGAGAGGCTAGCACGCGAATCAAGTAGAGAGAAACCATTGCCTACTTCGTCGTTGGCATCCGGAATGTCAATCATGATGCTTGGCTGGAATACAATTTCGTTCGAGTTGTCTGTTGAGATTCCTTCTAGAGCTCCAGCTCCTGAAGTAGAAGGAAGTCCATTCGACCTTGGCATATAAAGAAGTAAATATGTGATACCACCGATTAATGGCAATAAGAGAAGGCAGCATATAGTGCCAAAAACCACTGTGGCTTTGTGCGTTTCCAGTTCTTCCACAATCGAATTGTTCTCATTGTCTCCCTCTTGCTCTGTTTCCGCGAGGGAAGACCTGGCGAGCTCCAGTTTCTTCGGAGCAGTTTCCACCATTTTCCCTTTAGTTGCTCTTTCTGTTGTTGTAAGACATTGGTCGTTCTTGACCAGAAATCGCATTCTTTTGTCTTGATCGTTGTTGATTGATTTGCGCGTGGAATCTCTGAATCTTTGTTCGAGCGACTATCCTCAGACACTTCGATTCAAAAATTTCTTGCCGTTCAGGACAGCAAGCGACCAAAAGGAAAGGTCCAGCGCGGTAAATTGCATGTGTGAAAAATTTGAATTCAAATCTACAGCATGGTTTTCGCGGTGCTACTGGTGCAACACGTGCGTGTTTATATTCGAATATCTCCGGCGCAATACAGGAGTACCTCAAACGTCCTTTTTCTGCTATTATTGGTCTTCAAAGCGTAACACCACTATTTTGTCAATACTGTCCATGATATTGCTATTATCCATATATATATATATATATAAATATCTAAAGAAAATTTGATTCTATACTATTCCTAATTTCTCTACTCTAGTCCTAGGTCCTACCTTGGTCCTCTCAAAATGTCATGAACAAATAGATGAGTTTTTGACCATATCAGATGGTACTACTCGTACCGCTTCGTGAAGGCTCAATGCTCAATGGTACCTGACATTCAATGTCTGGCCATGGAAAGGAAGTCCATCCTCCCTCCAGATATCATAAATCGTTCCTGAACTTTGGAATGATACATACATTCGTTTTCCGTTTGGTGAAAATGCCAAACCTGTACTTTCATCATTGAACGTGTCGCTCTCCCTGAAACGAGGGAAACAAATGTGTTAGTATTTCCGGTGAACGGTGGAATCTTTCCTCACGAGTAACAATAAGAAACTCACAGGACAGTGAAGAACCACCCATTGGTATCACGAGCATGAACTCCATTCTCAACTCCGCCTTCTTCACAAAAGTACAACAGGCCATCGTCAACGATTCTCTGGACTTGATCGGGCATACCATCAAAGACTCCCGACCGTGTGGATTGCCTTTCAAAGGTATGTTTGTCCAAATCCAAAATGAAGAGTTGCTTTCGTTCCTTTATAGTAAAGAATAGTTGATTCCGATAGACATCGATGCCCTCCGAAAACGGATAATACATTTGAGCATTGGTCTTGGCATAATTCTTGTCAGTAGTCCAACGAAAGGTCCCTCTGCCACCACCACGAGGTTCAAGCACCAAATAATGAATGGTTCCCGCAGAGTGAAGAAGCTGCCAAGGATCGTTCCAATTCTTAAAGTGGGGAGTAAATCTGCGCAGGGGGCCTCGCTCCTTGTCTTCAGTGACAAAGAATCGAGGGTTGTTTCGGTCTCGAATGTCAGAGGCAAAGGCTTCAAAATAGCCACGGTCCATAGTCATGTACTGCATTCCCCGTCGTCCGAATGGATCAATTTGCATGACACGGCCATTTTCTGTCTCTTCACAACTGACTGTAATTGAGAATAGAATCAAAGGAAATTGTGTTAGAATGAATCGAAAGGTAGAGACGAACGTTCGCTTGGTGTGAGCTAGCTAGGAAGCTACTTACCCCATGTATTCCAAGGAGTCTTACCACCGCTGCAATTCGCGGTGGTTCCTCGCTGCAACATGCGATAATCCGTGGTACGAGCATGTTTGTCAAAAAAGATACCACCCACTCCACCTTGACCTCTTGGTTCCTTTACCTCACTATTGCTGACGTAAACCCAGCCACCAGTTTCGGGATCCTCAAAGACGCCTGCTCCATCGGGTTCATCGTGGAACCGTTCACCAGATCTGGCATTGTTTCGGCCATCCAAAAGGACCCTTTCTCCGGTTCGAGCCACAATACGACTTCGGAGGCCTTCGCTCAATCGCAAGCCATTTTCTCTGCGAGACAACTTTCCTGGAACATAGGTAATCCGGCCACCACTGGTAGAAGCGGCAGGAACATCTACTCCTCCGCCCCCTCCTCCAGAGGGCGCAGCACCACCACCTGATCTTGAGGACCAAATGATTTGACCACCATTGCGTCGGGCAATCATCAGTCCGTCGCGGTTTTGTGACAGCACAAGAAAGTAATTGTCATTTCCAGATGGGGTATTGCTAGCCCATTCTACCCTGGGCCTGTTGTCGCCGATTTTCGAATATGTCACCAAGTTGCCGTCACCTTGCAAGACTGACCAGTACCTCTTGTTCGAGGGACGGTGAACAATACCACTGCTCCAGTAAATACGGTTATCTTGATCGAAGAGAACAAGGTTACCATCAGACTGTTGTTGGAGATAGTATGCCTTGTTGCCTGGCCTTTTCGCGATTCTGTTGTCTTGATATAATCGTTGATCCTTTGTCAAGAAAGTGTTTGCTCCCCAGTTAAAGTTGGAGAGGCTAGCACGTGAGTTTACCAAAGAAAAACCACTGCTTCCGCCGGAGCTTTCTTCATCAATGACAGTCGTTTCTTCATCACTGACAGCCGGAACATCAATCTTGATGCTTGGCTGGAAGACAATCTCGTTAGTGTCATCGTCTGTAGAAATTTCTTCTAGTGCTCCTGCTCCTGGTGATGTAGAAGGAAGGTCATTTGATTTGGGCATATAAAGGACAGCGTACGTTATGCCACCGATCAGAAGAAACAGCAGAAGACAGCATAGAGTGCCATAAATCACTGAGGCTTTGTGCGTGGTTACCAGTTCTTCCACAACTGCATTATCCTTCTCATCATTGTCTTCATCTACACTATTATCTGTTTTTTTTTCAGTGTCTTTCTCTGTACTTGTCTCTGTTTCCGCGAGGGAAGACTTGTCAAGCTCGGGTTTACTAGGTGCAGCTTCTGTCATCGTCAAAACACTTTCCGCTTTATGGAAGGTTCGTAGATTCAAAAGTGGGAGAAGAAACTTGATTTACAGTGAGTAATGGGGTGTAACCGGCTGGGAATGAATGTGTCACATACCGGTATAATTGATTCAAAACGAACTTGCCTGCTTCGAGGTGCATGATTCACTCGCAATATGCCGGACTTTCCAAAAGGTGACTAGCGCAGGCTCTCGAATTTGTATCCGTTAAGGACTAGAGCGCTACCAAATTACAGATGGGAAACCGTCCAACTCGCGCACGATGAATCTTACCGCAAAATACTAAGTTTCAAATTAGCCTTGCACGCATGGGTCCCAAACTCTGTTATCAAAGTACACGTGTATACCACCTACACGTACACTACCTACATATAAATGTACTGTACAGTAATCAAAACGCTCTTAGATTCATCAATTCATCACTGCAGATTCACCGTTATATCTTATTGCATGTGTAAGAGCGACGAAAATTCGATTGTTTGAAATTCGCTTTGAAGAAAGTCTGGAACACAACGGGTCACGAGTGAGTCCATCAGCAAGCTACAGTACTGTACCAGTACCAGTTACCGCCTCCAGATCACCAGTCTTCATGGGTGGCAATATCAGCGTTGACCAATGGGCTCAGAGGTGGGGGGGGGGGAAGTCTTGACAGATCATGGGGGAAGTCTTGACAGATCACAGCGAAGAAATCGTTACTGGTCAATCATGGCAAGAGAAGACAGCATAGACTGGTATACGAATTTCTACATTCAAACAAATTCCACACATTTTTTTTATAAAGGACGAAATTGCGACTCTCATCCGTTACACCATTGAGTAAAGGCTGCTGACTCAAAGATGTTATTTCCTGGATTGATTCATATGATGGCTCTGCGTCCACCAATCATTTATGATGGAGTCAAGTCACTCAATCGAACGACTTTGCTGCACCGTTGTTTCAAGTCTCGATCTTTGCTCTTGCGGATTTCGTGGCAGTCTACTGTGGCATTGTTGGACCACGTCGTGTCACGTTCCTTGGAGTCTGCAATGTAAAACTGGGTCAGCATTTCGGGATCCTCCAAGTTAGTGTCAATCGTAATTATAGCAAAAGGACGTTGCTTGACCCTTGCTATGCCGGATGAAGTGATTTGGACTACCGGGTAGGGCCAGTTGCTCACTTTTTGCGATTTGAACTGATTTCGATGGATATCCCCCGAGTTGAATACAACGCCTGATATGGAATACTTGGTGACCACCTTGCCGATTTGCTTCAAATCACCAGTCAAGCCTCTTTCCATTACATCACTCGCTGAAACTATTATCTTGAAAGCGGCAGTAGATTCAAGCAACTTTTCTTCCAGCCATTCCATCTGAGGCTTGCCGAACAGTGTGCCATTGTGCGGATTTCGATACCAGCGACAATCCATTACATAATAATCCACATCTCCCCAGCTGTACGAGTAATAGTTTCCGGTGCCCTTGGACGATCCCTGGTAGGGGTTGGGCCAAAGATGTCCCCAAGCAGCGAGCGAGTTTTCCTTCCCTGCCAGGCTATGATCTGCATCATTATTGCCATAGTCGTGATCGTCCCATGTGGAGTAGATTGGTGTCTTGCTGATAAAATTAGCAAAATGGGTCTCGGCCCTTTGTTGTAGATGTCTGTCACGCAGTTTTAAAACATATGACGTTAGCACCAGATTCGCCACTCGGCATTAATTCTTCCGCTCCACCAATGATGCAACGAGACAGAAAGACTTACCGGAACCACACTCTATTGTATTTGATTTCTCCTTGAGGACTCCGGTCCTTGTAGTTCATGTAGACAGTATCTCCAGGCAACAATGCAAAGTCAATATTCTTTTCCAAGACTTCGTCCCATACTGGTTGCGTCATGTATCCTTGTGTATAGGACTTGACATTCATGCAGGATGCTAACAAATATCTGAATGATAACCCTTGTTTCCGTTCAAATGATGTGTCGTTGGTGCTCAGAGGAAGAGATGTATCGTTGCTTGAAAGAAAATTCGTATCGTTGCTTAAAGGAAAAGATGTATTGCTGCTCGGTAGAAATGTCGTCTCGTTGCTTAATGGAAATGATGTGTCATTACTTGGAATAAAAGATGTGATGTTGCTTGGAAGGAAAAATGTATCGCTGCTTAGTGGAAATGAAGTGTCGTTGCTCAGAGGAAATGAAGTATCGTTGCCAATAGAAAATGATGTTTCGTTGCTCAGAGGAAATGAAGTGGCGTTGCCAATAGAAAATGAAGTGTCGTTGCTCAGAGGAAATGAAGTGTCGTTGCCAATAGAAAATGACGTGTCGTTGCTCAGAGGAAATGAAGTGGCGTTGCCAGTAGAAAATGATGTGTCGTTGCTCAGAGGAAATGATGTGTCGTTGCTCAGAGGAAATGAAGTGTCGTTGCCAATAGAAAATGACGTGTCGTTGCTCAGAGGAAATGAAGTGTCGTTGCCAATAGAAAATGACGTGTCGTTGCTCAGAGGAAATGAAGTGTCGTTGCCAATAGAAAATGATGTGTCGTTGCTCAGAGGAAATGAAGTGTCGTTGCCAATAGAAAATGATGTGTCGTTGCCAATAGAAATTGATGTGTCGTTGCTCGAAGGAGGTGTTGTACCATTACTTGGAGGATCATGTGCACCCCTGTGTAGAAGTGGCGCCGTCTTGAACTGGCCTTGCGCGATTGATTCATTGGCTAGATGGATTTCGTAGCGGTATGTAGTGTTTGCTTCCAGGCCTTGAATGGTGGACATTGCTGCCCCATTGGCTTCTGGATCTGGAACCAAATCGACTGCTTTTGGTGCTGAGAAAAAGCCCTCTATTTTGTCATCCGGGTAATAAAAACTTTCTGTTCTGTCTTCTGAGTGGGGCCAGTAGACGATTTTCATCGGCTCGTTGTCGCCGCCTTGGTAGAACCAAATCTTGCTTGAATTGTGAGTTGTGTGTCCCACGAGAGGCCCAGATTGATGGATACCGCTTGGTACACCCGATAAATAAGAAACCCCTCTTGTTTCAGGTACATATACATATAGCAGAAAGTATGCCACGCCGCAGATGAACGGTAACAACAAAATTCCGCAAAGGATCACAAGACACTTCGAGTTGACTTTCGGGGGTTCATGCTCCAATTCTGACTCTGAGAGATCATCATCATCCTCCACGGCTTCTGTTACGTCAAAAGATGGTCGATTAAGGTCTAACTTGCTGGGTATCGCCCTTGGCATGGTCGTATATTTTTAGGTGACGGTTTTATTTTTGTGTCGGTATTCTAGTTTTGTGATGTCGGTTGCAATCGTTATTTTTCTCGCACTAACGGTTTTCGGCCGTCTCTCTGTGATCCGCTACACCCGTTTACCCGTTTCGCCATGTGTGATGACATGGAACATCCAAACATTTGTAGCGTTTCAAACTAAAACTATTTCAAATATTCGTAGCATTCATGATAAACTTCAACTATATGTAATGTATATGACAACTACTTATGTGACTGACCAACCCTAACTGGCGGTGGACTGATACGAATGTGGCTGTGGTGTAAGCCATTTGTCTATGTTTCTTCCGAACAAACGAATGAATGAATGAATATAATGAGGAGTGACTTCTGAAGTCACTTCTCTAGAATAGCGCATTGATCACTGCCAATCTGCCTCTTCTTTAGGCTCTCAAGTCGCTCAATCGAATGGTTTGAGTGCACCGGGATTCCTGGTTACGGTTCTTGCCACCGATTCGACTGCAAACCAAGTTGCGGTCGTTTTGCCAGTCCGTATTCTGACTCGAGGAAACCGCAGAGTGGAATTGCACGGTAATCTCTGGATTGCTAATGGCAGTATTGACATTGACAATCGCAAAGTTTCGTCTCCAAACCACTGCAACACCAGAGGAGGTGAATTGATGAACTCTGTAAGGCCAGTTGTCAATACTTTGTGATTTGTATTCGTTGCGATGAACATCGCCCGAGTTGAACAAGACTCCATCGATATTATTCCTCGAGACGATTCTACCAATGCGTCTGAGATCGGAACTCATGGATTCTTCCATAACATCACTGGCGGAAATAAGGATTTTGAAGGTCGCTCTAGATGCCTTGAGCTCGTCCTCGAGCCAGTCAAGTTGTGGTTGCCCAAAGAGTGTGCCAGTGTCCCAGTTTCGGTACCATCGGCAGTCCAAAACGAAAAAGTCCACATCACCCCAACTGAACATGTAATAGTTTCCCGCACCCTTTGAAGAGCCTTGGTAAGGATTGGGCCAAAGATGCCCCCAGGCTTTGAGGGAGTTTTCTTTTCCAGCTTGAACGTAGTCTCCATAATCATGTCCGTAATCATGGTTATCCCAGGTTCCGTAGGTAGGCACCTGCTTGATGAAACGAGCGAAATGGCCTTCTGCTCGTTGTTGCAAATACCTGAATATTACGATTGAAAAGAAACATCGATGCGTGTGAGAGAGAGTGTCGTTGAACAAACTACGATCAACAACAGTATTCAATAGTAAGCAACGTACCGAAACCAAATACGATGATAGAGCACTGTCCAGTCTCGCATCCAATCCTTGTGATTCAAGTAGATGGTATCTCCAGCCAACATGGCAAAGTCGACACCCTTCTTGAGGACTTCAGTCCACGCAGGCTGATTCTTATGATTGTCGGACTTGACGTCCATACAGGATGCCAAGACGTACTTGAAGGAAGACCTTTGGCCTGGTGACGGTGCCGTTTTGAAGTGTCCCTGGGCGAGCCACTTGTTTTGGATGCGAATCTCGTACAAGTACACAGTATTGGCTCTCAAGCCAGTAATGGTCTTGATGGCCGCATTGCGTTTGGAAGTTTCAGGAACCAAGCTAACTGCCTTTCCTTCCGAAGAATCCTTGGGCCAGTAGACCAATTGCATCGGTGTGCCACTTCCCAAATAGACCCAAAACTTGGCCGAGCTGTGAGTGGTATGTCCTACCATAGGTCCCGATTGGATGTTGTAGTCGTTATTCTTGGGAACCGTGTAGGGAAATGGGAAATTCAACGAAGTGATTCCAGGTTGGCTGGCATATGGGGTCACCTTGGGTGTCACCACTTGCGGAGTTGGTGGTGGTGCAACTGGGCGTGAAGTAGGGCGTGGAGTGGGTCGGGGAACGGGAGCAGGGGCATCCACCTTGGCCCCGGAAACAGTGGACCAAATGACTCTGCTGTCAGAGCGGCGAACAATCATGAGTCCCTTTTGGTCTTGTGTGAGCATGAGTAGATATTCTCCGTTGCCCTTGCTGGATCCACTGCTCCATTCCACATCGGTCACCCATCTCATGGCTCGGATATCAAAGGTCATGGAACGTGTAATGAGGTTTCCGTCTCCTTGCAAGATGGTCACATATGCAGTTCTTGCAGAAGTACCCTTGTTGTTTCGGTTACTCCAAAGAGCTTTTCCATTATCATACAAGACCAAGTTTCCGTCGCGTTGTTGCTTCAACTTGATGCGATTGTTGACAGATACTGTTTTGCCATCCCCCGCGTTCAACATTTGATTCTGTATTAGGAAGGTGTTGGTATCGTACATGGAAAGGGAACGATGATCATGTTCGGCATTGTCCATCATGGTATTGTCCATGAGAATACCATCTCCAACCGAGACTAGTGGTTCACCATTGATGCCCACCAAGGGCGGTGGCCCCATGAAGAAGCGGCCTCCAATGATCACAGTGGGTCCCAAGAATAGAATCGAAAGCACTGTCCAAAGGGTAGCACGTTGCTTGTTCAAGAAACCAAGATTGTTCCTCAACGACGAGCTACTATTCTCGATGGATGGCTTGGACACTTTTCTACTGAAAGGTTCACCAGAGGGAACCGGAACGGGAGAGTAAGGACGGCGAAAGTGAGACTTTACAGGCTGGGAGAGATCTGGTTGCTGAATGTGGCGGGGAGATTGCACTGCTCCACCACTGGGCAGCATGGGAGGCCTGTTGGTCATCTTGGGAGATCGGTTGCGCAATGGAGTTGAGGCTCCACTACCTGGCAAGGACCTGGCATGATTAGCCGCAGAAGCATTGTAGGATTGAATCATAGGAGAACGGTTGCGCAAGGGAGTGTTGGGTTGTTTCTCCATGTAAATGACTTCCTCATCGTCCTGATCAGCCGTGGAAGCCCGAGATCGTGGTTGGATGCGAAAGGGAGTGGTATTGCTATTGCTATTACCGTTCATAGTATCCTCTGGCAAATCCAAGCCGTGATAGTGGTGATCGCCATTGAGGTCCGAATGGGTGTAGGTGGGCGTGCTTTGGTTTGGTGGTTGGTGACTGTTTCTAGGTGGTGTTCCCGACATGGCATTCCAAGCACTGCCAAACCAAGACTGTGATTCGGGAGTTGGTGGGTGTCCCTTTTCTCCTCTCCTGGGTGACAAGGTTGGAGTTGGTGAATCTGGTGATCGGGTTTTGCCGGCAGTACCATTGCCACCGCCAGATTTTGATGAGCGGGCTTGATTCTTCATTTTGCTGCAGCCAGTTGTGGTGGAACTACGAACGATGTCTCTATTGATTCTGAACGAATGACACTAACGAGGAATAGTTGCTTGAGAGTATTGAGTTGTTTGAATTACTCTTTCTCTTCTTTTTGCTTGAATCCTCCCGATGAATTTTCAAATACTATAGCAACCGCAAGCTGCTTGAAAAAATGGCTGACTCCGCACAGCCGTTGGGAAAAATGGCGGGTCTTTCCAATATCGGTTCGGCAATTAGAAGCGTGCGTGCCTAGGTGCACAGTACGCACGATCAGTTCTTACGAGAAGTTTGCGAACGCCGGACATGCTTCGGGCATGCGTCGGCTTATAAGCGTGGCTGTCTGATCCAAATATTTCGATCTTCCAGTTGATTAGGGACTTTTCATCATGTGTATCTAATATTGTGGAGGATGCGCGATGCTGTTGATTCTAAAGAACATTACCTAACTGCCAAACTCATCATGTGCATGCAATGCCCTCATCACATGGGAGTTTCGATCTTGGTGAGTAGAGAAGAAGTTTCGTGTGTAACGGTTTTCGTCTCCTAGTATTTGACCATCAACGAAGTTATTGGCTGCAAGAGACGTCATCTAACTGACACAACGTACATGTGCATCATTCAGTAGCATTGCTCTCACCGCCATAAAAGTTTCAATCTTCGCATCTGACAAAAGAAGTTTCATGTGTATGCAATAATAGGCAACTATCAGCGATGTTGTTGGCACGATCTAACTGACACAACGTACATGAGCACCTCAGACTACTACTATGCACTTTATTAAATTAATTCTTTCCTCATTCATTGTCCCACCTAACTATTTTCGTCCACCCAATACTGGTATAGAGCTTTATATGTGCATAATCTTGGTACAATGGTTTACTTCACCTGCTAGTTGAATGTCAGCAATGTTGCCAGATGCAAACGAGACACGATCTAACTGACATCATGTACCGTTACAAGTGTAATGTGTACCTGTACCGGTAGCGATCAATCGTTCATCATTGTCCTTCCTGCTTTTCCACCTCACACTGTCCGTTGTCACGCTTGAAGCTACCTGCCCGTCGTCCGCCTTGGATTCATCTGATATTATTGGGTCTACTGCAGTACTGGTATTACTTGAACATCATTACGAGTATTCATTCAACCAAGGATGATTCAACTGAGTGCTGGTATACCGGCAGGTGCACGTGTGCGCTACGATATGGAGGGATAAAAAATGGAGGCAATCGTATCTATTTTCATGCAGTAGGTATCTAGCATCAACTAGCATCAGCATTTCTTAGTAGTTTTTGACTTATTAGATATATGAATTATGTGTAAATATACCACAGTATGAGGCTTCTTCATACCAGCATTATTATTGTGACTTCATCATTCTTGCAATCTTATATGATTATGATGATGATACAGTGGTCTAGCTAGTCTTCTCACAAATTGTGAGTCAGTCAGACCTATGAATTAACGAGGCGTCAAATCGCTCAAGCGGATGCGTTGGGTACACTTCGCTTGCCGGCTTTCATTCTCCGCATCCTCCCCACATTCCAAGTTGGGATCGTTGGACCAGGTGGTGAATTGCTGTCGAGAATCCGCCGCGTAGAATTCGGACTTGATTTCGGGATCACTCAAACCTGTATCGACATTGATGATTGCAAAATTTCTCCTCCAGACTCGGGCAATACCGGAAGAAGTCAGCTGGTGCACCCTGTAAGGCCAACCTTCAATGTCTTGCACCTTGAATTCGTTGCGATGAATATCACCCGAGTTGAACAATACTCCCGACACGGAATTTCTAGCGACAATCCTACCAATATCCTTCAAGTCGCGGGTCATGCTTTTTTCCATGACATCGCTACCAGACACTATGATTTTGAATTTGGCCTCCGAAGCAATCAACTCTTCTTCCAACCATTCCAGTTGTGGATCACCAAACAAGGTACCATTGTACGAGTTTCGATACCAGCGGCAATCCAAAACGAAAAAGTCCACGTCTCCCCAACTGTACGAATAATAGTTTCCGGCACCCTTGGCAGATCCTTGGTAGGGATTGGGCCAAAGATGACCCCATGCTTGCAGTGAATTTTCCTTGCCCTTTTGACGATGTTCCGCATTGTTCTTGCCGTAGTCATGATCGTCCCATATTGCATAGGTAGGAACTGTCTTGATGAGACGAGCGAAATGGACTTCGGCTCGTTGTTGCAAGTTTCTAAAGATATGAGAGAGAGAAATGATAATGGGTGCGTGAGTATGTGGGTTGCAAGCAAATGCAATAGTGTGGTAATTCAATTTCAATTTCAATTTCAATTTCAATTTCAATTCCATTCACTTCAGTTCCATTCACAACACGTACCGATACCATATACGATCGTAAATCATTTCTCCTTCCACAGTCCAATCATTGTTAGCCAGATAGACAGTATCTCCTGGTAGCATAGCAAAATCGACACCCTTGTCCAAAGCTTCATTCCAAACTGGTTGGTTCCGATATCCACCATCATTGGACTTGACATTCATGCACGAGGCCAGCAAGTACTTGAATTGAGTTGCTTGTTTCGGCATGGGTGCCGTCTTAAAGTGTCCTTGAGAAATCCATTCGTTGCTGATACGGACTTCGTACAAGTACACGGTATCAGGCAATAACCCTTGAATGGTTTCAATCGCGGCCCCATTGGACTCTGCATCGGGATACAAGGTGACTGTTTGCATGGACGTTTGATAGTCAACACTGCCACCATTGGGCCAATAGATTAGCTGCATGGGAACCGCCCGGCCCAAAAACGCCCAAAACTTGCACGAATTGTGGGTGGTATGTCCCACCAAGGGTCCTGATTCGAGCGAGTACACTTGGGATTGGGGCACCGTCGCGGGCCATGGAAACATGGTTGGGCGTGGGGATGGTGCCATGGTGGGATAGTCGGTGGGTCGCAAGGTGGGAGTCTTTGTTGGATACATGGTGGGATTGGGGGTCGGATAATCGACGGGTGGTCGGGTGGGCCGAGCCGTTTGGACGGGCATCACTGAAGGAGTGGCAGTCGGAGAGGCTTCCAGTTCCACGGGGACGGTCGACCACATGATGTCACTGTCCATCCGCCGAATAATCATCAGTCCATCCGCTTTGGGTGTCAACATGAGTGTATATTCTCCATGGTGCAAGGACTCACTGGCACTGCTCCATTCCACTTGGGTGGACCACATGCGTTGGGTGGCATCGTAGATCGTCGAATGGGTCACCAAGTTGCCATCGCCTTGTAGAGTGGTCGAATAACTTTGTTTCGAAGTGGCTTTGGCTCGAATGACTCCTGAGTGCCACAAAACAGTCTTGTCTCGATTGTACAAGACTAAATTGCCATTGACTTCTTGTTTCAAATGGACTCCTTGATTTGTCGATGTCAAGAACAAGCGTTCGTCTTCTTTCAATACTTCATCTTGCGTCATGAAAATGTTGGTCTCGTACACATATGGTGGAAGTGTAGGACGAAACGGGTCGGGACCTCCTGGGCCCGGCAAGTCGCCACCATCATTGCCATTGCTTCCACCGTTGCCGGCCACCCACGTGCGAGGGTTGGACTCCAATCCATGTCCCGCATAGTAGCCACCCAAGAAAATGGGGGGTGCCAACATGAGAATGGACAGGATGGTCCAAAAGTTGAGACGACGTTTTTCGGTGCCATAGAAAAAGTACCACATGCCACTAGTAGATGGTTTCTCGGGTGGTGGAGGAGGTGATCTTACGGGAGAATGTTGGTTCCGAAGGGGCGATCGGGGAGGACGCAATGGAGAACGCTTGGGAGACAAATGCTGTTGTTGTCTGGAAGGACGCAATGGAGAGCGCTTGGGAGACAAATGTTGCTGTTGCTGTCTAGGCTTGTTGCTTTCCCTGTAAAAGCCATCCTTTTCAAAAGCTCCGCCAACTGGAGGCCTTGCCTGCAGAGGACGTTGTCGAGGCTGAGATCGATGGGGGGAAAGACCACGAGCACGATGATCGTCCTGTTCCATTTGTGGTGGTGGCACCATCCATTCATGGTGGTGTTGGGCATCTTCCCGCAAGATGCCATCCATCTGCTGACGATCATTGTATTGTGTCTTCATTTGCAGCTTGCGATGGTGTTCGAGTCGTTGCTGTTCCATGCGCTCCTTTCGTTTCTGCAACTTTTGTAGTTGCATTTGTTGTTGCTGCCGCTGTTGTTGCAATTCTGCTTCCTGTGGCTCCTCCATAAAGGCATTCCAAACACCTTCCAAGGGATTCCACCAAGCGGGTTCTCCTTCTTGTTGTTGTTGTTGGGCTTCTGGAGAACGCGCTGCCGTACCTCTGTGGTTACCAGTGCGAGTATCATTTGTTGGATTGCGTGGTGGCTGTCGCTGTGCAGGCAATGACGGCGTACAATCGAACCTACTTCCGGGTGGACACTGCTGTTCACTCATCCTTCTGTTATTGTTACTAGAGCGCGATGTTCGTGGCGGTGAGTAATACTGATGGAGTGGTTCTCGATGACTCCTGTTGTTTCTTCTCTCACTTCGAGTACGAGTATTGTCTCCTTCCGGTTCAACACCTGATTGTGAAACACCCGAGTACGTAAAATAATCAAGCATTGCGGTCCTTTCACGATACAACAACAACACCAGCAGAGCAAATCCTTGGTTCTCGCTCCCGTGAGTATTAGTCGGTTAATTGACATTGGTTGGAAAGTTGGAGCTCGTAACAAGAGTTGCCCTAAACACAAATCGGTTTTGCGGTTATGTGTGTATCCTTCCCTCCATGCTGGTTGCCGGCGTGTTCCAGTAGAATTATACGACTTTCAAACTGACTGGCGCGAACTAGTCGTTACGCAACGGAAAACCTCGAGTCGTACGCGGTATCTTTTGGATTGCTTGGGGCGCCCATCACAAAATGCTTGACATTTATTTCATGAGAGAAGTTCGTCGTCTATGATATTCTTCCTACTCCACTTGTGTTGAGCGGCGATGGGAGGGTTCTCTGTTGTGTGTCATGGAGCAATTACAATGAAACCGACAATTCCCCGAGATCTCTACTAAAGACACAATTTCGTCCGGTAGTATGTGTTTTTACTAGCAATTAACAACCATACTTGAGGCTATTTCATCAAGTAGTGATATTATTGGGTCATCATGCAGGCGGTATGATAGAAGTAAAGCTTCTTTGTCCTTATTCTCCCGAACTTTCCATTGCCGCATCGAACTGGACGGAGAGCGAATTGGCGGATTTAATCCAAAGATAAATCATGCCCATAAGGATCATCGCAAAGTACTGGAGATGGAAGTAGCATACATGTTTGTTTCAAACAAGTTTTGAGTCAGTCAACAATCGTACAACAAAAGTACAGCCATCATCATTCCCATTTTCACTTACAGGTGTTGCTGCTGCAAGACTGCCAACACTAAAGATTAGGATTTGCTGTATCAAGGAACCCCCACTTTTCCCTAAAGGATTTCCGATCTAAAGTTTATTCATGAGATCGAGCGGGATACAAACATGATTGTATTCGAGGGTACGGAAGCTACTTACAATATCAATTGCTGCTTTGCCCTTTGTCTTTGAGTCCTTGTCCAGTGGAATGTACGCCATTTCCTTGCACGGATCAAACAACGAATACTTTGAACTCTTGCTCAAGATATTCTGCGCAGCTCCTACAATGACTGCCATCATCAACGGTGTCGTTCCAAACGCCGCAGAGAGAGGAGCAAAAAAGTCGGAGAAATAGTTCAGCGCAAAGAAAGACAATCCAGTAACCCCAATCATCTGCAAACAAAAATGGCGGAAAGGATATGAGTCCACAAACAGTAATGTTTTTTGATTCAATGACGTCGATGATTTCTTACGCTTGGTGTCACAAGGGCTGCAAATCTCCACCCAAACTTGGAAAAGATGGTTCGTCCAAGAAGCATCATGCTGCGAGAAAGAGAAAAGACAACGATGCTTAGTTCACCAAGAAGTTGCTGTTGATTTCGACAACACCGACATCACTTACAGCAATGTTACAGATCCAGTGACCGAACTGAAGGCTCCCATAAACGCAGAGTATTCATTAGGAGATGGGAATGCTTCCTGTAATAGTAGTCGCGGTGAGAAATACTATAGTGTGGAGTTAGCGATGGACAAAAAGCATGTTTCGTACCTTCAGTTTTGCCTTCCAGCTCACTTCAACAATGTTGATGCACACGCCATAGGATATGACAAGCATGGCCAAATTACGGATATACGGCGAGTTAATAAGAAATTGTGCCGACTCCTTCATGGTCATTCTTGGCCCCTTTGCCTTCTTCGGGGCTCCAGGACTTCGCTTCACAGTACCAACAACATTCTTTTGCAAGTGCCTATACGTCATCAACAATGTCGTCCCAGATGTTAAGACTGCACCCATCAAGAACCTAAGCGAAACCGCCCATGCGTCTACTCCTGGATCCAAATTAGCTCTCAAGTTGGACACCTGAATTTGTTATAGAATTTGCATGAATAAGTAAGTGACCTTCTTTCCATGAACAGTCCAATACCCTTTGTACGTACCCATCGGACGTATTGTCCGGAAACAATCAAAGCAACCTTCAATTCATTGGTTCAATTAATTCATCAAATCAGGATACATAAAAACCATTTTCATTCATAAACGTCATTGTCTTACATTGGCTCCGAGCCCAAATAGAGGATCTGTAGTAATAGTTGTATGAATGCACTTGGTGAGTAAAAGGTGGCAGATCAGTAGTCGAGTACCTAGATAATTTTTTTTGGACTTACAATACTTCTTTGCTTCTTCCACAGTCGTCACGTCTTGAAAACGCAGATGTGAGTTTGTCCCAAAGTGACTGTCAACTGAACGAACGGACAAATCATGCTTACCGTTTGCCGTCTTCCAGAAGAGGAGACTGGATACGACACTTCCCCACATTTCCGACATGACGTAAAACAAACTAAAACTCCAGTTTCGAATGATGGCAAGTGGCGCAGAAAACCCTAAAGGCAAACGCGTCGATAGCCATTGGACAGCGCTGACTGGATGCAAAAGATCTCGATTTGGATAGATGAAAAGGGCAAAGCTCGAAAAGAACAAGAGAAAGCTTGCGACAACTGAATAAAACACAGAGGTGTCCTCCATCGAGTCACTCAACTTTGCATATAGAGCCGTAAAGCCAATTGCTGCAGGCAAGTTGACATATGTCTTTATGAAAGGAATCACTTTGGAACCACAACATGATGATGATATTAGGTCGGTAAAATTTGGATATACGATTAGATCCATGACCATACACATACCTTCGGCACCTGAACTTGTCACCATCAACACATCCTTTGTATCTCGGAGGATTGTGTAGTTGAATAGAATTGCAAAGAACATCAATGACAATGGAACCAACTTCTTCCTTTCCTCGGCTGGCGGGATGGCGGCTTTGAACTGCCAAAATAACAAAAAATTGACAATCAGCATCCAATGAAATTGAAATTACGCGACCTCTTGACGTCGACTGTTTCGTAGAACCTACCTTGCTAAAAAATCCGCGTGAAGGCTCTCCCTCAACGGCATCTTTGGAAGTTGTCAAGCATGTCCCACTTGTTCGAGGCTGTGAAATACTCGACGTGAACTTGAAAGGACCTCGTGGTGATGTGCCAAGTGTAGGACGACAAGACTTCAATGGTGAGATTCCTGTTGGATTAAGCCCCCAAGCAAGCGCCAGATTTGGCTGGAGAGCGAGTAGCAGCAAGGAAGAGTTCAACAACTTCATTCTTTCAGAAAAAAGTAGAATGTGAGGTAGAGAGAGAGAGCTTGCTCTGTCGTTGATTTTTTGATGTGTTTCAGAATGGAATTGAATGGCGAAGGTTCGTGTCATATCTTCTCGTTCGATATGACGCACCACATCACCTTTCACTTGCGACTTGTGACGTGGAATCTGTACAATCGGAGGGGTCGTATCCCCCTTTTGAAGGGACCCTTACAAGAAAGGGATTTCGCAATATCTCCCCCGAAATAATCGAAAAGCAAAGAGGAGCGCCTCCGTCTACTGGTAGGTATTTTTACTGCAGTCATTGATACTTCGGCTTTTATAATTTCCGGCCGAATGATTTCCCCAAGTGTTGTGTCTAAGTGTATGGTCCGAGAGAACGACGACGAGCGCCGATCGTCTAGGTATTGATCCTACTGGTACGGACAGACCCACGTACCGGTATTTAAAAGTATCGTGGCGTACCGGTAGTAGCACGACCGAGAGAGCGATGAGGAGCCCCGATCGTCTGAGGATGAGGTCATTGATTCCATCCGAGACGACACTTTGGGTCGCAATTTCCAACGCAACAAGATGACCCATGCCTTTTTTCTGGCGTGAAGTGACCAAATAATGGTATTTGATTCGACGATCGAACAACATGGCGCCAGACTGGTGAACATATTTTTTGTTCGATAAGTACAAAAGTTGAGGCTCCGCGGAGTTTTGGATGATTTGGGTCAATACATGTGCCCTCGGGCTCAATGAGGTGGCGGAATTAAAATGAAAGCAATCTTCGATCACTTTTTCGCCGACAACCTTGCTCATAAATTCGATAACGACCAAATCGTTATCCCATTGCTCCAAACCTTCAGCATTCTAGCTAAACTAACGCACCATGAAGATCTCTACCAAATCGATTGTAAACAAACTGGTAAGGAAATCAAAGCTTTCCAAGAATCATGCATCAGAAGTAACTCTGGACACCCTTGCAACCTCAAAGCCTGAGGAAGATGATTTTGTTGAAGAAAACACCTATCACGAATCATTTTCAAGCATTGAAACTGGTATGCAATACGATGTCATTGTTTCTGACGATGATGCGAGTGCCCCCAGCATTCTCTCCGACGACGAGGTCCGTGGCCTCTTCTGCCTCTGGAACGACGCACTGGCGACTCTCAACCCAGACACAGTCGCATCAAGGTATTCCAGCAAACCTTGCCTTCTTCCTACTGTCAGTGATATCCCAAGGACCGATTTCCATTCCATCAAGGACTACTTTGTTCATTTCTTGGAAAAGAAGCCGCACGGAACGATCCTTGAAAGTTTTGTTACAACTGGTCCAGGTTGGTGCATGGACAATGGAATCTATGAATTCAGTCTGCAGGCCACTGGTGACACTGTGAAAGCCCGATACTCCTTTGTCTACACCAAAGAGGGAGAAGAATGGAAGATTTCTCATCATCACTCCTCGCAGATGCCCGAAGAAATTGTGCCCAAGACGTCCCTATTAAACAATATCGTTGATGGCATAAGTGCCCCCATTCCTTCCGAAGACGAGGTCCGTGGCCTTTTCTGCCTCTGGAACGACGCACTGGCGACTCTCAACCCAGACACAGTCGCATCAAGGTATTCCAGCAAACCTTGCCTTCTTCCTACTGTCAGTGATATCCCAAGGACCGATTTCCATTCCATCAAGGACTACTTTGTTCATTTCTTGGAAAAGAAGCCGCACGGAACGATCCTTGAAAGTTTTGTTACAACTGGTCCAGGTTGGTGCATGGACAATGGAATCTATGAATTCAGTCTGCAGGCCACTGGTGACACTGTGAAAGCGCGATACTCCTTTGTCTACACCAAAGAGGGAGACGAATGGAAGATTTCTCATCATCACTCCTCGCAGATGCCCGAAGAGATTGTGCCCAAGACGTCCCTATTGAACAATATCGTTGATGACTTGATGCTTGGTTTGGTGTTTGGTGTATAATTGGTTCAAATGGAGGACCAGTGGCCAGGAGCACACTTGATAGAAAGTTAGCCATTATCCAATAGAAGCATAGAATGAATCATTCCTTCAGAACAAATGCAAGCAAAGCTTTTGTAGATATAGTAGAGCGTTGTTCACTGCCACCATTATGAATTTGAGCTGGAACCTGTTGGAGGGCGCCTACCGCAGCTTTAAAATATGATGGCCAATGGTTTTTTATCATTGAAATACTATCCCTCAAGGTGGTGTCCCCTACTTTGCGGTCTCACCCAAAAGCACCCCCAATGCGTAATGGCTTCGTTTTCATTCTTCAGATTTGGTTGATAATCATCCCTGCCGGTACCGGTACATGCATGCAGTTTCAAATAGCATTCTGTTGATTTTTTCTAAGTCTCCCTTCGTCGATGGAAATACAGCGGGAAGATTATTATTCAGCTTGAAGGATTCGCATTGCCATTTATGTTCCCACATTTGCATGATCAATTGGAAGACGGCTCCTCTCCGAAAGCGTCATCATCAATCTTCTTCTACCAATCAAACACTCAATTCTAGCAGTAGTCCAGAGGACCATCATAATGCGCAGGATCAATCCAACAATAATATGAGCACTCGTTTTGATACCATCAGCTCCGAAATGAGTAGCACAGCTTCCTCGGCTACTGCACCAGATACGACGGCTACCTCTCGGTTGGACGACTTTTTACAAGAAGCCTACAATATTTCCAGTGCCTCAGCGCACCACCAAAAACCATGGCAAACCCAGTGGAAATACTGGTCCATTATTCTGTCTTGTGGGATTGCTAACTCGTCCGATGCCTCGGAAATCTTGTGCTTGTCCTACATACTAAGTGACGAGACGTTTACCGATGCGATACTCGAACATTCCTCCTGGAAAGGAGGACTCTTGGCGGCTGCCGTCTTTTTTGGCATGCTCGTAGGAGGATTATTCATAGGGACCTTGGGTGATTGGTTGGGACGGCGACCTGTGTTGCTGGTGGGACTGGCTTGTAATTCCATTGCTGGCATTCTCAGCGCCATGGCACCCAATGTTTACATCCTTTCACTGTTGCGATGCATTGCCGGAGTTGGGATTGGAGCCACGGTTCCACCCCTTTTCACTTTGGTGACAGAGCTAGCTCCACCCTCGCATCGAGGGTTTTGCGTAACTCTTGTTGCGAGTTTCTGGATGGTAGGCAGTATCTTTGTGGCGCTAATGGCAATGCTTCTTTTGGAACACATGGCAGTATCCTGGAGGGTCTTTGCCATGGCTTGTGCGCTGCCAAGTCTTTTAGGATTTGTATTGTGCAAAGAGCTGGTGCCTGAAAGTCCCAGATTTTTGGCGCTTGAGCAGAGGCATGAAGCCGCACTGGATGTGGCCAACTTTTTGGCTCAACGAATGAACTCGGACAACAGCATTGCAAGCTTTACCCAGGCACCATTGACTCTGGAAGAACTCCAGCAAGCCTTTCCATCACGGTCAACAAATTCTCCCCTTCCCTCGCATCCTTTGTCAGAATCATTATCTTGCCGGGGAATGGTCACCATGGCCCTGAACGACTTTTTCCTGTCATCAAGACAATTGTACACACCACAATTGAGGAACACCACTTGGCCATTGCAAATGGTTTGGTTCTCTCTCAGTTTTGGTAGCTATGGTCTATTAACTTGGATCAATACCTTATTTGTCCAAGTCCACTTGAAGAATGTCTACTTCAATGCCCTTTTGTTTGCTTTTAGCAATCTCCCAGGCAACATTTTGACGGCAGTGTACATGGACAAAGTGAGCCGTGGCAAAATGCTGACCTTCTGCATTCTCGCCAGTGCCGCCAGTTTGGTGGGATTTGCCTTGGGGGCCTTTTCTCTGAATTCCTTTTTGATTGTGGGCAGTGCCTGTACTTTTCAATGTTTTACAGTGGCTGCCTGGAACACGATTGACACCATGACGAGTGAACTCTTTCCTACTACCGTCAGATCCACGGGAATGGGGGTTTGTGCCGCATCGGGGCGAGTGGGTGCTATGGTGGCACAATTTGTCAATGGAGCACTAGTGACAAAACCTGTCCGACTCTTACTTGTGGCTTCCGTCACTCTTGTGTTAGGAGCATTGACCCCGGCGCTGCTTCCAGATGGAGGCGATATGACTGGCCAACCAGTGCACGATTTTGCTGTCGACGAGAATTCCCCCACGGAAAAGATATCCCATGAACCGTTGATACAGCAGGAAAACCAAAGCTACCAAGATGATCCAAACAATGATAGCGCCCGGTCCGAAGGCTCCAGCTCATACCGAATGGTATAATTCAGACATTCAAAATTCAAAAGTATCATAGATCCACGCTACATAAGATTCAAATTGATACACTAGCATTCAAAGAAGTTTCTTTTAACAAAAGTAAATCATATTGTGTTAGCTAATTACCATTATTACCTCGACTAGCTCTTGCATGGGCTACCTTTAGGTATTGTGCATGCAAGAGATCCAAAAATCGATCATCTTGCACCAAGCTGAGCAACGCCAATTGCAGAGATTTCTTGTCCAGGACTTGTGAGGGTTGCGGTTGCTGTTGTGTGGGAGTTGTTATTGCTGCGTAGTGTTGTTGATTCGAACGAACTGGAGTGGCACCACCTGCAGTATCTAAGGAAAGTGGTGTCAGTAGCGCTGTCAGTGCGGCTCCTTGATCCAATCCAGCAGCAGCAGATGGATGTATTTTATGAGCAGGAGTATTAACAGGCGTGCGAGTAGGCGCTGGCGGTTGCGATCGCAGTCTCTCTAGCACTTGACTGAGAGACTCGTTGACCGTGAGTCGCTCATTCGCATTGGGGAACCAAATTCCGCGAATGACAGTCTCCCCTTGTTCGACCTGACGAAAGATGAGATAGGGATCTTGATGCTGCAATTGAAAGTTGGCGGACAGCTGAATGGAATAATTATCAGGAGAATTTCTGTTCAGAATGACCATCATGTATCCAGATTGTTTGACTGCCAAAAAGAGCCCGCCTTCAACATTGGATTTTTCCCAACTTTGTGATGCCGGGGCAAATTTGTACAGGACAACATGAGTGGCGGAATCCAAAATATTGCTAATCGTAGGGTCCGTGGTTCGCTGGAGAAGTCGAAGATTGGCTTCTTTGCGAGCTTGTTCATTTATATTCAATGCCATGGTGTGTATTATTGCTGTTGATATTGTAGACTTGGTTATTGATTTTGCAACATCACAGTGCAAGTTTCAACTGTCATCCAGCTGTCAGAACTTTTTCCATCCGTTCAGTTTTGTTCGCCTGATCGGACCGCGCACAGACAATGAAGGCCGTCAAAACGGACACTTTCAACTTTCCTTTTAGATTCAGGAAGCACGACACCTTTGGTTGTTGCTTGTTGCTGGTGGAAACGGACTAGTTGTGCAACTGCAACTACTGTAATCTCATGGAAGGTCAAATGCTGTACATGGTTTCTGTATGTTATAAAATACATTCCTCTATGCTATAATATACTAATATTCTGTATCGTCTACGATGACTCCTCGATTGGATCTATCCAAGATACGACCGAGGAAATGATAATCTCAGATCCACAGCTGAAACGGCATCCATAACGAAGCCGATTATATTTTTCGACATCAAACATATATGCGTTCTCGTCATTTTTATCAGGAGGAGGTTCCAAATACTGTTGGACACTGTTTTGCCAAACGGCAAATTCCAAAAGCGACGTGGATTCCAGTCGTTCCAAGACGGCCAATCGGTGTTCCAGCTGGTCAATTTGCCTCGCTCGTTCCGTCACACCATTTTGTTCTAATGCATCAATGGCAGTCCACAATTCTCGTCGCCACCGTGGCAGTCCCAACCAGGCAATGCGTTGGATAATGGTATGATGCAGGACCATTTGAATCAGTTCATTGGCAATCTTGGAGTGGCTCTTTGCCAGGTACTGAAGGGGAGTCTTTCCCCATCGGTCCTTGGCGGATAGTAGTTGCTTGGAAGGACTTGTCTGCAACAGTGCTTGAAACAGATACGAGTTGGGTCGTTTCGACATGCCTAGCACATGAAACGGCGTCAACCCGCATTCGTCTACCCAGCACATTCGGGAGGGATCAGCACTCTTGCACTTCATCAGGGCATCTTGCATTCGTTCCATACAGACTTGGGTGGATTCGTAGGCTTGGTCGTAGCAAAGTTGGTGAATCGTCGAAGTCTTCTCATATCGTTGGCACAAGCGTTCATTCGTATAGGAGGCTTCTACCAGCTTGGTACACTGGAAGAACGGATCCATTCCAGTGAGATCTACCATAGGTGTCAGGGAAATATTGGTCAGCAAAGAGCATTCCGCAAAAGCCCCGTGTCCCAGATATTGCAACCGATCCGAGATTTCCACCGAAATCAGGTTGTAACACTCCGCAAAGCAAAAGTCTCCAATCTCTCGGGTAGATTTCGGAACAAGTACTTGCGCCAACAAACTACACTTTCGAAAGGCCCCTTCTCCGATGGCCACCAACCCCTCTTGTAGGTTAACCTTGGCCAGCTTGGAACACCAGACAAAACAAAAACTTCCAATCACCCGGACCGAAGACGGAATGTCAATTTCGGTCAGTTCAAAGCACATTTGAAAGGCACCCGGCCCTATTACCTGCAATCCACTCTGTTCTGGTAATTTGACTGAGACCAGCCTTCGACAATCCATAAATGCTTGAATGCCAATCGATCGTAAAAACGGTGATGATGGAAAGGAAATTTCGCGCAACATGCGGCACCGACAAAAGGCCAAATCCCCAATGGCCACCAAACCATTGGGAAAGGAAATGCAAACCAAATCGTTGCAATCCTTAAAGGTGTTGGGTGGAATGTGGGTCACTGGATCGTCCACTCTGGCAAAATGAATGTCCTTGGGAACTGCTGGCAGAGATGCTGAGGGTGAGGATTCATCATGATCGTCATGATCATCCTCGTTCTTCTCTTCGTTATTGATGGTCCTCCGCCTGGGACCGCGATAGATATACACTCGGGGTTCCGACATTACGATACCTTTTGACACCCTCCTTGACACCCTTTGACAAGCTCCGTTTTCCCAGTTCAGCAAGGATCAAAAATGCGTCGGAGAGAATGCTTGCTGACACCTGAGCAGACGCAGCGATGAGAACGCAATTTCTATTCAAGTTCAAAGTGCTTGCTTCTGACCGGAATAATAAAGAACCTTCAAGGAAGAATATCATAATATGTAGGTACGCTCCAAAAGATGCTGTTCGGAATTATTTGAAGTGAAACGAAACTACCGGCAAAGCATGCATGCTCGCACTTTCATTTCATGATGACTGACTCAACCGATTACACTCTTCTTCATGAGATCAAGCTAAATTACGCTCCGGTAACCAGGTACAGTACCAGGTGTGGTACCATACAAGATCACACCTCTCATGAACTCACTCAATCATTCCTCCGATCAAATCCTTGTCCAATCAATTCAATCGATGGGTATGAAACAGGCTTGCTTACCCAACGATCCCAGTCCACCATGATGCAGCACAGCAGCCACCACTGAGCAGCCAGCAGCAGCAGGACCCCTAGTAGCAGTTCATATCCTTCTCCTCGTTGTGATGACTTATACTAGGTAACTGACTGACTCGTTATTCCATTTCATAACTAAGAGCTTCGTCCTGGCTGCAGCACAACTCAAAGTGATGATGGGAGTTGACGAAAATATGTCGGTGACAATACTATGATGGTGTGGCAAGTGATCAAGGGTGCGAGGTCGTCTTCTTTCATCTTCCGAATTTGGTTCCACAAACTGTACATGTACATGTACCCGTACCGGTACCAGGTACTGTAAACTATTGCAGCTCTACATATGGTCTGCACAGTGCTGTACTTAGAGGTGCACGTACACGTACAATGTGTACGTATGTATTCTTCTTCTATGCAATGAGAAATAGCAAATTCAATGTTTTGCAAAAAGAGCTGGTTTATTTGACAACGACAAAACGTGAAAAAGTATTTTTGTCGTATTTTAGACGAAATAATTGGAAAATCGATTTTTTCGATACATTCGTTCTCACAAGATTCACATGAGGCAACTTCACTAGTCACCATAGCATGATATCGACACCAAATATGATTCATGTCTAGAATCATTGGTAGATGCGTTCTCAAGGGTTGTAATTTGATTGATTCTATTGATGGATACGTCGCATTCAGCATGCAGTAGTCTGTACTACCATCCGGTGACGATATAAAATCAAGATAAAATTCGAAAATGCACCTGTACTGTAGGTACTGCAGTATACATAAAAGTACCGTACAAGACTATATAGAGACAGTAATCTTGTCAAAAGAAACAAAGCGACCCATCATTGAACCTCATTCCATGACGTGACAATGGAGCTTTACAGTGCTACGCAAGAAGGTGATTTGGAGCGTGTCAGGGAATTGCTCGACAACGGGGCATCCATAAATAAAATGTTGTTCTCCGATTCAAGCGGAGCAGGTCTAACACCGTTGCATTGCGCAATTGGGAACTTGGAAATGGCTCGATTACTTTTGGATCGAGGTGCTGCATTGGAACCAGGCGACTTCGAGGACGTCGAGGAGGGGGATGAGGAAGTCACCGACGATGAGGAAGAGGATGAAGAAGTCAACGACGACGAGGAAGAGGAGGGGGAGGAAGTCAACGACGACGAGGAGGAGCATGACGACGAATCGGATGACGAATCGGACGACGAATCAGATGATGGATCGGATGACGAATCAGACGGCAAGGAGAAGTATATTGCTCCATTGCATTTGGCGTGCAAAGAAAATCATTTGGAGGTGGCTCGACTGTTTTTGGATCGAGGAGCCCAATGTGGATGTAAAGACACATTCAGATGCAACACCATTGCATTATGCATGTAATAAGGGACACATTAATGTGGTACGGTTGCTCCTGGAAAGAGGTGCCGGTGTGAACGCAGTGAAGGAAGAGTCTAAGTCTGAGAAAATGATTGGAGGAGCACCGCTGCATGTAGCATGCGCAAAGAGAAATTTGGAAATAGCCAAGTTACTATTGGATAAAGGAGCCGATGTAAATTGCATATGGAAAAAGAAAAGAAGACTCAAGACTGATTGTCTTGTCGACTTCAAGACATTAGAGGAGTTTGAAGTCGCTCATGATTCAAAGTACGAGGAAGGCTACTCACCATTGCACTTCTGTCGCAGTCTAGAAATGGTTCAACTACTGTTGGATCACGGTGCCGATTTGAACAAAAAGACTAGCTGTGGATACACACCATTGCATCATGCATGCAGGAAAGGCCATTTGAAGGCATTCCAATTTTTCCTGGACCTGGGTGCTAACATAGACTCAGTTGACAAACGCAACCACATCCCCCTTACTATGGCATGTACCTCTGGTCATTTCGAGATTGCAAAGCTATTAGTGGATCGGGGTGCTCGTTATAAAGAAGTCGAGGATTCAGAGTGGACACCACTGCATGACGCATGTCAATTTGGCGAGTTGGAGATGGTTTGCCTGCTAATAGACCAACATGCGAATTTGGAAGCACGGGATAAAAATGGCGAAACACCCTTGCAACTCGCATGCTGTCGAGGCTCGTTGGAAATTAGTCGACTGCTCGTAGATCGTGGTGCTATTGTGGAACCATCAAATGAATACAACTATACGGCCCTACATTATGCATGCAAAATGAAGGGGGAAAATGGTTTGGAGCTTGTTCGGTTGCTTTTGGATGGAGGTGCAAATATGGAAGCAATATCAGTTCGGGGTAACACACCACTGTACATCGCCTGTGCCGCGGGTAATTTGGAGCTGGCTCGGTTGCTACTGAATCGAGGCGCGGATATTAGAGCAACATGTGGAGAAAAAGCGACTGCTCTTCATTCTATAAGTTGTGCACCTGAAGGGGGGGGATAATTTGGAGCTTGCTCAGCTGCTTTTGGAGCAAGGTGCCGATATTGAAGCACAGACAATTGAGGGTGACACACCACTGCACATCGCGTGTATCATGGGCAGATTGGAGATGGTTCGGTTTCTATTGGACCGAGGCGCCGATGCTGAAGCAACAAATAGTCTAAAATCGACTGCCCTTCACTGTGCATGCACTGTGGAAATTGTTCGGTTGCTATTGGATCGAGGGGTTGATATGGAGGCAAAGGATCAGAATGGTAGAACGTGTTTGTTCAGGGAATGTGACAGAGATGATAGCTCGATTGGTCAATTGCTGCTGGATCGCGGTGCAAGTGTGAGCGCAAGAGATCCAAGGGACGAGTCGACTCTATTGCACGAAGCATGTAGGAATGATCAATCGGAGCTTGCTCGACTCCTGGTGGATCGAGGTGCCAGTTTGGATGCCAGAGATTGTGAAGGATGCACACCATTGCATAGGGTCTGTGAAAGAAATCCATTCATGTTTTTCCCGTCATAAACCCGATTCACTTGAGATTGCAAAGCTTTTGCTGGATCACGGTGTCAATGTGAACACGAAGAATGGGGACGGCAGAATTCCTCTGCATCTCTCAGTCTCACATCATAAATTGGACGTTGCTCGGCTCTTGTTGAAACGAGGTGCCGAAGTGGATGCGAAGGACAATAATGGATATACGTCACTGCATCTATCATGCCAAAAAAGATCCCTGGGCCGAATTTGGAGATTCCTACCTTTATACCAAAATGTGTAATGCTGATTGGAATATTTTTGAGATATTGCTGGATCGAGATGCTGACGTCGAAGCAAAGACGGACAAGAATTTGACACCACGCGAGATAGCCTGCGAGAGCAGTCAATACAAAAAGGTATGGCTTATGGTCCGCCGAAATCCATGGTTGCTTCTGAAGCGAGCATGTCAGGAGGAGAGGCAAGAAAAGAGACAACGAATCTCATAAAGTTAATAGGAGCAGTGTTCTAATTATGTAGACATGACCTTAGTGCATAATAATAATGATCTTGCTGCCTGTCCTACTATCGGCATTTTAGTCGAAACTACAGTATAATTTCAAATATCGAAGAGCACTATGCAATCAATGTTGTTCTGTACGAACAGGTGAAGGGTTCTCCCATCCGGTGACAATCACACCGCATGAGACGCAACATATCTCTGCTTCCATCATGGATCTTCACACTGCTGCAAGGCATGGTGATTTGGAACTTGTACGAGAATTATACGGGGCACGCCATAAATGAAAAGGTGTACTCGCTTTCCAGCTTTCTAGGCTTGACACCATGAAGTGATTAGGAACTGCGTTAAACTTGTAATATATCTGCCCGGATTTTTCGAGACTTTATATGCCAACTATCCCCTGTCGACCTCTAGAGCATTATTCTTCATTTTCGATTACGAAATAATTGAAGTACAATGCTAGCCGAGCCCTTCCTCCTTATCCCAGTACTGGCCATTCATTCGGCGGCACTGTATTCTTGCCACCCAAGGATTGAGGTAACGTCTTCAGGTCTACAAATCTTAAGATCTTTTTCAATTCATCTGCATTCGTCTTGGGTTCGACCACATCTATCTTCTCCACCACTCGCTTGGGCATGATACGTCGAACCATGGACCAAATGACATGAATCCAATGTGGGGCCTCGTAAATGTAAATTGCATGCAGCAATTGGGGGTAGACATCTTCCATCTTTGCATATCAAGATCGCATGAAACAAATGGAATCAGAGTGTGAGCCCATTATCATCTCCACAAGAAGCAATTGCCTGCTACTGTGAGGCACAATATCATTCGACTCACCTCTCCCATGATTTTGCCATCCCGACTGCCAGCTTTTCTGTTGTTGATGGCAGAAAAGCTAACGCCTTGAAAGTTCAAAAAGCGAACATTTTTAGTCAATCGTCCAGTGGTTCGGGTGATATAATCGAGCCATTGAAAACTCCATTCCGACATGGCAATGAAAGGAGCATTCCAATCCACATCCGACAGAGTTTTGGCCGCTTGTAAATCCCCCTTGGCTATTTCAGCAAACTGCATAAAGGACACAGTTCCCAGTTGTCTGTTAGGGATAGTCAATGTAAGAGCTCCCTTGGGAAACCGCAAACTGGTGCTGTGGGCAACAGACGGGCTTCCACCAATGGCCAAATCCTTGGACTCAAAATGGGGTGGTTCGAAATGTCTCAGATCGATGCCATCCAGTTTGTACTTCTCACGGAACTCCAAGGTCGTTTTAGCTGCTTGAACGCATCGTTTCATCTTGCTTTTGTGACTCAGCACAAAGCGCAAAATCCACAAATCGTCGTGCTTGGTCTTGTCAAAGAGAGGATCCTCTTGCAACCCAAGTCGGACTTTTTCAATGGTATCGGCATGCTCTTGAATCAAATCAATGACAGAAGGACGATCATCTTCGGGTGATACTGGATCAATGGCTTTGTCCACCAACGCCTTGTCTACTCCTTGCATCCAAATCCACGAGGTCATTGTGAAATGCGTTATTGTCTCGGATTTGAAAATGCCTTTCATTTTTTCTATTACTAATTTTCCGACCCATACGACTAGGCAATATTCGGCGAAAAATGGAACACAAAAGCAAGAGCAACTTCTGAAGCGAAAGCCAAATACCGGTATATGAACAAAACCTCACAACATGCAAATAAATCTAAACCTAGTTGACGCTGCTCATCATTTGTACTATGACGCTAAAGGTCTGCTCCAAGATGAGTCTCGCAAGGTCTCCGCCCTTGACCCCAAGGACTCAAGTAGGAGAATGAATCAATCTTCAACAGGAGACATTGCACTTCCGCGCTAGTTTCTACCAAAAGGGTTCACTTGCGCAGGTAGCTTGATCCCATGATGGATTGCAATACAGTCGTACGACCAAGGATAGAGTTGCATGGAGGCCGTAGAGCCTTGTCATTTAGGCTTGGGAAGTGTTGCAAGATGGCTCAGTCTTGCTGCATGCGATATCAAGCCTTCTTTGCAATCACACCTAGCATGCCCTCTGGTGAGTCCTCTGTGACGACTTCGAAAACGAAATCGGAATAGGCTCGAATCCGGTCTACCTGTGATGCTTTCAGGGGTGATGCCAGCAAGGCAGCCCACGCACGCTCCATATAGTGGCCCTCTTGGATATTATTACCGCGTGAGAGAAGATGTTCCGCTTTCTTCCAAACGTCGGCTCCGACATTCCGAATATTTTCGAGGTTAGCGGCGAAGACTCCTCCAAAACACACTTGTGCTACGTCTTGATTCAGAGGGCGCGCACCAAGATTTCTGTAAAAGTCACTCCAATCGTCAAACACCGATTCGAACTTCACTCGATCTTCGGTGTATTCGTGAAGACTCTCATAGGATGACTTTTTGAATCGATTCAGTATTTTCATTTCGACGTAGGCGGACGTATACCAACTAATCCTTCGTCGTCGAAAACGAAGGGGGACAATCCCACAACTAAATCCACTGTCGGAAGAAGACACTCTAATCATATTTTCAAGGCTATTCCATCTCCCTGCTTGGTGCAAGTTTCCAGCACCGACCTGATCTTTCATGAATATAATGATTGCATCCCTACCGTTCTTCCCGTACTTAGCAATCTTTTCTTCCATTACAGTAGTGATGTAATGGACGTGGCTGTGATCGCAACGACCAATATTGGGCAGTTCTTCGACAGTAGCATGATCAGGAAGACCGCGAACCGGATGGCCGCACTTTGTGATAACATGAATGCTGGCAACATTGCATTGATCAAGAAATCCAGTGAGAAACCCAAGATCGCCTTCGCAATGGGAAAGAGTCACATGGATTTCTCGTTTGCGAACATCTTCAAATATCGACTCTCGAGAAATCTGAGTTGCCTTCCACAAATCCCCGCCTATGTGAATGTGTATTATTGTGTCGCAATTTCAGTCAGTACACACTTGCCTGAACAGACTTTCCAGAAAAAGGAGGAGAACAGGTTGAACTTACAAGGCGCAGCGGGTTCACAGTTGATACAAACACAATCTTGGGTCCCATTAAAGTCAAAATCACCCCATTTACGAAAAGGTTCCTGATCTATCTCCCGGGGAGGTCCGATATGATTCCCCAATCTATCGTTGCTTTGGAAATGGTCAATATCCGTGTGTTGTTGGAAGATTAATAGTGTCACGATAACACAGCAGGTAAATAGCACTTTTTCAATCTTCCCAATCCTCATGTGCAGTCCTTGCATTCCGTTTTGGACTGCGCCGTAACTTATTCAGACTGTAGGAGCAGCAAATGACATTGCTTGACGCAATGCGGTCAAACTAACAAACAAAAAATGCTTCAGAGTTCGACTAGATCGATTCAAACAGCAAAAATCTTCCAAAAATCTTCCTGACATCATCTCTAATCTATACTATCACGCAGCATCTCCAATGCTCGTCAACCTCCTATATTTGTTCATGTTCCACCGCTCCTTTTTCGGTGTCTTTGTACTTGGTTGCCTTTTTTCGGTATCGTGGGGACTGAATCTTCCATTCCAAAAGCCTAACAGTTTCTCTCGTTCCATTTCCAACGATGCATCCAATCGTGCTGATGTGATGACATCACCACAATCATCTCTTTCGAGAGTAATGGATCGTCGGACGTTAATGCAATCCTCCATTTTGACCATGATACTATCTCCTATGGTGACCTTTGCCGAAGATGATCCCAGAATGATTACTACTATACGGTTGCAAGCTGGAGATTCGTTGGGTTTGCAAATTGTTGACTCGGTCCTTCGTGGAAAGCCAATTGTGGTGGTCCAACAGGTTGTGAGGCCCAACAAGAACAATCAAAAGATTCGAGAAGGAATGGTTCTACAGGGCTATGATTCATCATTACAAGTGACGCAACGGATCAAGAATGGTCCGTATCCCATTGATTTGGAATTCCTGAATTTGGCCGCAGGAGGAGACGCCTTTGACGACTTGGGTGGTACCATGGTGACACCCAAGGATGCCTTGAACTTGGCACGACAAACAGACTCTCCGCCATCAAACAATTTAGCGCAGGGAAATGCTGCTCCTCCTTCCTTTTCCATCACAACCACCCAAAAAGTATCCAGTCCCTGTGCCATTCGATCGCGACGAGGTGACGTCCTGGAACTGATCTACGAGGCTTTTTATGTGGATGCCGATGGCACCACCAAACTGTACGATGCTAGTGACTTTCGAGGAACGGGTCGACCCTACCAAGTAGTCCTGGGCAGTGGCGACATGATTCCAGGCGTGGATCAAGGCTTGTATGACATGTGTCCGGGGGAAGGCCGACAATTGCAAATCCCACCAGTCTTGGCCTATGGCAAGCGTGCCAGAGATTCCTTCCGGATTCCTCCCACCTACCAAAGTTTGCAATGGAAGGTGAAGCTATTTTCGATCGATTCCACTATCCGTGAAGACAATAACGACGTGTCCCGAGACGATAGAGAATCAAGATTTATGTACTAGCTAGTGACGAGTGATTGATTCACTCGCTTGTGCGGGTACAAAGTCAAGAACATTCTAAATGATTTAAAAGCCTAGTACCCAACAGTGTGAAGGCATTCCATAAAGATACTGACATCCACCCGACTGCCTTCTGATCCCTGTTTGGCCATTTCGGCAACCATCAGCAACTTCTTGATACCAATTGGCTTGTCGCGAATGGCCTTTGCAATCGATTTGGCCTCCTTTTCGCCCATATTGGCGGCTACCTTCAAGACTTCAATGACATCCTTGGGTTCCTCCAAGAGAGGTACTGTCAGTGTCACGCCAAAGGCAGAAACAAGACCCAAATCTTCCAACAGTTCTGGGCACGATGTCGTTCCGATGACCATGAGGCGACGTCCATCATCCGGAGGAACCTTCTTGAGCAGAATCAATAGTGTTTGCAAGACTGCATTGCTGAATCTTGGACCAATTGGAACATAGTCGATGATACGTTCAATATCATCAATAAATATAATAGAAAGTGGTGATTTGTAGGAATCCATAAAAGCCTTGTGAATTTGTTGGCATTTGGAAGAATCTCCGTAACCAATCATCTCGTCGGCAGAGATCATTCTCACAAATGGGAATCCAGAATCCACAGCCAACTTGGCGGCAATAGCAGTCTTTCCGGAAAAGTTTGGGCCCTTGAGCATGACGCTCATCAGTGGCGTTCGATCGCTGACACGAACTTGTTCCACCAATCGCTCCAAGTTCCCCATGAGAAGATCGAAACTATCGCCATATGGTACAAATCCATTTCTGTAAAAGGCCTTGAGCTCGGTAGCCTTGGCTCCGAATTTGGGTTCGACGTCACCCAGAGCACGTTCGAAATCTTGGTACTGCAACATGAGGTTCTTGAGATCTGGTGCCTTGGTCAGATCCTTGACATCAACGCATCGGGTCAAGGCGTAAGAACTAGCGGCCTTGACCAAACCTTCCAATTCGGCACCCGAAAAGTTCTTGGCCTTTTCGGCAAGGAGAGGAAGCTTTTCCAGAGCATCAGGAGTGATGCGATTGGCCTTGGCCATGTTGCGAGTGTGAATGTTTAGAATTTGAGTTCTTCCCTTCTCGTCGGGCAGTCCAATCTCGACGTGAACCTCCAAGCGACCAGGTCGCAGCAAAGCATCATCAATCATATCCTTACGATTTGTCATTCCAATCAGTAGAATATTGTTCAAGGAGTCCACACCATCAATCTTGGACAAGAGCTGATTAACGACGGAATCCGAGACACCGGTTCCATCTTTGACGCTACCTCTCTGTTTACAGATAGCGTCCATCTCGTCCATGATGATAATGTGCAACATGGAATTGTCCCCCATTTCGATTTGTTCCTTTTCGGCTTCAGCAAACAATTCACGAATCTTCTCTTCCGACCCACCGACATATTTGTTCAGAACTTCAGGCCCGTTCACAATCTTGGGTTCTCTTGCGTTCAAAGCCTTTCCAATTTGTCGGGCAATCAATGTCTTACCACAACCTGGTGGTCCAAACAAGAGCATACCACGTACGTGATTGATGCCCATTTGCTTGATAATGTGGGCTGGCCAAATACGACTGGCAAAGGCACGACGGAAAATTTGATTGAATTCGGCATCCAAACCACCAATTCCAAGCTTTGCAAAATCAAAGTCACCAGTGAACAAGTTGGAAGCTCCGCCACCTCCGCCATCGGCAATGAAATCCCCCGTGAATGCCAACACTGCGCCCCCCTCGGCTCTCGTAAAGGAAATGGCTGTAGGTCCCAAGAGTTGACCTAGTTTGCAAGATTCCGCAGGTTCATCGCTGCCCTTTTCCTTTTTCTTCTTTTTGCTAACCTTGATGGTTTCCATGTGCTTGACGCCCAATTCCAATTTGGTACCTTCAAAATCAATGGCAATGAGTCGGCCAGGTTCCATCATTTGTTCTTCTAGAACTAAGAGGACAGTTTGGGCCAGACGATTGGTATCAATTTCCTTGGGTTTGGCCTTTGGATCCGGCTTTTTCTTGGCTAGCAAATCCACGGTTATTACCAACGAGGCCAAGGCAACGCTGGACGATGGCACAAAGGGAGCAATGGAGACCGAAGTGTTCAAGGAGAGCTGCAAATACCGACGCTGCAAACCATTCAAGGCCACTTGATCATCAGGCACTTGAGAATTGGCTTCCACTTGATAAGGATGGCCATTCACGTCGACCAGCATGGTCTTGCCCGTCGGAACATTGTTTTTCTCATAATAGAGAGCAATTTGACTGAGGTTGTGTTCACTGATGTAAACTCTGTTCGTCAACGCCAGCCGATTGGAAGGAAGGTTTCCTACTGCCAATTTCATGATGCAGTTGAAAGGTTAATTGAATGTATGATGAGGAAAGTGAGTTAGTGGGATTCACAAGCAGCCTATTTCCAGTTCGTACAATGATACTTGCGAGAATGAACGGGAATGAAATCAAAGTCATCGATAGATTTGGGCATTTTGTAAGATATGGTCATGCCAAAGGGTGCATCGACCGTAGAGAAACCTACCATGTCGTCTGTCCACAGTCAGAATTCTAACGGCTACTGCTATTGGAGCACTGAGAAAGGCACGCCACAAGGCTGTAGAAATAGAAAGTATAAAATAAGGACTTGCATTGGTCATCAATGTAAAGTCGCGTTTGGGTTTGGTTCAGCTTTGGCTCAGATTCCATATGGTGAAGGAATATTTTGCTTCTCCATGGAAATCTGATCCACCTTTTCATCCAGCAAATATTAGGTACTAACAGATATGGCTGGTCCAAGTAAATGGGTCTGGCCGTGAAGAACAATCGATATTTACAGTATTTTTACACCTTAGCAGAGTATTAGTGTTAGCATGATTATTATGTCCATTAGTGTAGATATGCAAAGAGCTACTAGTTCGCTCCATCTTTACTCGCTTCCAAACCAACTTCTGGTTTGAAGCTCTGAAAGTGAACCGTTTGTTCCCCAGTCTTGGTGTCATAGTCAACACAGGAAACGCTAGCAGTGGCCACCTTTAACTCTACCATTTTCTCAATGGGAATGCCCATTGCCTCGCTCAGCAAACTTCGAGTCACTTGCAAATGGCTGACAACGGCAGCTGATTTTCCAGCGGGCAACTTGTCCAAGACTTGATCTCTTGCTTCCAAAACACGCTGCTTCAAAAATGGAAACGATTCTCCTCCTTCTGGTGTTACGCTTTCGTCACACGCATCAAATCGAGCCATCGTCTCTTCTCCAATCTCACCAAGAGTCTTGCCGCACCAAGTCCCTCGATCCAACTCTTTGAATCCTTCTAGAATCAAAATCTCGTTCGGTTTTGAAGACTGTCGTTCGTAGACTTGTTCGGCTCCATAAATGGCTCGCTTCAGTGGACTGCAAACCACATATTCCAAATCAAACTCTTGCAGAAAATCTCCTGCCCCTCGTGCTTCCGCTTGGCCCAATTCGGACAAGGGGACGTCCATGGCACCGTAAAAGACTGGTCGGTCACCACCTGGATTCACAACTTCTCCATGTCTCACGAGAAACAAACGTTTAGACATGGGCTTGAGGTCGGGAAGAGATGGACCATGTTTGATCGTGGAGGATGAAAACAAACATGTCGTCGTTCTCGTCGCTAGCAAGCGTTTTGGGGCAAGAAGGTTGCTGGTGGTGCTGGAAAAGGCATGACAGGTACCGATACTATTGCTGCATGCGGTGAGCAAAAGACTCGGGAGAAAGAACTTGCGATGTCCCACAGTCATCAGGTTCGGTTTTATAAATGTATAAATGTAATGCTCTTGAGAGCTACAAAGGAATGCACTGATTCGATTCCGCGTCAATGTGATTGTTGTTGACGGTCGATGACGTTTCTGAACGTCAGGAGGACTGTTTCAGTATCTCCTGCTAAATCAGAAGAAAATGCGATCATAGGATCATTGATTTGATTCATTCGAATCATGGATCCAGCTGCCTTGGCAGCAGTTGTTCCACACTGCAGAGCAGAAAAATCATTCCAGCTACCCAAGCGAGACTACTTAAAAGTAAAATTAGCGAGACCCTTCCAACACCAGAGACCAGAGATACCCAATCCAGAGCAGATTTTTTGGGTCGAACACTCCGCGGGAGTTGTCGGGCTATGCGCCACTGTCATGGACTGAAAAAGAACAATCGAAGAGACTATTTACCTTAAGTAAATGCTTCTACGATCCTCCGACCGATATTCTTTCCAGTTTTTGAAGAACTTGGGAGAAGACGACGTCCAAAGAACTTGTTCCTCACATGATTTCTGGGATCCATCACTCTGCTCATTTTTTCTTTTCGGGCAAACTGGAGATGACAGGGCGGATTCTACTTAGCAACACGGACGCCACCAAAGGTTCAATTTTGGTGCGTTTTTTTGCATACTTGAGTTGCATTGTGACACGAGCTTCGATTTTATTAGCATACAAAAGCTCGTAGTGAGATGAAGTAGGTCTCTGCGAGAATACGATGACAAAAATTTACGCACTGGTGTCTATATTTTTCGTGCTTTCTTCGTTGTTCAAATTCCATCGACTTCGGGCAAATTCCGATTTGTAACAAATTGAATCCGACACAACACGAACAAGAAGAAACCCATCAAACGTCTTCTGAAAACCCACGACAAACTTATAAATTTTGAACATATCAACCAACACACAACACACAACACAACATGACATCGAAAACACTAGATTCATACAGCATGCTTTCATGCCCAGCTACAGATGCTTTGAGGACTGTTCAAGCAACCAAGGTCGGAAGAAAGGGCAGAGCATCAGGCTTTGATGTCATGCTTTCTTCTTCTCTCCTTGACCTCACTTTTGTCGACGCTTCCGTTGACAGTTTCCCTTCTATTGAATGGGACTCTGATGACGATTTTGATTCCAATTCAAGTCTTCGAAGCTTGGATACTCTAATCAGCGATGATTCCTCCCTGAGTTCGCTAGGAAAGCGATCCAGAAGTGATTCTCGCTCTTCAAGAAGACTCGTTCGTTCTCGAAAAATCAAGTCTGGATTGGCTTCTCTTGCCCTTCCTTTGCCCATATCAACGACTTCCTGAGAACTTTGACCATACTACAAGAACAAACAACTACATACATACAAGATAACCACCCACAAACTATACCCATACCAATTCGAGAAACAATGGCTGCACAACCATGAACCCCAAGACTTCCCCCAACGAGAGCAGTATTCACATGAGCGATTCCTGTATAAAACATCCTCATTCCTGCCTCTCAATCTTCCAAACAGTACACACCTGAACATATTCTGTACTGTGAACAAGAACCACTACGAATCAAGTTTCCCACTACAAGATCAGTATTCCTATGAGCGATGCTGTATATAAAACATCCTCATTCCTCATCTCCCAACCAAACAGTGCATACCTGAACATATTCTGCATCTGTACATACTCCGAGGAAATACTACTCTTTCAAGTGAAGAAGAACGATTCAAGCTTTGTGTACACTGCATTTTGGAGCCCATTGCTCATATATATATATCATACAAAATCCTACTACACAAGCAAACAACATAGAGGCATCTAAGCTTCATAAACCATATTTTTCGAATATCCTTTTACTACTATTAGAGTACAGTACCAGTACCAGGTGCTTTTATTCTATCTCTACTGTATCGTACAAATTATCTCGCTTTGACTATTCATTCATTCCCATGGTGTGTACACTCCGAAGTGGACCGGTCGATGGATCATTGCATTCTCTAGCACAAACGTCTTTGCAGTAATTGACAAAATATCAATTGCTTTTGGGCGAACAAACGCCAACATGAAAGAACTTGCGCTTTCTCTGTCGTGTTTTTGCGTCAGTGAGCTCGGCTCCACAGAAATGGCACTAAGTAGGAAAACTGCACAGATTGCGACTAACATAGCTCCGACATGGCCTACTCCTCATCTTCAATGAGAAGGCCATCTGGCAAATCTTCGAGAGTGCCAAGCTATAGCGAGTACGAACAAAGTATAACTGCTCCACCACTTGGCAGCTCCTGTTGTTCAAGCCTTCAAAAAGAAGAAAGTCGCACAGATACCAAAGCCATGGCCCCTTACGACTATGCTGGTGAAGAATTCCTTTCAATCCACCTTCCCATCTATGAATTTGACCGAATAATGTTGGCGGTCAAGCTTGTTGTTGCTTTTGTGGGATGGCTGGTGGTAATTCCCATTATGCTAGCGACATCGCCAGCATCATCCGCTGCTGAAGGCAAGAAGAAAGAGAAGTGCAGCAGCAGTACTTCAAACACTACAGTCAGTCAAAAGAAAAATGGAACCACAACGAGAACGAAAACCATCAAAATTGTGGAAACAACAAAAAAGAAGAGCAAGACAGAACCAAATGGCAAATCGAAAAAGACAAGCATAGCACCAGAACACTCATCCAAGAAAGCAAACAAAGAAGAATCAGAGGAACCAATAGTCAAAGAAGTCAGTGAAATGGCCAATATGCTTTGCATCCTTGGATTCATGGTTACTTTCTTGTACATGATTATCGTGGCCTCTCCTGATAATCGGTATACCACAAGAGGCGTGTTTGAGGCTCCTCTGTTCACCAGAGAGGAATGCGATTTTTTGGTAGACATGGCAGAAACAGTCGCCCAACGCAATTACGAGGCTGCTTCGGAGGCACGAGATAATACCACTATCAAGGATCGAGATTTGATGATGACGGAACCCGCTGGCTGGCAAAAGAAGCGTCATAAACTCTATTCCACTACCGACCTGAATGTCATTACCGACCCCTTTTCCAAAACAGATCGTCAATGGATCAAGGAGAAATTAAATGCCCGGCTCGCACCCACCATTGAACGATTGTATGGAGTGCCACAAGGATCCATTCGGGCCAATGATATCTTTGTCATTCGATATGATGGGGATCGACAAGCTTCCTTGAAGCCGCATACGGACGATGGAGATGTTACCTTTAGTGCTCTGTTGAGTGATGGCTTCACCGGAGGGGGTACCAATTACTATGATCGGCGCAATCAATATTATCACACGGGCAACACACGGTACCAACCACAACCTGACGAAGTCTTTGCTCATGTGTTGCCCCAAATTGGTCAAATGACACTCTTTCGTAGTCCCATATTGCACGAGGGTGTCCAAGTGAAAAAGGGACGCCGGTATTTATTGATCGGCTTTTTGAGTGTAGACAATGTGGATCCATGGAGTGAGGATAACGAGTCCACTGGATTGTCATGGTTTGCCTCATGGTTTTCACTCAATTGGGCATCGGTTCGATTCAAGACGGGGTATTCGTCAGCAGTCTATACCAACTCCAAACTTAAGGCAAACCAAGATGATTGGATGGCTGTTGAGGAAGAAAGAGATTGGATGAGTGAATCCACTTATATTCGTGGATTGTTCATTCAATTCCACAGTCATTTGACAATGTTGGCAGATTTGTTGAGCACGCACTTTTTTCAACAGATCGTTGCAGCAAATCAAACCAAACCTTACTTGGAAAATATGGATCAAGCTTATGCACGTCGTAGACCAAACAAATTGCCGTCGTGGTTCAGTGGACAGCAAATTGAATTGAGCATTGATGGATCCTTTCATTCGGAATGGTCGACGCGAACAAGGAACAGTGAAAAGTTTGATCGAGAAGAAATTTAGATCCTTCATTCTGCAGCCTGAAATGGAAATATAGTCAAAGCGTAGTAATAGTACCGGTAGAGATTCTGAGACAACAGGCAGGCGATTGGCTGATTGCGGTTCATTTGTAGTAATCCCTATTGCTTAGTTGCCACGGATTGTGCCGCTAAAGAATGGCATAATGCTCTCATCATAGTCCACATCAATCAACGATATTTCGAGAGATGCCACTCGGAATCTATGGAGAAGGCATACAAACCCGCAGTTGGACATTCACCATCCTTCAGAATATTATGCTACAATACATTTTGACAATTGATTTGTCGAAACGTCGACTAGTTCGACCGATGAAAACCCGTATTCTCATTTTGACGATGATGAATAAGTTACGAGCTGCGTTTGTAGTATTGCCTTATTTGCTGTGCGTCTGTGTCGTTATCGTCTCTGTTGCAGGTCTTTCAACTGATTCCATAGGGTAGGTGAACCATTCATTATCAGTGAAGCATTTCTTTGATATGCTGCTCACATTGATTCCATCGGTCCTCTTGTAATTCGACCAATCATAGTTCATCCAATACAATGAGTGTCGCTCAAGGTAGTCGTCGCATTGTAGGCAAGCTAAAGCCAGAAACCTCCATGGTTCTTCTCTGTGATATTCAAGAGCGCTTTCGCCCATTGATTTGGCGTGGAGAGACGGTGATCAACACCAGTCGATACACAACATCGGTAGCCAAAGCATTGGATATTCCCATTGCCATTACCCAGCAATACACAAAGGTTTTTGGAGATACAGTGACAGATTGTTTTGCGGATCCAAAAGACTTAAAGAATACTCCAGTCTTTGAAAAGAAGAACTTTTCCATGTGCACCAGTGAAGGTAAGTTACCTCTGTTTGCATCGACCGGAAAGAGTAGTCATTCAGATTATGGTCTAACAACAAGTCACTGCTATAGTGGTGGAGCACATGAAGAAATTCCCCATCGAATCCGTTCTTCTGCTGGGTATTGAAGGTTTGTTTTCATCATACTTTGCTGTGCTTTTCTTTATTCTGGGCTTATGCTGACCGTTCTTCCACTAGCACATGTTTGCGTCCAACAAACTTGTCTCGATCTCTTGGAAGAAGGCACTGATGTGCACGTTATTTGCGATGCAGTCAGCAGTCAACAGCCATTTGATAGAGAAATTGCATTGCAACGCATGAGTCGAGCTGGCGCCTATCTCACTACTGCACAGTCCGCGGCATTCATGCTGATGAAGAGTGCGGACCACCCCAATTTCAAAACTGTCAGTAAGCTGACTGTCAACCATATGAAACTTCCCAATGAGTTCAATGAAGCCCTGCAGGCAGACGATGGTTCCAAGAAAAGGACCCGAACCGAAGAGTAGCTACTCAACTTCAGCATGGATAAATGTCGCTTCAACACCCAACGCTTGCATCAATCGTCACTCGATTGTCAGTCGGACTACCTTGTTCCAGTGTGTCAGATTCTTTAGGGCTGTCTTCAATCATCGTATTGCGGCTCTTACTTGACACTTCCGTCATGAATTCAGAGGCTTCCGCTTTCATTACTGTAGTGTTATTTTCATTTGGCTCTTCCTGAATCATGCCACCGTCTCCATTCGCGTGTTCAACATGTTCAATTGATACATTCATCTTCGTGTCAGAATCCACGATATTAGCGTTGGTGTCTGTATTGTCATTACTTCCACTTGGCAATTCTTTTATCTTGTCATTCACTGTTGGAAATTCAGCGACAAAATCCTTATCCACACAATAAATGGTCGGATGTTCAATGATTGTCATGCCAGAAAGGAATGATCTCAGATTGTCAATGGGTTCGATTTCGGCATATCTCTGTTTGTTTGTCGGAGCTGGAAGTTCCTTCACAAATAGCCGCATGCTGTCGTCAATCGATAATCCAGTTTTCTGGGCATGCTTCTGAAGATGACTTATGATTTCGGCTTCATCCTCCGACAATTGACAAGAGAATGACTTTCTTGATCGATGGAGGATGACTTCGACTTTCCACATGATAGTATCACGTTTGACACAGTACCAAGAAGCATTTTTCTTATGCCTGTCCATCATTGTCGGCATAATCTTTAGGTTAATGCCTCGTTTTTCACATTGTTGCAACAGACGACGAGATTTCCGACTGGTTTGATGTTGTGTTTTGGCTCGCTTGGCATCCCGGGGCATTCGATCCAGCACTTCCTCCAAGAAAAAGTAATCACTTCTTAGGCTGCTATCTGACATGCGGCAAAGTGGCAAGAATGCCTCTCGGTTTCGCTTCCCATTGCAATCAGTCTTGGTCTTGTGTGTGCGAACGCATTCCAAAGAGCAAGTTCGAATGTTACATCTGGGACACTGATAGATTGCTTCCTTTATTTTGCACTCCTCACATGTCTGTCCATAATCTCGCTTCTTGTCTCCTTGCTCTGATATATCGACAGCAATCATGGCAACGGTTTGTAATATAATATGTGTTAAGATGTTCTATTTTTGAAAGATTTTTACTGGCAAGCGGAAAATCGCACGAAAATCGCGCGGTGAAAGCAATATGTGTCATGTCTATTTTGGTGTTAGTACTAGTCTCCGTATTGCCAGACCTAGGCTGTTCAGAGGGCGTGCTAGCCGTATCGACTCGCCTCCCTTCAGAGCAATCTCTACGGCGTCACTTCTTTTCCACTCTCCAAGAGTGTACGGAATCTCAATTTCGATTGCTCCTCCTGAATCCGCTTGGACAAACAAACTGGATTGCTGATCCGAAACAGTGCATACATCACACTGGAAGAGGTACTTCTGGTCTGGTGCGTCATCTGGGATTTTGTATTCTGCTCCACCGTCGGCCATAAAGTTTAGTTGCTTTCCGCCCTCAAAGCTTTCGATCTCGATGATGTTTCCCGCAAATTGAGTGTTTTGACTTGCTGGAATCGTCACGACACCTGTATCCTTATCAATGCTGCTTGGAACATCTGGTTCGTCCAGTTGGTATGCGTCCAGATATGTCTCACATTTATTCTCAACCAATCGCTTTCCCTCCCGGACAAAGGATATTGACGAGGAATCCACCTTCGAAAGTTCGCACTCTCCTATCAGCAGAGACAGAGATCGAAGACATCGCTCTGGATGCAAAGTATGTAACTCCACCTCTGGAATGAATTTTGAAGGTGGTTCGAGAATGTCCGCAAGACACCTCCGAAGAACTACCTTCTTCAGATAGTCACTGTTGGATAACAGGCTTCTCGCTTCCAGTTCGGCTTTAAATTCATTTCCACTGCGACCATTCCATTCCGCGGTCTTCCACTCGGCACCATTCTGTGCTATCCATCCGTCAGCCGTCCATCTTGTGAACCCTTCTTCTGTTCCACATCTGCATCCCCATACTGGAATGCCGAAAGATTGCAGAATGAACCTTCCAAACAAAGACTTCAGCGATGTATTTCCACCCCCTGCCAAGATCATTTGGAACGTCTTTGGGCTACCAGTCCAGACTGGCTGTCTCATTCGAACATCCGAATCCAAGATATAAGTATACTTCAGCTTTGGGTCTGTGATGCACGTCAAGTGCGGGGCATAATTGAAAACCATTTTCCGACACCATTCCATTTGTTTGTCCGGTGCAATACAGCTCACAACATGCCTCATTTCCCATACGGATAGGTTTGGAAAGGCAGGATCCAAGTCGCCATTGCAATGTGCCTTGGCAAACTGTTTGAAGCGAGCAACAGGGTCAATCTCTTTGGAACTGTCAAACTCCTTGATTGGCGAAGCGAATTCGAGAGCACAAGCAAGGGCGATTTTCGCAATTACTCTCGCATGCTTTGCATAAGATTCATCACTACTTGCAAAGCAATCAGAATATATCTTGATAGCATTCCCGTAATCATTGTTGGATGCTCCACCATTTATTAGCATTTCCCTCATCAATTTGGAATCTTCAAAGAGGTCGTGCATTAACGATTCGTTCTCCTTGCTGACGCTGGTGAATTCCGCAAGAGCTTCTGGCGTCGCTGCGGCAATGATAGCTCCTTCTACAAGCAGGTCTTCTTCCTCTACCATGGCTTCTATTGGCACTATACTGGATAGTTCCTCTGCCCTTTCAATTGCCTTCTTTCGAAGCTTTGACAATGCTTTTCGACATGCCTTGACCCGACCTTTTGCTTTTTCTACTTCATCCTTGCTACCATCGTTCATCGTAAGCTCCAAAATATTTCTCTCCTCCTCCTCTTTTGATTCCCATTCCTTGTAATAATCAGCACAAATGCCCTTGAAGTCTTCCACATCTTCCGGTTTGTATCCAAACTTCGATTGGCAGATTTCTTGGACACCTTGCAGAATGCCACCATAGAAATCATCATCGAGCTTCATGTCGACAATGGTCACACTCTCTCGGAACAAAGCAAGCGATTCCCTTTTAGCCGGCTTCTTATTATTCTTTTTCGGCTTTTCTCTTTCTCTAGTGGCTCCTTTCAAAGAGCCCTTGCTTTTCTTTCGGGTAAGTGGCTTTCGCTCCATGTCGTCGTCAGGAAGTTCCTGATCCTCTTTTAACGGTTCCATCTTGTCCAACTTTCCACTGGTGCTTTTCTTGGGCGCTCGGGGCGATGGTTCGTCGCCATTTTTCTTCTTCGAGGAACTCCGCTTCAACTTTCGGGCCGATGAGTCATCATCTTTGTTGTCTTTGTTCTCGGAACTCCGTTTACTCTTTCGAGCGGATGAGTCGTCGTCTTTGTTATCTTTGCTGGATGCACTCCGCTTCATCTTTCGTGCGGATGATTCGTCATCTGTGCTATCTTTGTTCGAGGAAGTCCGTTTACTCTTTCTGGCCGATGAGTCGTCATCTTTTTTCACTTTGGATTGCTTCCTAGTTAATCCTTTTGGAGTTTTGCTGGACCTGTTGGATCTGGACGACTTTCCCGACTTTTCGGAATCTACTGACGCGTTGTCATCGACATCTTTCTTTTTGCTAGAAGACTTCTTGTCTTTCTTTGCATCTTCGCTTTTCTTGTTTTTGCTCGACCTTTTCCTACTCGACGTGACACTGCTAGAGCTAGATCTCGACTTTTCTGTCTTCTCTTTCTCCTTTGCCTCGCTTTTCTTTTTCTTTTGGTGATCGGATATTCCGTCCAGCTCATCGCCGACACTGTTTGGATTCAAACCGACTGATCGTGCCACCAAAATGTCCCAGGACTTACGGGTATCTTGGACACCCTCTAGATGCTTGAAGGTATCGCCCAAATCAAAGTCGTCTGCATCACTGAGTTCGTCCAAGGTATCCAAACTCTCGGCCGAATTTCTACGTTCGAGTAGTCCAGGTTTGCCCCCAGCCGGCAACAAATCATCAAACTCGACTCCTTCCGAAAACGAGGTCCCCAGAACCTCATTCAGTAAAGAATGATCGGACTCATTGAGATCTTTGCTGTAGTTCTGTCGCGCTTGAGCATTTTCAAAAATACCCATGCCGACATCGGCTATCGTTCGGTTCTCGTCTTCGTCTGGGGGTGGCGGTGGGGGAGGCGGTGGAGGTTCGTCAGTGTCGTCGGACTTTTTCTTGTCCTTTTTCTTATTCTTCTTGCTAGACGACGATGACTTGGAAGTCGTAGTGTCGGGAGTAGAAACTGCTTCTTCCTTACTGTTCTTCTTGTCTTTCTTATTCTTCTTTTTGCTGGACCTTCTGGAAGGACTGGGTGGCTCCTCTTCCTTTTGGCCATTATCATCGTCGCCCTCCGTAAAGAGTCCCAAGATGTCATCGTCCGTCATGGATTCTCGTTTGTTTGTTTTCTTGTCCTTTTTATCATCGGCCGCAGGTGACGAAGCTGCTGCTTGTGGCGGAGGTACCGTTCCCGGTGGTGCCATGGCCGCAAACTCTGGTACATTTCCCAAAACGGCCAACATGGCTTCTGGTGTTTGCGGAAGCATATCCTCAATCTCTTCTTCCGTGGCCCCATTTGCACGAGCTTCGTCAAGCTGGTCCTTCATGGCCAATTTCAGCATATCCTGAATCTGTTTTTTCATTTGTTTGTCATAATCCTTTTGGGCCTTGGTGGCGGCTTTGGCTTGGAACTCTTTGATTTCTACTTTGGAGTAAAACAATTCGGGCAAGAGGGCATTGTCCGGCCTTTCGTATTCCCAAACCTTGGAAACGATGGTTTCGGGGAACCATACTTTTCGTTTGTCGCCATCGGAGGAATTGGAAGAATTACTCGAAGAGGAGCTGCTGTTGCTGCTTGATGAGGAAGATGAGGAACTTGAAGAACTGCCGGAACTGCTACTTGATGAAGAGGAGGAGGAGGAGCTGTCGTCCTTCTTCTTCTTTTTGCCTTCCGCATTTTGGCTCAAGAGTTCCGTGAGCAGCATGTTTTTTTGTTTGTTTGTTTGTTTGTTTGTTTTTGTTTGTTTGTTTGTTTGTTTTTACAGGAAAGACGAATCAATCTTCATAGGTGCAGGTTCGGCAATGTATCACTGTTATGTGTGGTGTAAAGAAAGAAAGAAAGATAGATAGATAGATGGGTGGATGGACGAAACAGCCCTTGGTACTGTAGTCGACAGATATGCTGCTGGATTGATTCAAGCCTCCTTCTTACAGTACATACGGTATGATGCCGTTACACTTCAATTTCGGGGTGGGGATCGATTGATTATATTGGATTGGACACACAGGCTGGCATACTGCGGCCGGTATCCTGCTTGGACATTTTGATAAATCCTGCGTGGAGGAAAACCATGACCGTGACCAACGAGACAGATGGTGGATACGGAAAGAGAGGTACGCGTGAGTGTACTGACATAGCTTCAATAGGATCTGACTCAACTAAGATGCGTTCTGGTATAATATAATACCAGGTATTGTAATTATCTACTGTAGATAGGTACAGTATTCAGATTTAGTATTATTATCAATATTATACAGTATATATGCTGCACTTCACCCTAGTACACTAGCTACAGAATGAAAATGAATCTATATCTCTTCTCGATCAAACTTTTCACTGTTCTTCTTTCGCGTCGACCATTCCGAATGAAAGGATCCATCAATGTTCAAATCGACTTGTTGTCCACTGAACCACGACGGCAATTGGTGGCTTGGCCGTTTGTGTGAGCGTGCAGAATACGCTTCGTCCATCTTTTCCAAGTATGGTTTGGTTTGATCGGCCGGAATGATTTGTTGAAAAAAGTGTGCGTTCCAGAAATCTGCCAACATTGTCAAATGACTGTGGAATTGAATGAACAATCCACGAATATAAGTGGATTCACTCATCCAATCCCCCTTTTGTTCATCTGCAGTCATCCAATCATCTTGGTTTGCCTTGAGCGTGTTATGTGTAGTAATAGCCGCTGAATACCCCGTCTTGAATCGAACCGATGCCCAATTGAGTGAAAACCATGAGGCAAACCATGACAATCCAGTGGACTTGTTATCCTCACTCCATGGATCCACATTGTCTACACTCAAAAAGCCGATCAGTAAATACCGGCGTCCCTTTTTCACTTGGACACCCTCATGCAATATGGGACTACGAAAGAGTGTCATTTGACCAATTTGGGGCAACACATGAGCAAAGACTTCGTCGGGTTGCGGTTGGTACGGTGTATTGCCCGTGTGATAATATTGATTGCGCCGATCATAGTAATTGGTACCCCCTCCGGTGAAGCCATCACTCAACAGAGCACTAAAGGTAACATCTCCATCGTCCGTATGCGGATTCAAGGAAGCTTGTCGATTCCCATCATATCGAATGACAAAGATATCATTGGCCCGAATGGATCCTTGTGGCACTCCATACAATCGTTCAATGGTGGGTGCGAGCCGGGCATTTAACTTCTCCTTGATCCATTGACGATCTGATTTGGAAAAGGGGTCGGTAATGACATTCAGGTCGGTCGTAGAATGGACCTCGTGGCGCTTCTTTTGCCATCCAACAGGTTCCATCACTAACAGATCTCGATCCTTGATAGTAGCGTTTGCCTCCGAAGCAGCAGCAGCTTCGTAGTTGCGTTGGGCGACTGTTTCCGCCATGTCTACTAGATGGTCACATTCTTCTCTGGTGAACAAAGGAGCCTCAAAGACACCTCTTGTAGTATACCTATTATCAGGAGAGGTCACGATAATCATGTACAAGAAAGTAACCATGAATCCAAGGATGCAAAGCATATTGGCCAATTCACTGACTTGTTTGACTGTTGGTTCCTCTGATTCTTCTTTGTTTGCTTTCTTGACTGAATGTTCTGGTGCTACGTTTGCCTTTTTCGATTTGCCATTCATTTCCTTCTTTTTCTTTTTCGTCGTGGTTTCCACAATTTTGATGGTTTTCGTTCTCGTTGTGGCCCCATTCTTCGTGGTCGTGGTGGCTCTATTTGCCGTCCCTTGCTTCTTTTCCTCGGCATTCTGTGGTGGTGCTGCTGCTGGTGGTGATGCCAACATGACGGGAATCACCACGAGCCATGCCACAAAGCCAACGACCAGCTTGGTCATCAAGAGCAGTCGATCCATTTCATAGTTGGGAAGCTCAACCGAAAGGAATTCTTCACCAGCATAACCGTAAGGAGCCATGATGATTTACTGTATTTTGTTTCTCAATGTGGATAAAGAGTCTGGAGAATGAGGGAATGAATCCATGATGAATCTTTATCGAATCAAGAATCATTATCGCATCGCCGATGCGTTTTTCATCGTCTCTCTCTTTTGAAGTCGGACGATGAACAGACAGTAGACTTTTCGCGACATATGGAGAAAAGAGAAAGGAGAAAGAAGGATAGCATTGCAGCTATATATTGCGATGCTTGTTTACCGTACCTAGTGTAATATATTCAAACAAACATATCCATCAAACGCCCGTCCATGGATATCACTACTCAGCAACATAAACAACAATGACACTATGGTTATCCGATCAAATAATAGTGATGACGATAAAAGAGCAGCAACAGCAACAGCAACAACAACAACGACGGAATCATCAAAGGTCTATTCTTTGACCAATGGTCGATGCGTACTGTGCATGGCATTTCTGGGATTTCTGGCCATTGGAGGTTTGATGTCGTCCACACGAGATTTGAAGCAATGGGCGAGTTCTTATTATACTATTGATCCGCCTTTACCAACAAATGTCACGACGAAACGAGACATGAAAGTCCCCCCTCGCAAACCAATGTCCAAATTGCACCAGGCTCGTGCTCCACCCAAGCCATTGCAAAATGACAAGTCCTCCAGGAGTGCCAGCAATCAATTGCACTTGATTCATCACAAGGAACTTGCATTGCACGATTACTTTTCGGATTCTTGGTTATTGCCAAGGAAAAACTTTTTGGATATGCAATTGGACAGAATTGGAATTGTGGAAGATGCCTGCTTTGAAGCCATTGGCAAACGAAATCCTCGTGCGTCTTCCAAAATGTTTGTCGATTGGACTCACTTCCTGGTGGAACACTTGTCCAAATGGTGGAAGGTCCTTCATATATTGGACGATCCGGATGGTTCCTTGTTTCAGCACACTCTGCAGAGATTGGAGTCTTATTGGCACCGCGCTGTTACGGATGCAGCAACATCCAAGAGGAGTCCGCTGCACGAGACCATTGCCATGATCGCCTTTGCACCGTATCATGGCAAGGCACCAGGACGAGCCGAATATCTAACGTCCTTATCGCTCGCGGCTACCATTTCGTCCATTTACAAGGTGGGATTTGGACGAGTGGTAGTGACGGGCATGGAGGATGACGACGAAGACTATGTTCGTCAAGCCTTTCAATTGTTGCACAACAAGGTCCATCGCCACACGGCTGCCTTGAATTCCACTGCAGCAAACATTGGAATGACGGAATTGACCTATGTCCAAATGACGAATCGATCCTGGACCACTACCAAATGGGTCGAATTGAATATTCCTCGGGGATCGGTACACGGTATGCAATTGGCCTTGTCGGGACAAATGGTGGCAGAAGAACAAGAACAATGGCTCGGATCGAGTGGAACTGATTGGAAATATGTCGATCTGACGGAGCCCGACACTTTGCTTCATACCAAGTCATGGCTATTGCCAATGATGAAGGATGGATTGGACAGCGGCATGTCCTTTTTCCCCCATCGACTCCAGCCATTGCCACACGAATTGGACTTTCCCATAATGGCGAATACTAGCGCCACCGCTACCACCAAAAAACAACATTATGCATCTTTTGTCAATGAGGGGCACTACTTACCAGGACATGTGCAGCCCTTTTCCAATGTAACGATACTAGACGAGGACTACTCTTGTTGCGATGGAGGAGGCGCCTGGGTGGGTCGAATGGAACCCTTTTGTCGCGGTGCCAAAGAACCATGTGGGGGATCCATGTGGTGGTCCACTAGCTTGAACAAACCACCCAAGGACACGACTGACGAAGGGATATTGGAGCATTATCAAAAGCTAGTTCCCTATCCCATGATGCGTCTGGGCTATGGTACTCGACTAGTATTTGCGTCGACCAACCATGGCCGACGTTGCTTTCCATCCAAGACTCCTTGTGGCAACGTGACTTATTATTGAAGTAATTAGATTGTCATGCTACTGTTCGGCTTCAATCTTATTGTCACTACTAGCCGGTTTACAGTATCTTTAAAATATCTTTAAAAAATATTCATTTCATTTCATTGTTAATATGTGAATTGTCTCTTGTCGCCAGTCTCCCGTTTCCCAAATGGATTTGACGCGCTAAAGTTGTGCCCCGAGGTGCCGCCTTGATGCTTGTTCTTCTTGTTGGACATTTGCTTGGAATTCCTCTTGTTGCCACGGGCCGAAAACGCCAAGTCGACGCGGGGAGGAGAGGTGAATCCAAAGGCCCTGCCTACGGCTTGCAAATCCAACTCGTGCACATCAAAGATATCCCGTTGGGAATGACTGGCGTAGGCAAGCAAATAGCTTCGGTAAGCTTCTCGGGCAGCCTTGTTCAAGTAGTAGTTCTTTTCAATCAAGGATTGCAATTGGGATTGGACATTGGCAATCTTGGAGGTGGGGAATTCGTATTCATTGAGGGTGACCTTGGCCTTGGCTTGCAAGTATCGCAAAAAGCCAGTTTCTTGGGGAGTCAAAAACATCAAGGCTCGTCCCGAACCAGTGGCTCCACGAGCCGTTCGTCCCACTCGGTGGATGTATTCTCTTGGATCATCTGGAGGATCGAATTGAATGATCCAATCTACCTCAGGAATGTCCAAACCTCGGGCGGCCACATCCGTACACAACAGCGTAGCAGTTTTGGCCTTTTGGAATTGAAAAAAGGTGGTGGTACGCTTGACTTGCTTTTGTCGGCCATGAATGTCCAAGACGGGAATATCAATGTAATTTAGAAGTTCAGCATGGAACTTGACCGAGTTACAAGACGACAAGAACACCATGATCTTCTTGTTTTTGTTCTTCTTGAGGAATGTAAAGAGCAACAAGAATCGTTTGTCGGAAGGACAGGTGACATAGCCTTGCTCCAAGTTTTGGACAGTAGCTTCCTTATTCTCCGATTCGACCTCAACATAGATTGCCGTCTTTGGGTTGATGGACAATCGTGCCAAATCTTCGATTTGCTTTGTTTGGGTTGCCGAAAAGAGCATGGTTTGTCGTTCCTTGGGAAGCATCTTGACAATGGCTCTCAAATCATCTTCGAAACCAATTTCCAAAATACGATCAGCCTCGTCCATACAAAAGACTAAAAGGTTGCGAGTTACAAACCCAGGAGAGTTTTGCAAGTGATCCAACAAACGGCCAGGAGTGGCAATAATGATGTTAACTCCCTTGCGCAATCGCTCCGCTTCTGTCTTTCGGTTGGATCCACCCATGATGAGACCGTAGGTCATGGTCGACTTCTCAGTCATTAGCTCCTTACAGACTCCGTAAATTTGCATGGCCAGTTCACGAGTTGGCGCCAAAATCAAGGCACCGGTTCCGTTGCGGGTGTGAAATTTGGCTTTGCGCAAGACTTCGACAATGGGAACCAAAAAGGCCAAGGTTTTTCCGGATCCTGTCTGTGCGGCACCAATCAAATCCTGTCCCTTCAATAGAGGAGGAATGGATTTGGCTTGAATTTTTGTCATCTTCTCGTAGCCCATGTTGGTCAAGGCAGTTTGGGTATCTTCGGTCAAAGGAAGTGCCGAAAAGGAGTCGTCGGAAAAGAATCCCTTCTTGACGGAGGAAACAGCCTCTGCAGGGATTTCCTTCTCAACTTGATCTGCATCACCGTCAATACTCTTCTTCTTTTTCTTCTTGGACTTTTTCTCCTTCTTTTCGGAACCATCGATGGACATTTTCCGCTTTTTCTCTTTTGGTGGTGGAGTACCAACTTCCTCTTCTTGATCAGCCTCTTCAGGGTCACTCAAAGGAGTGTCCGCTTGCTCTTCCTCGTGATCATCATCAAATCGTTTGGCGGATTCTTCCAAAGCCATTTCGGCTTTACGCTTTTGTTGCTTCTTGAGGCGATCCTTCTTTTCCTTCTTTCCCATTGTTTCGATTGATTTTGTGAAAGAAATACACACATTTCGGTTGGTGAAAATTCATCCCGACTGCGCGTTGGTCACGCGATACCGGAAGCAGTGCAGACGGAAGTTCGATTTGTCAAATGCAAATCACAAACAACGAAAAATGTGATCATTGTCATTGTCATTGGATTGATGCATCCAACATCCAATTCCAAGACACTCACTCTAGCATCGTACGTTATAATGCTTCGTTTCGAAAATTACTTTCGCCATGATGGAGAAGTTATTCACTCATTGATATGTTGAATAGTATGTCTACTTCAGGCAGACGTTTGACGCGCTATACTCTTGGTCTAGCCATGCGTTGTGGTTCGAAACTTCTTTCTAGTTGTTATTTATACTGCTATTGCACGTCGGTTCCAAAAGCAATCGAATGTTCTCAGATCAACAACATACTACAACATAAATCCAGAAAATGGCATCGAAACCTTTTTCACATATACTTTCATCACAAAGAAAAAGAGTCAGGTTTCCCTCTCGCATGAATTACCACGATCAGGTTCCAACGGTTTAGTTTTTTGGTCATTCTCAGCCACACTCGGAATGAGCGTAAGCACCCGCAACTGACACAGTCTTTTTCAAACTTTCACAAAATAATAAGGGGGACAGCGACCTAGACTCCAGCAGCAGTTTCCTCAACGGGTTCCTGCTTGGGTTCCTTGGCGGCTTCCTCTTCCTTATTGTTATCATCATCTTTATTGTTGTCCTCGTCGAGCTTCTCGTCTTCGGGGATCTCACCAGCAAATGTTAGCATGGGCTTGCGGGCAGATTCTTCTCCACGGATCAAGACATCCAACTTGGAGAAGAACAAGCAGAAGAATCCAGCTGAGATGGGAGTGACAATGAACGTAATCATGGTTTTGGATCCACAGAGGGGGCAGATAGCACCATTTTCCAACCAAAAGTACTCAAAGAGACCGCCTTCAGCTTCCACGACGACACCAATGATAACGACCGTGAAGATTCCGCAAACAGTACCCAAAAAGGCACCCAACTCGGTCGGAGCAGCAATGGGTCCCCTGTCTTCGGTCATCAAACCAAGAAAAACGGGAAGCACGGCACAAGCGCAGACCAAATCGGCAACCAAGAAGAGAGACAAAACATCGTAGGCCTTGGCGCCCAGATAGATAGCGGGGATATTGAGAAGTAGAATCAACACGCGGGCGATCCACTTGGGAGCTTCTTCGCTAAACCCGTGACTCTTTTGCAAGCGAATCAAGTCGGTCGAGAAACTGGACATGAGTGCGTTTTGTAAGGTATCAATACTGCTGGCGGTAAGTGAAGTCACCAAGATGAGTGTGATAATATGCCAAGCAGGAGCCAAGGGTGCCAAGAGGTCGAAAAACGACAAGAATGAAAACTTGGTCAAAGTATCGTATGCGACAGGGTCCTGTGCGTAGCCAATCATGCCCATAGTGCCAAAGAACATCATGAGCACGAAGATTAGGACGGATCCACCAATGAATCCTTTTTTCATATCAGCGTCACTCTTGGCAGACCAAACACGCTGCCATGTTCCCAAGTTGAACATCGATGCGCTCAAAACAGCTAGAAAAAGAGTGACAGCAGCCATCAATCCGTCAACAGTCCAGTTGGAAGCCTTGCCCCATTGTTCTACAGTGAGCTGGTTTTCGGGGTGAACACTCACAGCGAAGAGAAGCATAAGGACCAGAAGCCCAATCATGATTCCTTGGAACTTGTCGGTGATGATGGAAGCGGGAAGTCCACCAACAGAGGTGTACAAGATAGTAATGACACCGATAGCAACAGAGACAGTTGTTGGATCAAACTCGTAGATGGGGTTGGTGACGAAGCTTCCATAAATGTTGGAAATGGAAGTGTACTCGGCCACGATGTAAATGAACATGTAAAAGATGCTGAAAATAGCAATGGTAAATTGCATTGTACGTCCATAACGTTGACGTCCAAAGTCAGTAACATTGAAAGACTTTTCCAAGCAGCGTTCCTTGATCATGGGGCCAATTGTAAACACAACAACGGCAGGTGCGGAAGAAGCAAAGGCATATCCAATCACACCGAGCCAACCAATTTGTGCGTTGGCTCCCATTTGGGCAGGTCCATACAACACCCAAGCACCCATTCCAGAGGCAAAGTAAGATAAAGTAATGGCAGAGGCAGGAGCTGAATCTCTTGCGGACAAGAAGAAATCTGTCTTGCGATTGTTGTTGACGTGCTGGCCGTCTTCATCGACAGTTCCTTCTTCGTCACCTTGTTTCAAGACGAAGAGATTGTTTGCGTTTCCAAGGCATTTGCCAAAGAAATCAGCCGAGGCAAAGGCAATGAGCGCAAACAAACAAAGAACGGTGAAGAGGACGGCATATGCAGCTTCCTCAGATACGTTGAAGGCCATACTAATACCAATTCCAATTTAATTGTGGCTTTTTGCTAACCAGTCGTTGTTTTTTGTTTTTTGTGGACTTGATGAGAAAAACTCTGATAAAAGATATCCAAAAGATTTTCTGATCACATTTCGATGGACAGGGCTCCTCTTGTAGAGAAGTACCTGGTACACGTTTACCAGTACCAAAGCTTTCGTAGGATAAGATCTCGAAACGTGGGGTTGGTGTTTAGTGCGTCACAGAAACACGCGTCCAAGAACGAAGGCGAGCTCATTTTTCAGTGGTACCGTACCTGTTACTCGTAGTACCGGTACGCGTCCCCAAGGGTTTGGATTTCCAGCTGAAGAACGTGCAACACTGTCTACTGTCTTGCAATGATCCGTATACTGAACAACTTAATCTGGACCAGGGTCCAGGCAAGCACCGACGCACCGGTACCGTACTGTTTTGATGTGCCGAATAGATTGTCTACTTCAGTAACTTCTGATGGGTCGAGCCATCTATTCTACTGCTTCGTTGTGGTTCGAAACTTCTTTCTAGTTGTTATTTATACTGCTATTGCACGTCGGTTCCAAAAACAATCGGATGTTCTCAGATCAACAACATACTACAACATAAATCCAGAAAACGGTATCGAAACCTTTTTCACATATACTTTCATCACAAAGAAAAAGAGTCAGGTTTCCCTCTCGCATGAATTACCACGATCAGGTTCCAACGGTTTAGTTTTTTGGTCATTCTCAGCCACACTCGGAATGAGCGTAAGCACCCGCAACTGACACAGTCTTTTTCAAACTTTCACAAAATAATAAGGGGGACAGCGACCTAGACTCCAGCAGCAGTTTCCTCAACGGGTTCCTGCTTGGGTTCCTTGGCGGCTTCCTCTTCCTTATTGTTATCATCATCTTTATTGTTGTCCTCGTCGAGCTTCTCGTCTTCGGGGATCTCACCAGCAAATGTTAGCATGGGCTTGCGGGCAGATTCTTCTCCACGGATCAAGACATCCAACTTGGAGAAGAACAAGCAGAAGAATCCAGCTGAGATGGGAGTGACAATGAACGTAATCATGGTTTTGGATCCACAGAGGGGGCAGATAGCACCATTTTCCAACCAAAAGTACTCAAAGAGACCGCCTTCAGCTTCCACGACGACACCAATGATAACGACCGTGAAGATTCCGCAAACAGTACCCAAAAAGGCACCCAACTCGGTCGGAGCAGCAATGGGTCCCCTGTCTTCGGTCATCAAACCAAGAAAAACGGGAAGCACGGCACAAGCGCAGACCAAATCGGCAACCAAGAAGAGAGACAAAACATCGTAGGCCTTGGCGCCCAGATAGATAGCGGGGATATTGAGAAGTAGAATCAACACGCGGGCGATCCACTTGGGAGCTTCTTCGCTAAACCCGTGACTCTTTTGCAAGCGAATCAAGTCGGTCGAGAAACTGGACATGAGTGCGTTTTGCAAGGTGTCGACACTGCTGGCAGCAAGTGAAGTCACCAAGATGAGTGTGATAATATGCCAAGCAGGAGCCAGCGGCGCCAGGAGGTCGAAAAACGACAAGAATGAAAATTTAGTCCAAGTATCGTATGCGACAGGGTCCTGTGCGTAGGCAATCATGGCCATGATGCCAAAGAACATCATGAGCAAGAAGATAAGAATAGATGCACCAATGAATCCTTTTTTCATATCAGCGTCACTCTTGGCAGACCAAACACGCTGCCAGATTCCCAAGTTGAACATCGATGCGCTCAAGACGGCGATGAAAAGAGTGATACCAGCCATCAATCCGTCAACAGTCCAGTTGGAAGCCTTGCCCCATTGTTCTACAGTGAGCTGGTTTTCGGGGTGGACGCCCACAGCGAAGAGAAGCATAAGGACCAGAAGCCCAATCATGATGCCTTGGAACTTGTCGGTGATGATGGAAGCGGGAAGTCCACCAACAGAGGTGTACAAGATGGTAATGACACCGATAGCAACAGAGACAGTTGTTGGATCAAACTCGTAGATGGGGTTGGTGACGAAGCTCCCATAAATGTTGGAAATGGAAGTGTACTCGGCCACCATGTAGATGAACATGAAAAAGATGCTGAAAATAGCAATGGTAAATTGCATTGTACGTCCGTAACGTTGTCGTCCAAAGTCAGTAATATTGAACGACTTGTCCAAGCAGCGTTCCTTGATCATGGGGCCAATTGTGCAGACAACGACGGCAGGAGCAGAAGAAGCAAGAGCGTATCCAATCACACCTAGCCAACCAATTTGTGCGTTGGCTCCCATTTCGGCGGGTCCATACAACACCCAAGCACCCATTCCAGTGGCAAAGTAAGATAAAGCAATGGCAGAAGCAGGAGCTGAATCTCTTGCGGACAAGAAGAAATCAGCCTTGCGATTGGTATTGACCTGGTTGTTGTCTTCGTCGACAGTTCCTTCTTCGTCACCTTGTTTCAAGATAAATAGATTGTTGGCTTTTCCAAGGCATTTGCCAAAGAAATCAGCCGAGGCAAAGGCAATGAGCGCAAACAAACAAAGAACGGTGAAGAGGACGGCATATGCAGCTTCCTCAGATACGTTGTACGCCATACTAATTCCAATTCCAATATAATTGTCGCTTTTTGCTATCAACTCGATGTTTTGGTGACTTGATGAGAAAAACTCTGCTGAAAGATATCCAAAAAGTTTTGTGATAGAAGGCGTCACATGCTGATGGACAGGACTTCTCTCGTAGAAAAGTACCAAAGCTTTCGTAGGATAAGATCTCGAAACGTGAGGTTGGTGTTTAGTGCGTCACATAAACACGCGTCCAAGAACGAAGGCGAGCTCATTTTTCGGTACTCGTAGTAGATACGTTTACACGTGTACGTATCCACAAGGGTTTCGAGCTGAAGAACGTGCAACAGTGTTTACTGTCTTGCAATGATCCGTTTGAACGATCGGAGACACAACGGTGGTACTGTACGCTGTACGTCCCTGACACAGGGCAGTCCCCTGAGTAAGTGGTACTTACTGTTTTGATGTGCTGAATAGTTTGTCTACTTCAGGGACGACATCTGATGCGCCTATCTAGCCATGAGCTCTACTGCTTTGTTGTGGTTCGAAACTTCTTTCTAGTTGTTATTTACGCTATCGCACGTCGGTTCCAAAAACAATCGAATGTTCTCAGATCAACAACATACTACAACATAAATCCAGAAAATGGCATCGAAACCTTTTTCACATGTACTTTCATCACAAAGAAAAAGAGTCAGGTTTCCCTCTCGCATGAATTACCACGATCAGGTTCCAACGGTTTAGTTTTTTGGTCATTCTCAGCCACACTCGGAATGAGCGTAAGCACCCGCAACTGACACAGTCTTTTTCAAACTTTCACAAAATAATAAGGGGGACAGCGACCTAGACTCCAGCAGCAGTTTCCTCAACGGGTTCCTGCTTGGGTTCCTTGGCGGCTTCCTCTTCCTTATTGTTATCATCATCTTTATTGTTGTCCTCATCGAGCTTCTCGTCTTCGGGGATCTCACCAGCAAATGTAAGCATGGGCTTGCGGGCAGATTCTTCTCCACGGATCAAGACATCCAACTTGGAGAAGAACAAGCAGAAGAATCCAGCTGAGATGGGAGTGACAATAAACGTAATCATGGTTTTGGATCCACAGAGGGCGCAAATGGCATCATTTTCCAACCAAAAGTAATCAAAGAGACCACCTTCAGCTTCCACGACGACACCAATGACAACGACTGTGAAGATTCCGCAAACAGTACCCAAAAAGGCACCCAACTCGGTTGGGGCAGCAATGGGTCCCTTGTCTTCGGTCATTAATCCAAAGAAGACGGGAAGCACGGCACAAGCGCAGACCAAATCGGCAATCAAGAATAGCGACAGGACATCATATGCTTTTGCACCCAAGTAGATGGCGGGGATATTGAGAAGTAGAATCAACACGCGGGCAATCCACTTGGGAGCCTCCTCGTTGAATCCATAGTGCTTTTGCAAACGGATCAAGTCGGACGAGAAACTGGACATGAGTGCGTTTTGCAAGGTGTCGACACTGCTGGCAGCAAGTGAAGTCACCAAGATTAGGGTGATAATGTGCCAAGCAGGAGCCAAGGGTGCCAAGAGGTCGAAAAACGACAAGAATGAAAACTTAGTCCAAGTATCGTATGCGACAGGGTCTTGTGCGTAGGCAATCATGGCCATGATGCCAAAGAACATCATCAGCAAGAAAATGAGGACGGATCCACCAATGAATCCTTTCTTCATATCGGACTCGCTCTTGGCGGACCAAACACGTTGCCAGGTTCCCAAGTTGAACATTTCGGCGCTCAAGACGGCGATGAACAGAGTGATACCAGCCATCAATCCTTCAACAGTCCAGTTGGAAGCCTTGCCCCATTGTTCTACAGTGAGCTGGTTTTCGGGGTGGACGCTCACGGCAAAAAGAAGCATAATGACAAGAAGACCAACCATGATGCCTTGGAACTTGTCGGTGATGATGGAAGCGGGAAGTCCACCAACAGAGGTGTACAAGATAGTAATGACACCAATGGCGACGGAAACAGTCATTGGATCAAACTCGTAGACTGGATTGGTAACAAAGCTTCCATAAATGTTGGAAATAGAAGTGTACTCGGCCACCATGTAGACAAACATGTAAAAGATGCTGAAGACAGCAATCGTAAATTGCATTGTACGTCCGTAACGTTGTCGTCCAAAGTCAGTAACATTGAACGACTTATCCAAGCAGCGTTCCTTGATCAAAGGTCCAATTGTAAACACAACAACGGCAGGGGCGGAAGAAGCAAAGGCGTATCCAATCACACCGAGCCAACCAATTTGTGCGTTGGCTCCCATTTCGGCGGGTCCATACAACACCCAAGCACCCATTCCAGAGGCAAAGTAAGACAAAGCAATGGCAGAAGCAGGCGCGGAATCTCTTGCGGACAAGAAGAAATCGGCCTTGCGATTGTTGTTGACGTGCTTGCCGTCTTCATCGACAGTTCCTTCTTCGTCATCTTGTTTCAAGACGAAAAGATTGTTTGCGTTTCCAAGGCATTTGCCAAAGAAATCAGCCGAGGCAAAGGCAATTAGCGCAAACAAACAAAGAACGGTGAAGAGGACCGCATATGCGCCTTCTTCAGATACGTTGTAAGCCATTCTGATTCCAATTTAAAAGAGGCGTTTTGCAAACCAGTCGTTGTTTTCGGTTTTTATGGAACTTGACTAATCCTACGGATTACCAGGCGCCGCCTCCACTTCATGACTCGATGTTTAGCGTGATTGGCCTAGGATGATTGCATACTACGAATTGTACCAAACGGGATTATGCCAGTCCTCCATACGGTACGTAAGTAAGAGGTGTGGGTTTGGCATCGTAAGCTTGGTAACTAGAATTAGGGACCGGATTTGAAACGGGAATCGAAGATTCGACTCAATGGACTCAGTCGTGACACAAATTTGGGACCGTAATGGTACCTAGCATTTGGTGCAGAAGAGATAAATCAGGAACCGGGTGGGATGGTGGGAAAAAAAGATATAATCATTCTGAATTGCTTCAGAAGATCATGGTTCCTTAGCTCTTCATCGTCTCATCTTGCACTTGGCAGAAAGAATGTTTCTGCCACGCCTTCGTTTGCCATGCCGATCGTCCCCGAAATTTCGTCCAATAATTACCGTTACTTCGCTTAAGCGACTGACAACATGACTGTTGGCGTGAAGACAGATATCTTCTCGTGCCAGTCCGTCTACCGTCTTGCCTGATCATAATCCTACGGATTACCAGGCGCCGCCTCCACTTCATGACTCGATGTTTAGCGTGATTGGCCTAGGATGATTGCATACTACGAATTGTACCAAACGGGATTATGCCAGTCCTCCATACGGTACGTAAGTAAGAGGTGTGGGTTTGGCATCGTAAGCTTGGTAACTAGAATTAGGGACCGGATTTGAAACGGGAATCGAAGATTCGACTCAATGGACTCAGTCGTGACACAAATTTGGGACCGTAATGGTACCGAGCATTTGGTGCAGAAGAGATAAATCAGGCCAAGGAATGGTATGCAATCGCTTCCGGAGGAAACGGAAGAAAGGGCCAATACACAGGCGAGTGCATGGAGTGGGAAAAAGAAAAAAAGAAGGAGGGAGAAGGAAAAGTTGTCGATGGTCAGAGCATCAGACTAGAGGAATAGAGAGGTAATGTTGCATAAAGGTAGCAAGTTGAGTTATATAAGAAATGTGGTTGCATCAATCATGGTGATTGCATCATTTTGTTGCATGCAGAGGTGGGCGACGTTGCGCAGGTATGCCATGAAAGCGTCGGATTTCCATCGGAGGAGGAATTTGATCTGGTCAGTTGTCGCTCCTGATGTGTGGAGGAGGACGCAAGCTCCAACTCGGATGGAGTGGGAAGAATACTTTATCTTGTCTTGTTGCGGGTCTAGGTTGTAGAGCGAACAAGCGACGTGGCGCATGACGCGGGTGATTTCGGCATCATGGAGGAAGAGGACGCGGGCGCCATCTTGGTAAACTGCAAGTGGGACATTGGTAGTTTTGATACCAATCAAACGGTCAAAGCGGGAAAGGATGGAGTGCATCCGGCGGATATAACAACGGAGTGGAGACTTTTCGCTGCGGATGAAAAGTTTTTCTTCGCCATGGTTGCCATTCTTCTGGTGGGAAAAACGCATTTTGATGCGCCAAACACGGTCCGGATTCTGAAGGAATTCTTCAATGGATACTTTACGTTTGAATTTGTCAAAGCAAGTGACATCTTCAACACAGAATGCAATGGAAATGCCGTCGAATGTAGCTTGGTCACCGATATTCTTGTTAGTGGAGGTTTGGGCGTACTCAGATAAACGGTGGCCATCGAGAAGGCCGATACTGTTCCAATCTTCGCAGGTTTTCCAAATGCCGTCGTGGTGGGCTTTGGTGTCAAGGTTGTGTTGCTCGAGGTGTTGTTGCATGTCGAGGGTGTAAGGCTCGAGTTTGTTTGGGACCTTTTCGTGGCGTTCGACTTCAGCAAGGGTGGCGTGGATATCTGGGGACATTTTGGTATCGCTTGGGTTGTTGTAGCGGGGATCACGACCAGTGAAAAGGCAGATAAAGGAGGCAGCTGCATGGAGGTATTGTTTGATAGTTGCAGATTTGATGTATTGGCCTTGGAGGGTGCGGCCGGTGGCGAGAGCCACTGTATAAAGGGCAAAGGTAGCGACACGGCGTTCGTGGGGGAAATCGGGGCCATTCATCAGGTAGTCGTCGCGAAGATTCATATCATAGCAAAACTTGAGGAAATGGAGTCGGCGGGAACGAAGTGTCCCAAATTTGCGGGGATCATCGGCGGCGCCTGCTTTGGATTGGAGAATAGACAGGAGCGCAGGACGGAGCAGAGTTCGGGACTTGGCTGGAAATAATCGAAGTTTCTCATCCAAGGTAAAGTGTGAAATGTCTGTGAAAGTAAGTGATGGTGAGAGAGTTTTGTGTCGGGGCGTGAAATAAAATCAGCAGCAAAGTTGTCTTCACCGGGTACATGGTCGGATAGTGAAGTCAGAGGGGAGCGCTTGAGCAGTTGACCGTGCAAGTCGACCAAAAGGCGTGCGAAGGGACTGTTGGTCCGGGCGTCATTCATCCATTTCTCAGTAGGGGTGTTGTCGGTTCGATTGAGTAGAACTGGAAAGTGTGGAAATCCATTGGGAAATTGGTGGACCAGGCCTGCATGGGCGTGGGAAGTGCCTTCAAGGCGGACAACCGTTGCAACCTCTTGGAGGAAAGCAACCAAGAACTCAAGGCTGTTGATGTGGACATAGTTCGGGTTGCTGGATTTTAATTTGGTACCAGCAACAATATCGGGGCTCCAAACAATGCGGAACCAGAAGAGAAGTTCCTCCGAATAGGCTCCTCCTCCAATAAAGCTAGCATCACCAAAGGAAGTGAAATGCGGGTCGCGAGGGATCATTTGGGGAATGTAGATTTTCCATGTTTCAGTTTTGAGGCTGTGTTGGATCGCTCGTAATTCGCGGGTGACAGAGGCATCGAGATGGAATCGCTTGTTGGCGTTCCAAAGAAATGTTGCTGCTTCTTTTCCGATGAGGGAAGCGAGGCGGTAGCTGAGGGCTGGAGGAAGTTGGTCGGAAATTATTTGGACTTTGTCATTGCGCTTCATGTAATGTTTGATGGATTGGTGGCGGGAGCGGAGAAATTGACTGAGGACACGTTGCAAGTTGAAATACGAACAACGCATCCAGCGACAGACTGTGGTTGCAGTTGAAACGTGCCCAAGAAGAATCGCGATATCGCGAAGGGAGAGTTTTGGATTCGCGAGCGTTTCTGAAAGGAGTTTGAGAAGGCGGTCCCGTTTGATGGGAGGCAAGCTCACTGTCAATTGTCTTGAGTTCACTACCCATCCGATGGTTTTGCGTTCATGGGAGAAAGTGTTGGCAAATTTTTCCCAAGAGATGCAATCGCGTATTCCATTAGAGGTGTTTGGGTATCCCAGGAGGATGTACAAAGCAAGGACACTGGCTGATATTGTTTGGCGCAAGAAGAGCGCAACATCAGCATAGAGGCAATCGTCGACGTGGTGGTCGAAAGTAGGAGACTTGCGGGTACCGTCAGGTTGTAGAACCCCGGGATTCTTCGAGTCAGGTTCGGCGGGGGTGAAAGCGGCAATGTCTGATGGTGTTGGAAGAGGGGCAAGTGATAATGTCGGAAGGTATTTTGCCACCCTGGGGATGGTTGTAGCTGCTGCGTACCAAAGGGATTGGGCAAGTTGTTGGCGGACCAAGGCAACGACTTCCCATTGGGCAGGGCTGGTGTTGTCGCCAAAGGAAAGACCAGTGCAAAAGAAAAGGAAACCAAAGAGCATAAACATATGCATTCCAACCACATTGGGGTTCCATTTGACATGGCGGAAGGCGCCGGAAACATCATCGTCACAGATGTATATTTCCTCGTTGGGGTAGGTGATACGGAGGTTGTAGATCCAGATCAAGAAGTTGGGGAATGACCGCGGGAAGCAGATGTCGGGTTCTGTGTCTTTGGAGGTAAAATCGTTGACTGCCATAGCTGCCAGGGAAGGATGATGGGTCGCATCGAAAATGATTCGGGGTTTTCTGTATTCATGGGACGCGTCAACCAACCCGAGTGGAGTAGTATGGGCATCGCGGATATACGGAAGGAGGGCGGGGTTGGCTGCCAGGAGGTAATTGCGGAGCACGTCCTTTTCGACAGCACTTTTGGTTTTTTTCACATCATCATAAACTGTTTTGTGGTTACCATAGGCGATGAAGGTTCGGAGGTTGTCATCTGAGGATTCGGCGGTCACGTAGTTCGGGGCGCCGTCGAGGAATATGCGTTTCAGTTGTGTGATGAGAAGAGGGTCAACTTTTGCTTCGCGGAGGATAGGTTCGAGAGTTGGCCAATCTCGATGGGCGCCGGTATGGATGTTCCCAACGAAGCGGACTGCAGTAGGGATACTGAGGTCGTAGTGGAGGAGACATGCAGTAAACATGCGGCTCCATCGATGCATGGCGACATCAGGCGGCAGGTGAGTTGGTATGGGTTGTCGGAGGGGTCGGAAGTCCACAAATCGGTGTTCGTCGAGGAGAAGGGAGAGGAGATGGATGGATGGGCACACTTGGAAGAGGGTTGCCATGTCGGTTGGGCTCAAGTAGCGGCTCTTCAGCAGAAATATCCAGGTATGTTCGAATTTGTGCTGGGTACTGAACCACCGGTCAACACTGTCCTTACCATGGGGAGAATTGACGGCGAGGAACACAGGGGACGGGAGTTTTGTTGTTGCCCAAGCTTCACGGTCGCGTTTGGTCGTTGAAGGGATAGAGGAACGACCTTGGATCGCAACTTCAAGTCTTTCGCCGAATTTTTCTTGTTCTGCGTCAGTGTACCGTGGATACGGGGAGTCTGGAGAGGAAGCGGAAGGAGGAGAACTGGAAGGGGTATGGGAAGGGGCATTGGAAAGAGTTCCTGTCGGTTGGGTGGAAGTTGAAGTTGTTCTGGATGGGTGGGGTGGCGAAAGAGAGTTGTTGATCGGGTTGCGGATCATGCTACTGGGAGTGCGGACGATGCACGTAGAGCATTGAGGAACTTTGGACAAAACGTGGATGAAATGCAGTGGAACGAAATGGTAAGGTAAGTCGGTGACGGGTTGACGTGCTGTTTAAGTAGTTTGAGTTGGAGAACTAACCATGAGGTTTTGGGGCGGTACGGGTGACCCCAGGGGTTTTTTCAATGAATTTATCAAAGGATTGGGTTTCGGTGGGGCTCATGGTTGCCGCAAATTGTTTGGTGTAATGGATGTTGTGGCAGCGGGGGCGGTTGCAATGGTAGTTGGCAAATAGGAAATGGGAACAGAAGGCTGCCTGTTTCCCAGTAATTGGATGTTTACATTTGAAAGGGGCAATTGGGAGCCTGCCCGGGCCATCGTAGGTCAAGTATCCTGGATGTGATCCAAGGGGTTGGGGTCTGGCACGTTTGGTTGGGTCTGGACGTTCACGGGTGGTTGGGCCCTCACGTTTGGGAGCGGGGTTCGGTTTTCCATGCAAGATCGTATGCAAGTTGGGGCAAGTAGCGTATGGGCCAAGGTTGCCCATAGTGATAGACATATTGAGGTGGCCGATGGCGGATTCGACACCATTGAAGGCATTCACGAAAGTGTCGATGGTGATAGGCTGGCCGTTGCGGAGTTTGCTCAGGGTTGTTTTGTTCTTGGAGACCCCCACAACAATCTGCAAGATCTGGTTCATTTCAAGGAGAAGACAGAGGGGTAGGTGGGGGACCTTATCGTTCCAACGGATCCAATCTTTGGCAGTGGGAGTGTGGAGGGCATCCATAAAATCTTCCAAGAGGGTGACAATCAATGGGGGGTCGTCGAAGGTAAAGTCTTTGACACAGTATTTTGCAAAAGCAAAGAAGTTCGCTAACATCTTGATCAGAGCTTCCACAGAGCTGATATCGCCGTGGACAAAGATGTCGGTCTTCTTTGCTGCTTGTTTGGACTTGTCTTCTTCCATGGCTTCCTGCCGGATGATGTCGCGGCCTTCCGCTAGGAAAGTTGTGTATTTGACGTCATGCTTGTTGGGAGGGAGCCAGGCAAGGAGGCTAAGAAGGGAAGTAGCTTCGTGAGGGTGCATTGTGAGTGGCTTAAAGCCAAAGCTGCATGTTTTCAGAGCAGTGACTGTTGCGTGCTGGAAGAGGGCAATGTCGAAGTCAACGTTGCGGTCGTAGTTATTGCGAGTGGTGAGGGTGTCGGTGATATGGGCAAATGTATCGTGGAGGTGCCGGAGGGCTTCTTTGATCGAACCGATTTCCAAGAAAGTTTCGAAGTCATCGGAAAGGACGGACGGGTGGAGTTCTTTGACTGTTGAACCGTCGAGTTGAACTACGCTTTTTACGCGGCCAAAGAGTAAACGGTACGAATCCTTGGCGCTGGCAGAAGTGCGGGCAAGATCTTTTTCTTTTGTGCTGGCGTTGACGCCTTTGAGAGCGTTGGCCATGATCTGGGCGAAGAGTTCACTGTCGAATGGGGCTCCTGCTGGGAGGGGGGCCGCAGGAACTTCGTGGGTAGCAACATGGGTAGTAGATGCTAAAGTAGAAAGGGCCGAATGCCGTTTGAATTCTTCGAATAGATTCTTGTATGTGTCGGCCTCCGCGGCAAATGCACTGACGTCTGATGTAGAATAGGTCAGATGAGTAGCAAGATCACTTGAGGGAAACCGATCCGTTGGGATGGTGTCGTCACTGAAGATATGGTCGTGGGAATGGATGCTCTGAGACTCGTTGTGGTCGTGAAGGTACTTCATTGCCTCGTACCAGAGCTGGAACTGGGGGTGGAAGGTGTCCAAGTCGGCTGGTGGAGCGGAGGATAGCTTGAGATTGGTAGGGATGGTTGCACCAGGATAGATTGGGAAGAACTTTTTAACTTCAGTGAACACCCCATCGCCACTAGGCCAATAGATATCCTCTGGGGGATTGGCGCTGTCGGGGGCCAATGCGGTATGGGGAGAGTATTGGGTGTCTTGGATGTGGCGGGCCTTGCATTCACGAGCCAGTTCATCGCGGGCGATGGAGATGACACTGCTACCAAGGGCATCCAAGGAGAAAGCAACTGGGGTGGGGGACTCGTAACGGTCATTCGCGGATGCCCAGTACAAGTTTGGACCGACCTGTTTAGGGCAGATCACTTGTCGGAGAGTCCCATCAGCGCCGTCAAAGTATGCAAATCCGTGGGCTTGGGATAGTAGAATGTTTTTGCAAGCGCTGGCGTTATGAGTGTGGAAATAGTTGGATAGCAGGAGTTTCTCCTTAATCGGGTCCAAGGGAAGGTCTTTGACGCTAGTCAAAGCAGAGCGACCTACTTGGAGGATTGCATCTAGGGTGCGAGGGGGGAAAGTCTGCATCGGGCGAAAGGGACAGCAGTTTCGAGATTGTGGGGGGTTGGTGGGAACGAAATAGGGAGTGATAGTGGGTTGGATTTGTATAAATTAGCGATAAATACTGCGATAAATCGGATTGTATGGGCCCTCAACGGTAGAGGGAGGCAGTTGGAGACCTTTGGTCGGGCCATCAGGGCGTTGCAAACGGAAAGATGGTGCGGTCGGAGTGACCGAAGATTCGTTGCCAATCTTGGTTGGCGAGCCGTTGGCTATGGGAATCACTCTGGGATGCACGTAGCGAGGTGGTACTGGGGGACACAGGTCGGAGTAGGCAGAATTGGTCCGGCGCCGATGCGGATGCGGGCGAAGGAAAGGTGCTGGACTCGATGGTTCGGATGGTTGCTGACTGATGTCAAGCTCCGACGGATTGCCACCGGTGGGCAAGGGATCAGCTGTCGCAGGTTGCTGATTGAGGAGATCTCTCGGAGAGATATGGATGTGTTGACGGTCAACAAAATGCACAGGCGCAAATGAAAATGAGTGGTAGCATGGGGCTAGACCACTTGACACCGGGTGTCTGTTCAAATATCAGGAATTTGAGGGTTAGCCACCGGTGGGCAATGAATACAGCGTGTAATGAGCTGACGCAAGTGTGCGATTTTTAGAGTAGGCTCCCGGGGAGCGGTTGTCAACATGGTGACGGTTCTCGGGTACGCGAGAAAAGGTTGTTTGGGGCCGCTGGTTGAATGATGGCTCGAATCGGATTCGGAGATTCATCCTGCGGTAAATGTTGTTGTGGGGGCGGCGGCGACTTCGGAAGTCGGGCCGGTGGTTCTTGTAATGAGTAGATGAAAGAGAGAAAAAAGATATAATCATTCTGAATTGCTTCAGAAGATCATGGTTCCTTAGCTCTTCATCGTCTCATCTTGCACTTGGCAGAAAGAATGTTTCTGCCACGCCTTCGTTTGCCATGCCGATCGTCCCCGAAATTTCGTCCAATAATTACCGTTACTTCGCTTAAGCGACTGACAACATGACTGTTGGCGTGAAGACAGATATCTTCTCGTGCCAGTCCGTCTACCGTCTTGCCTGATCAAAGAATCCATCTGTCAAAAGATTTCAAAGATTTTGACTTGATAAGCCCAATCACCATTCCTGTGGCCCAGACGCCTCTCTCGTGGAAAAGTACCAAAGCTGTCGTAGAAATTCATCCTGATGGCATGCGTCACGCGCAATAAACACGCGTCCAAGAACGAAGGCGATGATCTCATCTTCAGCGGCTGATGAAGCACCGCCTCAGCTGTGATGAAGCACGTGTGCTTCATCGCACCGTCCATATCAGTATCCCGCTGCGCTTGGCAACACTTGAATACAGCATTATATAAATAACTGTCTTTCAAATGCACCAATGACCAAACTATAAAACACACTTCGACAGCATGTCCTCACAACAGCCACAGGCAGTCCGTTTTCGGTATTTGCCAGATACTTTGAAGGCACAAGTTCCAAAACACGTCACTCATGCCATTATTGATTCCTCGGTCACGTTTGTTGACAAGGAAGCCTTTTCCCGCAAGCGCAAACTTTTGGAAGTCATCTTTGGCAGCAGCAGCAGCGAGCAGAATAGCAACTTGCTAACGATTGGGTATGACGCCTTTTCCAACTGTCGACTATTGTCACGCCTCCATTTGCCAACCACCGTTATTGAAATTCGAGACGATGCCTTTGCCAATGGCAAGAGTCTAGTGGAAGTCAAGTTACCCCACGGCCTCAAATGGATAGGGGAACGAACCTTTGCCGATTGTACGAGCCTGAAGCTCATCCAGATCCCGTCGACAGTGGAAGAATTGGGCTTTCGGATCTTTGTCAATTGTCGAAATTTGGTGTCGGTCGAGTTGACGGAAGGTTTGTTAGTGATTGGCGAAAAAGTTTTTGAGCATTGTACTTCCTTGAGAAATGTTGCGGTGCCTTCTACGGTAGAAGTAGTGGAAGCGAATGCCTTTTTGAATTGTCTAAAGTTGGAACAACGCTTTCCCTATACCGATGAATTGCACGAAGCATTGAGACATCGATTTGACGACTGCCCCTTGCATCGAATATGTTATGAACAAGCCTTTCCACAAGTGAACGCGACTGCAATGGAACTTGACGATATGCAGTGGTCTACTGAAACTGCTAGTTTGGATTGCTTTGGTATGACGCCACTTCACATGTTGTCGCTGTCGACGGTGCCCAACGTGCAACTGTTGAAAGATTTGTTACAACAGCTTCCTAACCGCACCCAGTTGGCCTGCACAAAGGATAGATGGAACCAATCGCCCTACGATTACTTGTTTTTGGAGTTGGACACCAACAAGACATCGGGGGCAAGGGAACTGATGGAGCACATGATCGAGGTAACCCTTCTCCATCCGACGCAATCCTTAGGGCTGGATAGATGGAGACGAGACATTTGGAATCGCGTCGACTTTTTCCAAACGAATAATGAGGCCAACACCTTGACGGCTGATCGGATTCATACAGCCTATGAAAAGCTTTCACACTACTGGCAATTGGAAATCTATTCGTTATTGGAGTTGGCCATTTGGGAAAGCACAATGGATGAGCAAAGACGACAAGGAGAAGTCGTGGATCGACAAGGTTGTCGCATTCAATGTGGTGTCCAAGTGATTCTACCACACGTCATGGCTTTTCTAAAGGATCAAGATTGGCTCGTTGTTGGCTTTGGGATAGAAACTAAAGTCGACTAAAACGAATCGCGGACCTCAATTTCTTTTATCTCAAGAAAAGAGATTTTTATGCGCAACCATTTTGAATTTGAATTCCAGTGAGTGGGAAGCAAATGAAAATGAAAATGATTTCTCAGGTTCACGAAAGCCCCAATTTTTCACAACAATCGTTGTCATATTTCCAGTACGAAGCACATTCAAAACCCAAGCTGGATCTTTGGCCAGCATTTTTATCAGCCAAGATGACGCTACGAATGAGCATCCCACCAAATGAAGAAGAAGATGGACATAATGCCTTGCCAATGCACCACTCTGGACAACAAGGCGGTTCTTTTTCATTTGTACTCGAATATGTTGTTGACATTGCGGATTCGAGAATCGAATAGGTGCATCAATATCTTGAGGCACCTTTGCACGTAGCTTGTGGACTCGGCAACTTGGCAATGGCACGAATGACTCTAGATCAAGGTGCCGATGTGCAAGCAAAAGACGATGATGGCGAAACGCCTTTGTGCGTAGCATGTCAATACGGACATCATGCAGTAGCTGAATTGGTGTTGGAACATGGTGCTGATGTCAACGAAAAGTACACCCAAGGCTTTACACCTTTACTTGTGGCATGTAGTCGTGGTTTCTTGCAGCTAGCCCAATTGCTTTTGGATCATGGTGGTAATATGGCCGACACTACTGACTCTGGTAAGGCACCATTACATGTCGCATGCCAAAGTGGGCACATCGAGATAGCCCAACTGATTTTGGACTTGGGTGGCGACGTTGCCCAAAAGGATAGCTCGGGCTGGACGCCATTACACTTTGCGTGCCACTCTGGTCATTCGGAGATAGCTCGACTGCTATTGGACAGAGGTGGAGATGTATTCGCACAGAACGATGATGGATTTACACCAATTAGTGAAGCACTCGAAAGTGTTGAAGTTACTCGTGCACTGTTGGATTGGGGTGTTGATGTGAACGCAAGGATTGAGAAGAAATGCACATTACTTTTTCTTGCGTGCGGCAGTGGTCGTATTGGAGTTCCTCGATTGCTACTTGATAGAGGCGCTGATGTGAACGCACAAAATATTAATGGATTGGTGTCCCCACTAGATACTGCATGCCTTTCGGGGCATTTTGAGCTCGCTCGTCTGCTGCTGGAAAGAGGCGCCAATGTGGGCGCGGCAAGTGCCAAGCCACTGAGCATTGCATGTCGTAACAACCATCTGGAGATCGTCTGGTTGCTGATACACCGAAACCCGTGTCTGATTTTGGATGGCGCGAGTACAGTGCTACATCAGAACCAGGAAAGGATGAATGATACGACAGAATCCGGCGAGTCTGCGAGAAAGAGACAAAAGACATGACGCCACTCTTAATTCATAAACCGAATGCAGTTAAATGGTACATTTGCCATCGATAGAGCCTATTATTTTTATGAACAATCGATGCAATGCTGGTATGCTACAGTAAAAACAGAACTGAGTATACGAGTAGCAGAGCTCTGGGTAGTACCTGTACCATACTGTATAGCACTGTACCGATAAATAGAAAAGGTTCAATGATTACAAATCGACTAAAATGACTTAAAATCAACGTCACTTTTTCGTTGATTGATTTCAGATTTGTCCATGGATCACCATTCAACGTTCTCGACGTTCTCAACCTCTTCCATCGATTCCTCTAAAACAATCGGCAGAAGAAAATGGAGGAGGCAATGCATTGCCAAAGCCAGAGTGACACTAATCAATCAGCATAGTAGTCTCTCGGGTTCCTCGTTCCCACGAAAACTTCACATCAAACTAAAGGAGGCGGCGGAGTTCACAGGACTGCTGCTGGATTTTGAATTTGAATTCTGAATTTTATGAGAACGCAGGTTTGCTCACTCTCGACTCCTTCCACAATCAAGACAACACAAGACTTTCACAAAAAACGAAACTTACTCTAACTCTCAATCATGTGCGATGATGAATGTTTCGAAGCCTCGAGGACACATTTGCACGAAGCATGTGTCAATGGAGATGTGATACTTGTTCTCTTTTGGTTGTGCGATGATCATGCCGATTTTGAATCCAAAAATACTGAGGGAAAAACACCGTTTCATTTGGCATGCGAACATGGTCATTTGGAAATAGCTATTATGATTTGGAGTCGAGGAGTTCGTGATCTAAACGAAACTGATAACAAAGGTCGGACACCATTGCACTTGGCATGCTGCCATGGCCACTTGAATGTGGTACGAATGCTGTTGCAAGAGAGCGCCTGCACAGAAAAAGAGGATTACGAAGGATTTACACCCTTCCATACGGCATTCGCGAATAGGCGAGTTGAAGTGGCCTGTATGTTTCTGGATCGAGGTGCCGACGTTAACACAAAGAGTAACGATGGGAGCACGCTATTGCACTACGCCGCGGTTGCTGGTGCAATCGATCTGGTTAAGCTTTTGTTGGATCGAGGTGCCAATGTGGAAGCCAAGTGCGATGTGAATGGTTATACACCGTTGCACCTGGCATCCAATACATGTAAACCTGGTCGCTTCGTTGATAGTGTACAACTACTTCTGGATCGAGGCGCTCAAATTAATGCACGAGATGAAAGAGCTGGATTCACAGCTTTGCACTATGTGTGCGGAAGTGGCGATTTCAGAGTCGCCGGTCTACTACTAGACCGTGGTGCTGATGTGGAAGCAACGGCAAAGACGAAGAATGACACACCATTGTCCATAGCATGTCGTTTTGGGCGACTTGAAGTCGTGTGGTTGTTGGTGCATCGATATCCATGGTTGATCTTGAATCAACTTAATAATAGATAGCTTTCAGTGTTTTTTAAAATGAATACGGTAGGAAGAGATGGGGCGATAGTTCGATGAAATATAAAGTGATACTTCGATTATGCAAAAAGGAATGGAGAGTCGTACAAAGACCGGGAATCGAACCCGGGACCTCAGCTGTGTTAAAGCCGCGTCATAACCAACTAGACCATCTCTGCTCCTGCCGTAATGTGCTGAAAATACACAATACAAATTGATAAAACAATAAAAAGTTGTCAATCACCTTCACCACCACCAAACCGCCAATAGCTCAATGCAAGTTCAATGGCAATTACGTCGGCTATAACATTACTGTGCTTGAGTTGGGGTTTCAGTTTGTCTCTTTCTTTCTTCATTCGATCAACGCATCTAAGGTTTCGCCATTCAACTATTGATGCATCCCGTGGTGTTATCTACTTGTCTGGTGCCGCCAACCCATCAGCGATAGAACACTTTCTTTCAGTTTGCAATGCGTGCCAAGAAAAGAATCCCGATTCTTTACGAATTATATCGCGCAAATCTTCCAATGATCCGGCAAATCTGCAGTGTACATTACCCTGACACGCAACTCTGATACTGTGGACACAACGAAGTTACAAGCAACTTTAAAAGACACAGTTGCCTCGGCTACCACCGAAGAAATACACTCTTTACTTGGGTTTCCACCTACGGCCGTTCCGCCATTCGGCCATCTTCCAAAGTCCAATGCTACTGTTACTATTGACGAATCCCTTGTCGATCAGTGCAAATCATCCGATGGAATGATCGTTGGAAGCGCTGGGCATCCGTATTGGCAATGTCTAGTGCTGTGTGACGCCCTTTTATCGCTTCCAAATGTACACGTTGCCGACATTTGTGGCATTCAACAAGGCCATGACTCGAATGAAAAATTAATACAGAAGGAAGCTCGCACAGCAGGCACACCAACCTCATTAACACCAAACCCATCAGAAATCGCCAAACCGCTTCTTCCAGGCTTTTTCCCAGGCGACATTCCTCCTATCAACATTGCCAAACTACTGGTCAAGGAACGAAGTTTATCGAATCCACTACTTCCCACAGCTGTCAAGGTCACTGGATCGCTAGGATCACTTGAGAAGAAGACAAAGAAACTGGTCACTACCCACTTGTTACCACTAGGGGTTGATAGAAAAGCTTATGTTGACTCGCTCCCTTGGCAATCAAGTTCGGACGGCAAAAGGCTTAGCGTCAAGCTGATTTTCGGAAGGGCCCTGTTTCAAAGGCTGGGAAAGAGTCAATGGGACGCCATTTTGGAATGCCTCGAATCTGGCCAAGTTGTGGAGGTGATAGCACAAACCCGAGTCATTGACAGAGAGTCGCTTTGCAAATGGGTCGAAAACCGATGTCTCGAATTGGAAGTCCGCGAGTTTCGCATTCTCACTTTGGATCAATCATCCGACGGGAATGATGACGTCCCAGCCCAGCTTAGAACGGACACGGCGCAGATGCCATTCAAGCACAAGCCAAAGTCTGAATGGACGACTCCCCAGTTTGCACCGATCACTATGGAAGATATCTTTGGAGCATCAAACAGGATTGAATTCGTAAACTCGACAGAATCGATACAGTCCTTTGTCACAGCGACAGCTGGGTCGATCTCGTCACCTGCTGAACCTTCTTCGGACGACCACAGGTCCTCTTTTCCCGCAAGCCACCTGGTGGGCATTGACTGCGAGTGGCAGCCCAATCAATTGTCAGCTCGCGGAGAGAAGCAACCTGTTCTACTGCTACAAATTAGCATGCATACATTACAAAAGGTGTATCTATTCGATCTGCAAACTATGTTACGACCCTTGTTGCCACCAGACGAATCCATGAACGAGATGGAATCCTATGTTTCCCAAGCCTTGTTGAAACTCTTTCGATCCAAAAAGATTATCAAAGTTGGCTACCAAGCATCTTCGGACTTGATGCGTGTTGCCGCCAGTTACCCACACCTTCCCTGTTTTCAAGAGGTACCCTCTGTACTGGAAGTGGATAGCTTTGTCAAGCGCACCTTGCAAATCAAAAAACAGAAAAAGTCTCGGGCCATTACCATGTCCTTGGCCAAGCTGACGGCACACTATCTCCAAAAAAGCATAAGTAAGGAATGCCAAGTCTCCAACTGGTCGGCCCGTCCTTTAGGTCAAAATCAACTGGAATATGCTGCCATTGACGCTGCCATTGGTCCCGTTTTGGTGGAAAATGCCATGGAGTCCATCAATGCTACAATGGTCAATGTTACTAGCAATGAGATTTCACCAAAAGTGGAACGATGGGAGGGAGACGATGGAATGAGCAAGGTCATTTGCAATTGGCGATTCACTCACTTTCAGTGTGGTGGCGGGAGGAGCGAACACGAAAAATACAAGCTCGACAAATTAAAGGCAGGTCAAGTCTTTGGTGGGGACTCATCATGGACCGTGTCTCAGAATTGGATCGTCGGGAAACCAGAGCCGCCTGTTCCCTCACTATTGTCATCATCCTGATTGGAGAGTAATCAGCACTCCAGATACCACCAGCCTACCTACTAGAATGATTAGATGGATGCTTTGTATTATACGAAATACTCTTTGCAGTGCAGCATATATTGATAGTTTGCTTTAATCCTCGTCATATTGCAGTTTCTGGTGTATTGTTCTACGGTAGTTATAATGCTGTGCAATCGAAAAAGATGGCAATGTTATGCATGGAATTCTGTCAAAATCAGTGATAAACGAGAAAACGAGGGAGAACATGATTCTTTCGTCTTTAGAAGACTCTAATCATTGGATGAAAAGAAAGGAATCAATTTGTAGCTATGTCGTTCGTTTCCTTGATAAGCGGTTTCAAGTACTGTTCGTTGACTTGATAAAAATCAATCGATTGATTCAATCAAATCGAGTGGACTAAAGAGAGGTTCATGATAGATCATCATCGCACTTTGACACCACCGCTTGCCTTGCTTGGATGATGAGAACCCATGCTGATTGATTGCGTCATCGAGAGGAGAAGGAATCATGCGCGTTCTCTTGCAGTTGTGTGTATGTGTGTGTATGTATGTGTTCTTGAGAACCCTAAGCAAGCGTTCAATCGACCTGGGACTAGATCCAAGTAATGTAAGATTTGGTAATGTAAGCGTTTCATCGATCTTGTCAAATTGGAAGGCAACAGTTCAGTAATCCTAATGGAAACATTTGGTGTCTTTTGAAACCAATCGTGCTGGAGATGTGACCGTTCTTCAGGTTGCCAACACATCCAACAATTAGACGATGACATTTGAATCAGTCGTGTCGAAGGGGTGTGTCATCCAGCATTATTCAAATCGTCAACTCGGGGCCGAAAACGTGACCGTTGTAAATCGTGGACATTCTGTGTATGCAGCATTTGTGCTCCGCTTGACTCAAAGCATGCGATGCCGGTGTGTGACTGGCCAGCTCCGCTCGTGGGAGTCACACTGTACATCGAAATTTGATCTCCGTTGGGATCTAAGTAAATTTTTTGTTAGGATGGTATTTAGCAGCTTTTGGTCGAACTGCTCGACTTAAAATTTGATTTCGCCGCTGTGATTGGTTGCTCGTCAAAACGGGGGGTTAGATCTCCGCCGATATTGACGACGAGCACGTGTTCCGATGGCATGCTTGAAGAAAATTCCTTGACGACCAGCAATCTGAAACCGCATCACGGTTTCAAATGCCCAGCATTCATTTTCGGAAGTAATCACTCAGCATGCATCCCATGGCAACTCCACCTTCAGTCAGCGCCCAAGGGAGTTGTCACGACGATAATGATCTAGAAGTAGCCAGTGCCCCTTCTGTGCCAACGGACAATGAAGCAGTGAACGGAACACAAAATAACCAAAGTGGAACAGTTTCACACGATTCTTCTTCTAGGAATCAGCAAGAAGATCATGACAATGAATCCTTGGTCACCATGGGAACTTCAACCAGCACTGGTACCCCGAGAAGGAAAGAGGGCAGTTCATTCTTGGCAATGATGCAGAACATGCTGGCCTTTGACTCCGGATCTGTTGTCTCCGGAAGCGAAGCCCTGTCACCAATGCCAAAGTCTTTGGGCAACAACGACACCGGACATAGTTACAATACGTTGGATACTGCAGCATCCAGATCTCACGAAGACTTTTCGGATGAACAGAACTGTCAAAACTGGGACACGGAAAATACTGGTAAGTCACAAGCTGTTATGACCGCTGAAGGTTCTTCTCCTTCGATATTTTTAGACTTTTCGTTTCTTATCCTTGTTTCTACTTTACTTCAACAACAGCTCCAGATGCCGGACAAGACTCAATCAATTGTGCAGCTTCGGTGCAGCCAAGTCTCTGTTCCACCCCACCGCGGACTCGCATTGATCCTGAACAGGGTTCATCCTTGGAGCCACCAGGAACCAATGGCTCGAGATCGCCCAAACCTCCGTCGTCTCCACCTGGCATTGTAAAGAGCAGCAGTAATAATGCAAACTCACCATTTGGCCTGTTCCGGCGGCCGCCCCCAGGACCCGAATCTAGTGACGATGAGTTGAAGGAGTCTCTTGTCATGGAGAATCAGACCCAAGGATGGTTTGGTGGCTTGCTTCACACTCCCGAGCGCAAGGTGGTGGACCACCACAAGGAACCATTGCCCGAACGGGCTCCCAGCAAGACGGAATATGAGCGTTTTTCATCGGTTGCCAGTAACGAGAGCGTAGATGATCGTGATGGATTCAAGGTTGTCTCGGACAAGAACACGGTCAAGGTTCGATTGGTGTACTTTGTGGTTCTCTTCTTCTTTTTACTGGTTATCGTCTGTGCCTTGGCCTTCTTTTTGTGGTATCTGAGCGATTTGGAAAATGAACAAAACAATCGAGCTCGAGATTTTGTGGCAACCATGCGACCATCAGCATTGGCCACTATGGAACCCTCCATGGAACCAAGCACGGCGTCACCTTCTATGTCCCTATCACCCACCGTTACCTTCTCCCCAACAAAAAGTCCCACTCCTGGACCAACCTCTCCGCCCACCAAGCGTCCCACTCGACCTCCAACTGGCATGCCTTCCAAAATCCCTACTTTCAACCCTACGATGGAGACTGCCGATCTTAACTTTATGAGGATCATGGCTGACATTTCACCTGAAACAGCCATCAAAATGGAATCCCCGGGTACTACTCAGAACCGGGCCTTTCAGTGGCTAATTCGGGATCCCATGTACCACAACTACACAGATGATCGCAAGATTCAGCGTTGGGTCTTGTCGCTGGTAAAGCTGGAACTCAGACAAACTGTTCCCAATACCGATGCGCCCACGGGATACCCCAGCATTGCTCCCACAGTGGCTCCCACCACGCTTTCTCCCTCTCAAAACCCAACTCCCACCCCATGGCCTACCGGTTCCCCTGTGAATGGACGCGATTTCTTTTGGAATTTCACGAGCACTGCTCAAGAGGCGGAAGCGCCCATTGATGACAACAGCGAAGGACGCCGTCTCAACTGGGATGCCTTGGAATCCTGGATGCAATACACTGATGAGTGCCTATGGTTCAGTTCTTACTTCTTTAACCGAGTTGCCTGCAACTCAAGGCATCAATTCAAGCGTTTGGTACTCATCAACTTGGATCTGGAGGGAACGATTCCCTCGGAACTCAGCTTGATGTCCCGATTGGAGACCATTGCCCTTCCGATCAATAAAATCACGGGCACCATTCCAAAGGAATTTGGATCCATGCGTTGGCTCAGCACTTTTAACGTTTCTTACAACAATATGGAGGGAACTATTCCCAGTGAGCTTGCCGCCGCCCCGGCATTGACAACCCTGGATGTTGGCAGCAACAATACTTTTACTGGTCCAGTACCAAATGAGATTTGCCAAAAGGGCCTCCGGGTGTTTCGCGGAAATTGTGCTTCCTTGCAATGTCCTTGTTGCAACCAATGCGCGCGTGAATTTAACTAATTGCACACACGTACACACAAGTGTGCTTTATAGGATTTGATAAGAGTCAAATCCACTCGTTTCAGGAAAGCTGCCGCACCATGGAGATGGTGCCTCTGCTTTCCTTTCTTTCTCCCAAAAAAACACCCCGAAAAAACAACAAACCATTTGTTGCACAAACACCCAACTAAAACAGAAGTTAAAAGTTTCATAACAATCATAACTTCCTCTGTTACACAAACACACGCTCAACCAAGACAATAATCACGTTTCTTTCTTGCCTTGTATCCCATCTTGAGATCTATTACTGTTGTATTAATCAATACACCTGTGCCACCACAGAAGGGCAGAAGCAACTCATTTTTCTGATGCCGTCAGCACTGCTCTCATTGATGGAAGGTTGAAGATAGAAAAGAGTTCCAGATCATCGACCCGTTCGATCACATGGATACGATCGCCTGAAGTTCGATCACCTGGATTACATGCGTCGTACCAAGCAAGGCCCCAAGAGACTCCTCGAGAGCCTTTCCATGACGGTCTTTGATTTCTGGAATTGCCGTACAGTACAGTAGTGCGATACCAAAACGACGAATATAATGTTATAATATGCATACTTATATATATATAATAATACTTAGTTCTGTATTTCTATCCTAAGCCGAGTGAGAGGGTCCAAACATGCATGATACGTTACAATGAAACCTATAAAAGGTGCATGGGAGCGTTTATAAAAGTAATGAAGAATCCACCTGCAGTGGCAACTTTCAAAATAAACCGTATACTTTGCAAGTTGTTTGTATTTCCCATAATGTCAGGCGTTGCAATGATTGAATCAATCCATCCATTAGTAGACGCAATCAGTGCAGCAGGAACATCCAATAGTCGCACAGCTGGCCTTGAACATGGAAATGGTCTCGGATTGACCAGAAGTAGCATTCCAAAAGTAGGGCCGAATCAAGCTGCAGACTTCCGCTGGAAAGGGGCCACTCAAGGGATTTCTGCTGACATCCAAATAGAGCAAATCGCGCAACCCGCCCAAACGAGAGGGAAGAGTTCCAACCAATTGGTTGCTCGATAGATCAATGTATCTGAGGTTATAGAGACCCAACTGGAACGGAATATTTCCGAGTAATCCATTTCTGGACAAGTCTAGGCGCCGGAGTGCCCGCATTTGACCCACTTCGGTCGGAATAGAGTTTCCAATGCGGTTGTTGGACAAATTCAGCTCCTCCAGTGCCGTCATTTGGCCCAGTGCAAAGGGAAGTCTTCCAATAATTCCATTGTCAGACGCGTCCAATTGTCGTAGAGCCGTCAACCTTCCAAATTCAGCAGGAATGATATTTCCAATTTGGTTGTGGTGCAAATAGAGCTCTTGCAAGCGGTCCAAGTCACCAAATTCAGTAGGAATCCTTCCCACTATTTGGTTTCCAGACAGGTCAATTTGCTCTGTATCAAGTTGAAATGAAAGGGTAAAATGTGAGATACAATCGATCATGATCCGTAGAGCCCTAAAATTCAGTAGTCCAAAGGAAAGAAAAACGTACCGAGCAACGGAAGACGGGACAACTCCGGAGGAATGGTACCCCCAATGGTATGATTGGCCAAAATCAAAGTTTCCATGCGTGTGAGCAAGGCTAGTTCGGATGGAATGGTACCTTGTAAATCCAGATTATACAACACCAAACGTTTCCAAGTACCCGTACGATCGCATCCCACACGATCCAAGTAATAGGAAGTGAACCAAGTACACTCGTCCGTGTACTGCATCCAAGTCTCCAATGCATTCCAATTGAGGTTGCGCTCACCGCCTCGAAGCTTACGGCCAGGACTGGGAACCCTTATTTCCAAGGAGAACAAGGCCAAGACGTAGCGTTGAATGAGCTTGCGTTCGTCATAGGCATAAAATTCCGGATCCCGAATCAACCATTCAAAGGCCTCTCGTTGTTTCGAGCCAACGTCATTTTGAATCCGATCCTTGAGGTTTTGCGAAATGGTCCCAATCAAGAACGAAAGATCTTCGGCCGGGTCCCGTTCGGTAGGATTGCTACTGGGAATGGTAGAGGGAGCCATGGAAGGGGATGCCGAGGGTGCCCGCGAAGGCGACTCACTGGGGCTGGACGATGGGACGTCACTGGGACTCATCGTCTCAATCGTTGGCGTAGCAGTGGGGGTAGCCGAGGGCACCCAATCGGTAGGAGCACTGCTCGGAAGGTCCGAGGGCATAAACGACAAGGTAGGAGCAGAGGTGGGTGGAATGATTTCGGGTTGGGTCAGGACATAGACCAAAAACATGATAACTCCCAAAACGGCAATCACCAAGCAAGCAAAGAGGGCCGAAAGGTGGTTGTTGGTCATGCGTTCCAAAGGATCTGGAGCGGATGGATCCAATTTCATTTTCTTGGTCAGTTTGGCAGGTCGTTCTTGAGTATTACGTCCATCTACACTCTTGGTGGGCGTTTCGGGCATGGTGGTATTGAGCTCATCGTCAAATTCCGAGCGAGTGGACACGAACGAGTTGAGAGTCGCTGGGTTTTTGGTAGATTCTCCCTTGGACATTTCTTGTTCCTCAACTTGTTCCTTCTTGTTGTCATTGGTTCCAATCCCCGAAAACCAAACAGCACTTCCCGAACTAGCAGTGCTCCGAGCTGGAGAATTGGCTGCCTTGGGGGTTGGAGGAGAAGAAGGAGCCTTTTCGGCAGGGGGTACAAGAGGATCCTTTGCAGGAGCGTCCGAATCATGCTCAACTTCAATCTCCTCGCCCTGTTCTAGAATGTTGCCCGCATGATCAATCGCAAGAGGACCTCGGTGATGTCGCACCGGAGTTTGGGCAGCAGCCTCCTCTTTTTCTTTTGGAGGCGTGGCACTAGATGGGGAAGCTTCTTCTGCAATGGTGGCGGAAGCTCGATCCGGAGATCCTGGTGGCGTCTTGGCAGTGGCAGTGGCAGTAGCAGTCTTCTTATTGTCCTTACCATCATTCAAAAGCTCTTCCGAGAAGCGAATCTCTTCCTGCAACATTTCCAATTCATTTCTGGATTTGGTGAGCGGATCCGACAATTGACTGCTCCCCGAACCACCCGTATTGACGGATTCCCCAATGGTCTTTTCATCGTCCTGGATTTTGACGGGAGAACTGGGATTGTTGTTGTCATTGTTGTTGCTCCCATTGCGATCGGGAGATGAAGGTCCTGTAGCTGCCGTCATGGTTGGAGTTGAATACTATTAATAGTACTGTGCTATGCGATGCTATACTATATGTATTGTTTGGTGTTTGGGCAATGCTACCGGTATATCAATCGTATGAAAACTGAAACGCGGTTCTTGGTGTGGTACCGGCAAACAAAGGAGAGTGTAGGTACAGTACAGTAGTCAGTCGGTCGCCGTCAATTCACACGAGTAGACCTGGGTAATGGCTGGATTGCTCAATGGCGGGAAACCCAAACGCTAGAGAAGAGAGTGCTTCCACTCGTCAAATTGTATTGGCCGGCAGTTTTGAACGGAATCGCCGTATGTGTTCTTCTAATTACACTGCTGTTGGAAAAGACCGTTCCGCCGGTCGATCTTTTAGACTGCGAAAACGGATCTACAATTGTCTAAATAGCAAATGAATACGCGGAGCCTTATGACCTCCAATTAGGAGAACGGATTTGAAAACAAACGAACACATGCCATATTGTCATTGCGGACTGTATTCCCGCGACCAAAAAAATAGCGGGTGAGAAAAATAGCGGGACTTTGAAAGTACCTAAAAATTGGGCAGGGAACTGGACTACCGGTAATACTGTAAGGTATTAGTACCAGTACTCGTAGACATGGAGCACACTTCCCTCCGGCAGACCAAAATAGTAAAGCATCATATGTTGTATGCGGTACCAGGTACCCTGCTAGACATTATGTACGTACTACAGTATTTGATTTCATTCCAAGCTGATTCCTGGTTAGAAACGGAAGATGGCTCATTCAAGAAGAAAGCCAACAGAATAGCAGAGCATTATTCTCCTTGGTCGTGCTGTCTGCTCAGCAACCATTGCCTTAGCTAGGGGGGTGGAACGGGGCCATAATGTCACAGGTCACAGATCGTCATCTCTTCCTGGCCCTAGTAGAGGCTCACCAACTTTTCGTCGGCGCTGCCTACTATTTACTCAGTATGTTTACCTATTCAATATTACACGTATAGTAGGTCCCCTACTAGTATTCTCTATCAATTTTTTGTATTTACAAAATGTTACTACAACCATATTACTTTTTGGCTCGAATCAAGTACACAGTCTCCAAGAGTTGGTCCAACCCGGCATATCGTTGTTGTTGGGCTGGATTGTCCTTGAATGAATCTTTTTCCGATACTTTCTTGATGGATTCCACCCATTCCAAACCACCGTACAATTCTTGAACGGCGCTCTCTGGAATGGAGAAGGGTGGTCCCTTTTTGGCAAACTCTTCGGGGCCCACACGCTCCAAGACGACCAACAGTAGAATACCACCTTTGGCGATTAGATTCGAAATGATTTGGACGTAATCCTTTCTCATTTCAGGTTCAATAGCCACCATAGAGGCCCGATCGTAAATGGCTTCAAATTTACCTTTGGTTTGGACTTCACCCAATTGAAAATAGTCTCCCTTTAACAGTGTAATCTTGTTGCCTTCGAAGCGTTCAAATCCATCCACGGTGCCCTTGTTTTCAATCTTGAGATGGGCATGTTCTTGTGCAAATTCCACCAACGCCGTTTGGATGCCTTCAATCCCATACACCTCCGACGAAATCTTGGCCAAATATGCCATGTCGACCGTCTTTCCACACAAGGGAACCAAGACACGGGAAGTGGAACAAGAAGCTCCTCCTCCTTCTTTCTCTTCGTTTGGCAAATCATGCTGTAATAGGTCCTTGGCAAATTGCGTCAAAATGGGATTGACGTCGGACATGTGAAAGCCAATTTGACGGTTTTCCCACTATAAGTTTCGTAACAGTTAGGGTTAGGGGTATATGACCAACCGAAAAAATTATACGGTATTCTAATATGATGATAGCAGACATAATATAATAAAGAACGACTTACTCGGTTCAACCATGGCTTGAGGTTGGGAGTATTTTCATCAGCAGCACCACCAGCAGGTACGTCAGACATGGCAAATGATAGACAAGGGACTGTATAAAAGATTATTATTAGAAGTAGTAGTAACGGCGTCAAGAGAAGTACCGTTGCCGAAGACGATGAGGGCGATGACATGACGATCCTTAATTGTTGGATCTTTTGGTGCGGTGTTCTGGATCCGAATTTGGACTAGTTCGAGTAGACGGATAGATGGATGGACTGTCGCTCTCTTGATCGACAGACTGACGTCATATTTTATCTTGGTCATTCATCACATTTTGGATCCAAGATCGAAGGCACTTTTGGCAGGGTGAGAAAAGGAGCACGCTTCATTCAGACAGACTAAAATGGTAATACCCTAATACCAGTAACAGGTAGATATCACGCTGAATCCTGGTTAGAAACGGAACATAGTTCATCCAGGAAGGCCAGTCCGTAAAGCAGCCTTGCTTCTTGCTTCTTCTGCGGCCGCGGCACTATCGTTGGCAAGAAGGTTTGAAGAAACGGAGCACACGTCATTCAGGCAGACCAAAATGAAAAAAACATTGGGCTGGTAGATACTGTGTATTGCTTGGTTTCCTTCCAAGACTGGTTCCCGGTTAGAAACGGAATATGGTTCATTCAGGAAGGCCAGAAGTGCGATACTAGAGGAGCTTTGTTCACCACCGTAAGGTCGCTGTTGGGCGGCTGGCGAGTCATGAATTGGTAAAGTCGCCGTCTCCTCTGTAGTTTACTACTGATACCTGGTAGCATGCAGAAACAGTGAAGATTCCACAGAGTTCGATGATTATTTGCGTTTCTTTTACCGGCCTGACCCTTCCTTATATCTCAAAATGATGAAGGACATCGTATGCTCCATGGGATGTCCGATGTCCGATCGTTTTGGGCGCTGTCCACTATGTAGAAAGTTGGAAGCAACCAAAGTTCCGCTGAGTCATTCAGAGTATTGTGAGTACAACTTCCGTTGTGAACCCCTTCTTCCCTTCTATTACCTTCTTTTGTCGATCATCAGGAATCTTGGGTTGCAAGAATGACAGTCATTGTTGCCGTGTATCAGCACACACGACTAACAAGACAACATTAAATACCGCGTTAAGGTCGTGGTAACAATCCTTTTACTAAGGTAATGTACGCATCTTCTGTGGGATACGTCAATTGTGGTACAGTGCATGCGCTGACTTTCCAGAAAATGGGCATATATACCGGTAGTTAGCATCAATGATAATTTCCAATAAAAAGTCGTTCTTGGAAAATGGTTGCCCAAGAGACATTCGGACGCTCTGTTGTCATTTCCATCAGCATCCATAAATATGTATTTGTCTCGTACTTATAGTCAAATTCACTCATCGCGATCTCCACATTTGTGACTCTTGGAAATGTCCCGTCCTCACATCTTTTGTTTTTGCAAAAATTAAAATCAAGCAATACCTCAAACGCTTCCATATTTACAGCATTTTACAAAAACAACAGCATGTGGGAAGGAAGAAAACATCTCGTGGCACTTGCTGCAGTAGCAGCTATTACAACATCACATGCCTTCACCACCGGACCAGGACCTCGTGTACAGCACAAGTCACAACCAATGAACAGAGGAGTACAGTTGCGTGCGGTTGGCGCTTTCGAGTTGCCAGGGAAAAGCCCTTTCACAAAACCTTCATGGATTCTACCCAAAGCAAAAAAATCAAGTCCAACAGGACCACTAGATACTTTCAACTCTAACGGTATCGCTTCGAAGCCTTCAATCGAGTCCAATCAACTGCAAAAAAAAGAATCCTCACAGCCCACCGCAGTCTCCCATTGGAAGGACGCATCATTTCGATGGGCCATCCCACTCCTTGGAGCGATTCTTGGGGCAGGCTTGGCTGGCCCAATCTCATCACGCTTCTTTGACCGCGCTGCCACAAAGGGAGTCAACGTTGCTGCTATCATGTTCCTAGGAGGCTTTGGGGGCGCCATTGCCGATGCTTTGGATGACGATGGAATTTGGGTCGCACCTGAAGAGTCTTCGCCGCTCAATAAGATTTGCCCAACAATCTTGGAGTTGACATTGCATTTGGGCACCTTCTTGAGTGCAGTATTCACAAGCACCTGGTCAAATCCCGTCCCGTTTGCCATGCTGAGCGCAATGTACTCTTATGCTGTGCTTATCGGAGGCAAAGCCGTACCAGATTTCAAGAACAAGCGTGGTGAAGCCGTGATTATTACCCTGTGCCTTTTACCACTATTTGGTATGTTTGGTGCTCGAATGGCAACATCCTCACTCTACACCAACACTCTGATTGCATCCTTCGCATCAACCTGTCTCTGGCTGAAGAAGATTAAGAAGACCAGTTTCTTCCAACAAAGACCTGACTTGACCTCAGCGATCACCTCCTCGGGAATCTTTCGCGCCCTTCCACTAATGGCGATGACTCCGTTTGGAGCGACCAGGACTCTGCTTGCGGGTTTGGCTGTCTTCTTTTCGGACAACCTCGGATACCGGCTTGCCAAGTTCTGTAGTCTATCGAGCTTTCGAAACAAGATTCTCAAATACGGCATGGCAGCATCTGGAGTCGTTTGGAGCAGCGCCTATGCATCCTACGGGTACCTCAAGCAATATCCATTTAGCTTTACTACAGTGAGCTACAATCTTACTTGGGAAATCTTCTTCAGTCTCGAGAAGACTCTCTTCGAATCTGGCAAACTGAGCGTGAAAGCAATCGCTCCAGTACTATGGCTTTTGCTTGACCTGACCATGATTCTACGGTGCGAAGGCCTGTTCAGTAAGGCCGCATTGAAACTATTTGGAGTTGTTTCGGGTTCATTGGCGGTCCTTCTTTCCTTGCGTGCCAAGGGAATGATTGGTGATCGCTTCTCCAATGATTTCAAGTATTCTAGCTTCCTCACAGCCATCTATCTGATGGTCGAAAGTAAGATGATGCTGGCTGCGGATCCAACGAACGCCCTCAAGAAGTTCGCCTGTTTCGGTATCGCTCTTGGTAACATGCTTGGAGCAGTCCGATCGATTTGGCGCGTGAATACAGAAAACGTACAGTATTCCTACTGGATGCCAGTAATCTTGGCATGCATGTTGCAGGGCGGGTTCGAGATTTGGTCTCTAGCAGTTGGACTACTATGAGACTCACAATGAAATGTCTTTTGCAACTCATCGCCCGCTCTATGGAAACATCATCTCTTTGCCCAGATGATGAAACTTCAGCAGGTGCTCAAGAAAGGTGGACACATGGACACATTCCACCAACCGAAGAATGAATAGAATCCATATCTTCATACGATAGAAATGATAAGTAAATATAACATAATCATCATGTTGCATACCTTCTTTTCTTGGACTTTTGCCCCTGCTCGTCACTTGTATTTGACTTGACATATTCCACAGCATCGCCGACAGTACTTGCGTCCCATAGCCGCCAGTTGTAGCGCAACATCATGATAGCTTCGAAAAGGGCAACAGAGATTGTATCGTCTTGGGCTGCCTTGTGCTGGCGAGCATCCGACCAAACTTTTTCCATTTCAGAAGAAGAACCAATAATGAAATCGCAGTCCGAATATTCTTCTTCGAGATGATAGATGGACCTTAGACTAATATTATCACGAGATGGCAACGAAGCTTGCCTCTCCTTCCTGCAAACAAAGGCCTTGAAGTCGTCAGCTCTGCCCACTGGCGACGCGGCCATTGTCGGACGTTTCAACTGCTGGCAAGCAGTCGTCTCCACATCATTGAGCAACGCAAATTTCTTTCGCTGGATCTTGCAGACACCGCTGATAAAGTTCACGTCCTTTAGCTTTTTTGATAAGGGATGGATATACTTGGTACCAAGTTTGTGATCAAACCACTGAGATTCAATGTCATGACTGTGGGCATCGGCATAATCGAGTAGGCTCTGGATATCTTCTCGGCAACTGCTCAATGGATGGCCTTTGGTCGTCAACCTTCGTTGAATGAACTTGAGATTCTGGAGCATCTTTTGTGCCTGCTTTGTTGCTCGATCGCTGTTAATGAGTGAATTGCAACGAACGATTATCTTTTCATCCTCGTGCTGTACAGCTTTCAAGATATCGGACTTTTTGGCATGAAATTTTGCAATCATGGTTGCTCCCGAGCTCCACCCCTCTTCCTTGTCGTCAAGAATGCGTAGAAAATTCCGCAACTCATCAGATGAATATTTGCTTTCTTGTGCCGTCTTGATTACTTCTCTTACTTCAGATATCAGTTGACCGACTCCAAAAGTAGTCCCTTTGGTTCGTTCGAGCATTTGCTTGACTTGCTTGTCAAGAAGTTGACTTTGACAATCGACGTGTGGGATTCCGAGTAGGCTTGCCACCTTTGTGATTGCATTGCAAGTTATGGCAGTCTGACAAACTAACCATTTCTGCAGTTCCCTGGAATTAAAATCGTATCGGTCTGAAAAGACTTGTTGCTGAATGTACCTGGCATGCTTCTCCGCAATAGAGTCTGCTGTCATGGTTGTGTCTTGTCGAGTAGAGCACCGCTTGACAACAGAGCGAAGTTCGTGAACTTCTCCAAGCGCAAGGAGTGTTTGAGTCACCTTTGGGCCTACCATGTAAGAAGCAACGATGCCCACAATATACCTCGAGGATTCTATCCCCTCGGAATGAAGGATGGCACCCCTTCTTGCGGCCTTCATTTCGGATCCAATTTTCTTCATCACCAGCTGATTCATCGCCAGGATGACCTCGGCAACTTGATTTTGTTGCAAGGTAATGTCTGACGACAAACCAATCTTATCTCGATATGCCTCGTCGTCGACAGAGGAAAGGGGCCAGCCTTCCTTAATTATCATCTCGATCCAACGGGACATGTGCCGTATTTCTTCTCTTTTTTGGCGTTCAGGATCGTTTGGGGTCGATTGGATCTTGGTGGTAGTAGTACTTCGAGACCTATTCCCGGTACTTGGTTTGTTAGTGGATTGCACCTTGGTTGGTGACGACTTAGCTTGGTCTTCTTGTTCATCCCGCTGTTGGATGTACATGATGTGCTTCCGACGACGAGATCGACGGACTCCAGTTGACGATTCTGACGAACGAATAGCGTCAGCTTTGGGGCTCTTCTTCTTTACCGGTATGTTGGCCATGCTTAGGTACTCTTTGGACCGACTATGTCCGGGTGGTTATTAGACGCTGTTTATCGTATTGCTGACAAGATTACTGATATGGTGCAAAAATGTAGTTGTAAGATAATGTCATCATCTATTTATAATATCGCATGAATCAATTTCGCATGAGATGTCGTCGTCTTGAAAAATATATTTGACTGTACCGTATTGTCTGTCCGTCGATCGCCATATGACTATTAATTTTTTTTAAAATGTCGCAAAACATCACACTGCGAGCATGACATATTTTAAAATATTATTTTCCCGCCCATCATTGATGCGCTTGTTGTATCATCATCATCATCATCATCATCCCATGCTATGCTATGTCATCTTTTGAAGAAGAAGTCAGACCATAATGGAGCTACAAACAAAAACAAAATGAAGTACAACGCCCAAGATTCCGTTGAGAATCTCATGGAAAAGAAAGTCCAATGCCGACAGGAGTGCTACAATGGATGAAACAAACCACCGAGATGCAACGGAGCTGTTGTTGAGGAAGCGTTAAAGAAACAAACGAAGAAGTTTGGTGAAGATGATTTTGACGCTCTGCCTAATTGGCAATATGTTATAACGCACGACCAGAAGTGTGATGAAGCTTTGGAAAAATTGAAAATACAACCGAGCTCTTATTGAGATACAAAGAAATGTTCCGAGACACTGACGATTCTACCCTAGCGTTGTCCCTATATATACAATGGCATGGCAATGTTGTTGACAAAGCAAAAGAGATGGGGTGATGCTCATGCACAGGCCTTTTTAAAAGCTTCGTCGAAGAATAGATGAGGATGATGATGCTGACACGAATGGACTAGTGGAGGCGCATAGATCTTTGCTCAAACGTCTCTTGGACGATTGGAGCTAACGGTAGCATTCTGCCTCTACTCCATCCAACGCCCGTACTGCAGCATCACCGTTGATGAGGTGAAACACGAAGACGGTCCATGACCATCATACCCAGCTGAAGTGCACTCGCAATACATATACATCCACACTACGCAAGAAGGAACGAGGGCTCCAGGAGATCACCATGCCTATGCTTCTGCTGAGGATCACCAAGCACCGTCTTCTCATCCAGAGGTGAAACACGAAGACGGCCCATGACCATCATACCCAGCTGAAGTGCACTCGCAATACATATACATCCACACTACTCTCATCTCCACCATCATTCAGACTCGACGACTCCTCCGCCACCAAGATCACACTGATTTTGGAAATACGTAAAGGACGAGCATAAGAAGCCCATTGTCACATGCGGTACCGGATGTGCATGATGAACAAACCAGAAAACAAACAAAAACCAAAGAATGCCACAGCAGCTCAAGCTAGAGCATAACTACTGGATGTCGTCTTGACTGGGGAAGAACGGTAGCCCAACACCAGCTAGTTAAATTTTCTACCTACACTCGAACCTTTTTGCTAGACCGAATTGCATATTATATAATTACGAGTCTTACGACACACTTGCGCTTCTGACTATGCACTAAATAGTGTGTGAAAATGATCCACTGAGATCATGAATATTGACCAGTGTGTTGGTCTCGAAGAAGAATCGTGACTTACAAAGAATCGTGACTTTCAACGAATAAACCACTTCTGGTTTGAGCTATAGTGGCACTCGAAGACTATAAGGCTTTGGTCGTCAGGCATGGCATCCAAGCAGCCATCCCCCATCTTTGGGCCAAAGATCCTTCTCAACAATCTGCAAAAGAAGCTGCACCTTCCCTGGTGTACCTCAATTTCTTTGCCAGGGTGAACAGACTGCCTCTCATTCTCTTCGTAGTAAAATTGCCCGCCCTCTGTGCCATTTTCGCACTCTCCGAGCGCCAAACGGCTTAGACGCTGCATTGTGTTCGGACGGATGCACATGTTGTCCGCAAAAGCGGACTGAATTGCCTTGGTTTCATCGTTGACGATCCATCTTTGGTTAGGAGAAAGATCGTCACATGGCTCGAGATTAATCTTAGTTCCGGCTTCCAGGGGTCCCTGGGCGGTGACACACTTGTTGGTGTTCTTTACGTTCTCGATTTGAGAGCCTCTTTCCACAGTCGACACACAGCTCTTCCTGTTGAGGTAGTTTTGAATCGAGTTTTGGGAAACAGGGTTTAGACCATTCCTTGCGCTATTGATATATGGCTCCATCAAAAACTCGCCAATGCGGTTATTATCGAAGAAGTGACCTGCTCCCATGTTGTGGCCCAACTCGTGAGCGAAAAGGTTACCTTGGAGCTGCCTGTTTTTGGTAAAGGACAGCTGGTTGACACCGTAGGAATAAGATCCACAAAGGGAGGGAGTGCTCTGAATATAGGCACAACCAATAACCTGAGGAAGATGAACAAAAGAGAGAAAGACGAAAACGTGAGGTTAAAGCAGGCAGCTCAAGTTCTTGAACGTTGGTAGTCACTCACACTACCAGGATATGCCTTTCCGATAAAGAAGTGGGCTGTATCTCTATGGACATCAGCTCTGGAGGTTTCCCAAATGTTTTGGAAATTTTGTAGTGTACCTTTGCCACCGCTACATCCAATGTGGTAGGCATTTTGTACCGCCTGCACGTAGGGATCTTTCCATGGGTCGCAGAAGCCTTCTAGGTGCGTCACCCGCAGAAGGACGCACATGGGTTCGTACAGAACCGAAGCACGGGCAACAGCTTGTTCGACCACACTGCGTGCCATGTTCTCATCGTTGCCGGCCACTTGGGCGCAAAAGGTAGAGTCATAGGCGATGGCGACTTCGACTTCTTTATAAGTTTTGCAAGAGCCTTTGACTTGAAGAGAGCGCCCACCGTTGTTCTGGGACAGTTCTTCGCGATACATCTCCTCATCTTCAATGAATTCAGTCTCAATGTCACCTAGCGGGAACTGTTTGAGCCTTTCCATGTCAAAGTCTTCCGGACGGATAGAAGCTAAAGTGCCGTCCCCGACTGCTTCCATGCTGGCAAACTCTGATCCATCCACAAAAATGTTCACGGACTGGACCTCGCCTTCTTTCTTTGCGACCAACACCGTCTCTCCAACAGGTCCTTTACCCTTGAATACACGGGTACGACTGGTGTTGGAATCTTCCAGAGGTCGAGGTTCACCGTTCACACTAATGCTGGCATCGTCGGTGTAGATCTTAAATTCTTGCAAATCATCAACAACGGAGTATGTCTTCCCGTTCGCACTGACGGTTCCACTAGCAGATACCTGCTGGGTTGGAGTGTCTGCGGATGGGAGGAGAAAATTATCCTCTTTGAAATCTTGGAGGGCTTCGTCGTTTGCTTCGCTGGTTCCCGATGATCCACGAAGAGCAGGGTCGGTGATTTCCTGGTTGGCGAAAAGGATATGTTAGTCATGGCCATTCGTACCATGCATTCTCAAAGCATAGTACGAAGTACTCCGGTCTTACCGCAGCTTCTATTTTACTGAAGCAGAAGGAGCAAGCAAAGAGAGACGCAGCGATAGATAGCTTCATGTTCTTGGACCTTATTCGGATTCGTTTTGCTGGAAATTGAAAAAGTGAGAATTGGAATGCAATGTTTGGGAAAGGTAAAAACAGTCCACTCGTTTTTATCTCGATGCAAGTTTTTCTTGCGTTGTAGGTAGCAATGCTGCATAGTACCTACACAACCGCGTCAAGCAATTCGCAAGGATGTCGTCGAAATGGCATAGCCTAGACGCGCTTGGGTGTTCTTTGATTGGCGTACTAGGCGCGATAGCTTGTCACAATACAACTTCTTTTCACGTGGGAAGTAGCAACACTGTATGGTGCCTACACAGCCGCGCCAAGAGATTTGAAAAGATGTCGTCGAAATTGCACAGCCTCAACGCGCTTGGGTGCGTTCTCTACTCTGATTGGCGTCCTAATACAGCGCGATAGCTTGTCTCAATGCAAGTTTTTCTCACGTGGTAAATAGCAATGCTTCATAGCACCTACACAGCCGCGTCAAGATATTCGCAAGGATGTCGTCGGAAATGCATAGCATCACCGGTGGGTTTCTGTACCTAAGGGGAAATTGGATGCAGTCACGTGTGACCCCTGGCTTCTTTTCAATAAAAGGCAAGACCGATGCTACAAACTGGTCTCTCCCCCATTGAAGAAATCTCTCGATCGAGCAATTGAAGTACGATGATACAGCTGCCTGAGGTTTTGCTGGTGCCAGGAGGAGTGTGATCAGTTCGTCCAGGTCTATCCAATTAGAAATCGACAGTCCCAACCTGTATATATATAGAACGCAACAGCATAGGTCGCTAGAGGAAGCACTATGGCGATGGAAGAAAGCTGCATTTCCGTCAGGTATACGTAGCTACCTCATCGTTGGATAGGGATAGCTACGCCTTCAATGTTGTTCAAGGCGTATTTTACAGTACAGCAACGCATGGTCAATCTACTTCTGTTGTTGTATTGCGTGTCGATGATTGGACTAATTAGACCTCTAGTTTCAAAAATCTCCACTGCGCCACCATCATTATTATCCCTTTTTGTTCGAGTCAGCACTACAAGAATATGTTGGCTGTCTGCGCTGATGCGGCAGCAACCTTGGAAATTTATTCAGCTGTCAACGTTGGGCTGGGTTTGTTGGAAGTTGGCACTACCTATAGTGCACAAGCCTTCAAAATGCGTCGAAAATGTGTTGGGGACCACATGTTGCTTGTTGCAAGAACGTGCGTCTCTTGGAGAATCGGAGCTAACGAGGGCTAGCCCTTGAGAGTCGCTTTGTTGACCAAACTCCCACTTTTAGTAGATAATACAAAACCATCTCAGCACCTGTGCTGTTGAATTATCGTCCTCGATTTGCCTGAATAATGTTTCGAATATTACGGGCGGCACCAAACGTCGAACGCCCTCCAAAGACCACCAGGCTGGTCATGTAAATGGTTCGCAGCTGCTCCTCCGTCAGATCCAACGCAACTTGTGCTCCGCCGTAGCCACCCACCATGGCCCCCAGCGCCACGGACACGGCGGCTTGCACAGGAATGGAATGAATCCTCGAAGCGGCAGACACCAGAATGGAAGGAATGAGGGCACAAACGGCCGTCCCTTGAACGTAGTGATGCGGTAAATGTGTTGCTTCGGTAATGTAGGACATGGTGAGGGGAAGTCCTCCCACGCCCATCAAGGCCGAGATGATGCCAGAGCAAATACCAAAGGATGCATGCTGTGCCACTTGTGGCCAAGTAAGCGGGTGACTACTTCTGGCAGTAGCAGTAGCAGTAGTACAAACGGGGTCGATACCATCGTATTCTTGTCCCTTTGAACTGACTTCGGGTTGTCGCCCTTTGGCACGCTTTTGAATGTAAAAATGGGTAGGAATCAGCACAATGCTGAATCCGTTGAAAAACAGAGCCAAGGCATCACCCGACAGTTTCTTGGCAATGTGACTCCCGACACGAGCTGAGAACACGGCTGGAATCCCAATGGCGAGCACAATTGGAAGGTGGACTCGATCCTTTTCCCAAAAGCGGTAACCTGACGACAGCGTCGAGACGGACAAGGAGGAAAGTGAAATTCCGGTAGCACTGAGCTGGGAATAATTGGCAAAGCTCATTGGCAGTGTCATGGAGGGAATGATCACTTGAGCTCCACCCCAACCACATAGACCTACTGCGCACCCTGCAGCAGTACCAACTGTGAACGCGTAGAGATTCCGCTTGGGTTGAATCTTGGAAAGGATGCTCGAGAATTTCATGGTCATTGTTGATGTTGATTGAATTGATTCAACAGAGGGGGATTTACGGCGGCAAGAATCCTTTTATCTCAATTGGCATTTCATTTTCATCGCTTTCTCAAAACACACGGGTAGGGAATGATAGGTTTGTGTTTGGTAAATCACAAAAATGGAATGTTACATGTACTGTAGATGATTTGTTGAGAGCTTCGTTGCGGTCAACATTCATTCACTTCTGTGACCGGCATTATTTTTTGTTGTTGCAAAAAAAGATACGTCCTGTCCGGCGCCCGCTTTCATCATTGGAGATATGGGGAATAAGAAAAGTACGACGGATCGCCGCAAAACGCACGCGCGCAATGCCACTCGAAGCAAAGTTCACATATCATTTAAAACAAACATGAACTCAGTTCTTGGTCAGCACATCAGTTGTACATTGAACGACGGCAGAGTTGTATCTGGGAAACTAGTATGCCTCGACCGCTTGCGAAATCTTATTCTCACCGGAGTCACGGAAGAGCGAATCGCACTACAGTCCGATTATGCCAGTCAGGGCGACGCTGCCATACGAGTGAAACGCAGGCTGAGCCAAGCAATGGTACCAGGTTCACGATTGAAGAAAGTGGAGGTTCAAAAGCATGTATTTGATCGAATGGAGAGTGCCAAAAACTCGACATGAACCATATAAGCAGGAACGGCAATAACAAACAACAATTCCAAAAAACAGTTCGATTATACTGACAATGGACTCCGTCGTCCCAGGCAGCTTTTGCAGGAACTACCACAAGGCCGCGCGCTTCACATATTCCAGCTAGCATTACAGTGAACCTACCAAAAGATGGGCTGGTAGATCAATAGCCTGAACCTTCAACTTATGTGACCTATAAAGTAAATGGTGATACCAGAAGAATGATGATCTGAATTGATGATTTTATTTTTATTTCTTGGCTTGAATCAGATAGACCGTCTCCACAAGGCCATCCAATCCTGGGGATCGTTCCTTAACACCTGGAAATGATATTAGCTGATCCTCTTTGTGCAGCAAAGTTACTGATTCTACCCAATCCAATCCTTCGTAAATTTCCCGCACACCAGTTTCGGTGATGGAAAACGGCGGACCCGTTGCCATTGCCTCTGGGGTACCGATACGTTCATAGGTTACCAGCAGAATTCTTGCTCCTTTTGCGAGGAGTCCTCCCAATACCTTGACATACTCGCTTCTCAAGGCCGGATTAATGGCGACCAAGGAACCACGATCGTATACCGCATCAAATTGCCCTTCGGTATGCCCTTGTGACAACTGGAAATAGTCCCCCTTCAACAAAGTGATTTGTTTGCCTTGAAAGCGTTCAAATCCGTTGGACGTCCCCTTGTTTTCAAGTTGAAACTCGGGATGTTCGGCGGCAAATTCCTCCAGAGCAGTCTTGATGCCTTCCACTCCATACAAATCACCCGCACGACTCGCCAAATAGACCATATCCAAAGTCTTTCCACAGAGTGGGACAAAGACACGAGTCGCGGAGCAATCCTCTTCACCTTCTGCCATCAAGAGTTTATCGGCAAACTTGGTCAGCACGGCATTGACGTCTGACAAGTGAAATCCAATTTGTCGGCTTTCCCACTATATCAGTGATTGTATTGTTGGATCGAATTTTTGGTTTGGGTGCAATGGTGATAGTGATGATGATGATGTATGTATATATATATATATACGATTTAAAAAGATAAAATGAGACAAGAGGTATGCATCCACATTATATAAAATCATCATCTTATATTCTTCGCGCTTACCCGATTCAACCACGGTTTGAGATTTTCCGAGTTTTCATCCGCCACGTCGGCCGTCACCATTACCGACAGTGCGAGAAGCAAGACTCCCAAAAGAGTTAGGCTTTGTTGTGATATTCTTTTAGTAATCAGCATCTTCGTTCCTATGGGATGATTGAAGTCAATTGTGATGGTTCTGATGTGGCGATGTGGTGATCTGGGCAATATATATGATGATGATGATGATATAGATGACGGAGAAAGGCCATTTCGGATTTCGAGTCAGTCGAATGGTTCGAATTTGGGGAATGATCCCCCTCGCTCAATAAACTGAAAACCAGAAACCCATAAATGACAATCCAGAATTTGTCGATGCGAGCAATCCACGTTATTCTTGTGATCGAGATTATTGGAGATCTACCGTAAGCATCGTCACATACTGTAGTCATAACAGGATACCATCCAGCCAAAATCATGGGTGCAAGACGACAGAATGTGTCAACGATGATTCTTCTACAACTACTGCTGGTACATGCTGTGCGAGGAATCCTAGCGTTTTCAGGGCCTGCTGTGACCAGCACCAGCAGTGCATTTCGAAGAAGAACAATGATGATACGACAGTCAAATAACCCAAGACTGTCATCGTCGTCCCGACATCACCCGTTATCTTCTGAGGCGGATGATTCGTCAGATCGATTGGGTGGAGTTCGTCAAGCCGTTTCCGAGATTGCCAATACGGGGCTGAAAGATACGGTGCAGGCCGGCGATGTGATCATTGCCAAGGTGGATTTGCCAGGACAACAAATATATGCCAATAAAGGATATCAAATTGTTTCCATCTACGATCAAGTGGTTGACAAAGAAACGGGCCAAGTGGAGAAGTATCTAGTGGATCAGATAGAAGACATGACGGCCATAAAATCGGGATCCTACACTCGGTATTTGCAACTTCAGGTAAATTCGGAACAAACAGCAATTGTCACTCCGCAAGAAATTGGGTTGGTGACACTCAAGGATGAATTGACGCTATCCTTGTGGCTAGCCGTTCCTGGATGCTTTTGGATCGTGGTCGCTTGGAATTTTGCACATTATTACAACGAGCGGTATGGGGGGAACTTTATGGATGCCATGTTTCGGACGTAGGGTATGGTGTCGCATCATCTCATCCTATCCATCCTCCTATGGTGTATGTGAAACTGGTGTTTGTGTTGCAGAATCGATTGTAGGTTTTACAAATGTGTTCGATTGTAGGTCCTACTACTATTATTACTACTGTTTCTGTGTAGTATTGTGAAAATGACCGATACCATTCTGGTTGATAGAGGCAATCAGGTCTACTATGCCTTCCTTTATTTCCACGCACCACTAGTTTCATGTCAATATCAACTAGGAACAGTGACCATAAGCCATACTTTCTTGTACAGTTTTGATTGCTCTCACCCTTCATCTCTAGTGGTGTCAAATTATTTTCTGTCGTTGCTTCGACGTCATCACTGCTTCGACGTCATCACCTCGATCCAGCAACATTTAAAAAATACTCCAATCGAGAAAGCAAACCTTTCGGCATGATAGAAAGCAGTGACGTACATTCATTATTGTCCTTTCCATCCACATTCGACCCGTACATGTCTCTTTACATGCACACAAGCTCCACGATCCAGCAGCAACCGAGCAATCTCCAAAACCTCTTTTGCTTGCCATTAACAAAGAGCGTTCTACCATTGCAATCCTTTGCCTCCACTTGAGACATACCGGTACTATGTAGTTGTACCGGTATGAGGATTTTCTTTTGTTTCGAGGAACGAACTGTAGACTCTTCAAGTCATTTGGATGACTCATTTTACGTCTTGAGACAAATTTAGTTAACATTTTTTAAAAAGTGCCGAACACAAGCTCAAAGTAACGCGATAATCCTGCCACGGGTGCGTTTTGTCGGATGTGAAGACTGCACACCGAGAGGATTGTCACTTTGAAAACAAGTATTTAATAACACAGAAAAGGAAGCAGGAAACAAAAGATGAACAAGCTACCGGTACCATCTTTTCTTAACCTACTAATATTGGCTATGTTGGCTTTTGTGCTCCCTAACAGGAACTTGAATTTTGGTGGGGAGATGAGACAGGAAACGAATGTGCAGACAGCCATGACTGTAGCTCCGCAGATCCAGACAGATGAGACCCCCCCGCCCCAAACAGCACCACCGCAAACAGCACCACCACAGCCACTCTCACAAAAGCTTAAATTGCGAAGAGATGGAGACCCATATCCCATGTCACATCTGGTTGTCCTCGTGCAAGGTCCCGTCCGAATATTGGGTGACTGGAAACAGCGACTCCGCGATGCAGGCATGGAAAAGAAGGTTTTATTGGTCTATGCATCCTTTGATGAACCAGCTCAAGATCCCGAATGTGATGTCTTGGCAAATGGCCAATGGTCCCCCTTTTGTCGCACAATGTTTATCCCCGGTACAACTTGGACGGAAGGAAGAAATGAACTGGTCAAGTATGCTCACTGTGAAGAGCAGATTAGAGAGAAAGAGTTTAGATATTGGATCTTTTCGGATGACGATGTAGACCTCAGTTGCCACATGCCTGAAGATATGAACATCACGACCAACAACTTGAATGGGGCCGTCTGCTGGAAATCTTATTTTGACTTTTTGGAAACGCAAATGCCATCGTCTGAAGGTGTGTTCTATGGCTTGCGAGATCCAAAGAGGCTCAGGAAATTAAACCAAAAAGGAATCGTCATTACCGCAGAAGTGGATGCAATTCTCAATGCCTTTGATAGAAAATATATCAAGATTCTGATGCCTTATGTCTTCATGAAAAAAGACGATTCCTGGTGGATGTCGCAAATGATGCACTTCAATTTGGTACACAGATGCTTTGGTGCCGCTGGAATCGTTCCCCTCTTTATCAATTATGTTAATGACATACACCGCGAATATCCAAGGGGCTTGGAATTTAAAAAGGCAAGCGCATTGTTCAACCGAAATTATGAACAATACATGGGCGTCGACTTTCATGGTCGCGGCAAACTTGGTCATAACCAATTCGATCATATGCAGGGGCCTTTTCTCGACTTTGCAACAGCAGCCGTGCAAGTACAAAAGCAATTGGAGAACTCTCAGGCATCCTGTGGTAATTTGACGCAGCGCTTTCATGATTGGGAAGATTCATGGGGAACATGCATTGCCTTTCAACAACGCTTAGAAGAAGAGCAGGGTCGAAAGTCTCAACGGTAGGTACTGAGGGCAAATGATGAGACAACCAAGACGTAATCTACAACACTGTAGTCAGTGTGCGATGAATATGTTAAGAATTGAGTATTGCTTACTTGTTTGAAGTTTTTCAAGGTAGGGACGAATAGTTCCTGTCAAAGTGAACATCCATTTGAGGTTTGTCAAGGGTTGGCACTGTTAGATAATAAAAGATCCAACGACACTCTGAGTCTTCAGTTGTTCGGCGTAACGTAGTCCTAATACTATGAACCTTAAAGTTGTCAATAAAACTTGCTTTAGTTGGGATAAGAGTTTTCGAATGACCAAAGCAAACTCATGCTTTCGGTCATCCCAAAAACTCTCTACACAGTTTTAGCTACTGTAATTCATTTGTTCATCTTACGAACAACATCTGCCAATGATTGGTTCTCCATGCTCTCATGGTTGATGTATGACAGTTTAGACTCGTCACTACCTGACTCAGGGGAGTCGTCTGTACGACTTCCAACACGCTCCTTGACTGATTCTTCCTCATCATCCTCTAGTAGAGTATCAAAGGCTTGGTGAAAAAATCCGCCAGCATCTTTGCGGTTGGACAGTACACCACATCGACTCCCTCGGACAACAATTGAAGCTTAATAAAATAAAAACGATTGTCGATGTGTTTTGACTTTTTCCGGCTGACTTCTTACCGTTCAAAAGGATCTTCATAGCGCTCTGATTGTCCTGGTACAGCCTGTTCTTTTCTAGTTCAAAACCTTGTTGTTCCAAAAACATTCTCACCCAAATCATGTTCGGCAAAAAATCGCTCACGCCCACAACTTCTCCTTCAGTTGAGCTCTTCACATCAAGCCCCTGTTTCTTACACATGGTCAAAAGTACGCCCATCCAAAAGAGATGCATCCTCCGACTCCAGTGCGACTTTTGCAGTTGTCGTGGATTCCATACAAAACATCCACCCATGCTTGCATCCTTCTGATGTTGTCTCAACCAATGATTCTTTTCAAGTCTATCGGACCTTTCAAATCTTTTGCCACTTCTCTCACGTCGAACAGATAAGCCTTGGCAGGCAAAGTTGCCTCTCTATTGATATCCTCCATGAACATATCAATTGCTTTCAGAATATGCTTCTTCATGCTGATCTCTACTTTGTCATCTTTGTAGCTTATCTTCATTCCCAAAAACCCATGCTCTCCGCCATACTTGTTTGTCATCTTTCCAAACTTGGCTTCAATCTTCCCGATGATATCCTGTACAACCTCCAATTTCACATGACTGATGTTATTATTGTCTATATACCAGCAAATCCTGCAGTGTTTTCCATCAATATTACAGTTGGCAACGCACAGATTGTAAGGATTAAGCTTAAAACTCATATCCATGAGAGTTTCCGAGCAAAGTTCATACCATAAAATCGAGCTTTTTACGCACCCATATAATGCTCTGTCCAATTGTACATAGAGCACTTTCTTTCCCCTCACGACGGTGACAAATTCCTTTAGACTGGGATCAAGCCCAAAGAAGATATTGACTTCAGGTCCCGAAATGCGCATGATTACTCTATCCTTCATCTTTGCATTTAGGTAAGCTCCTCTGACGTCGCTGGTGGTCTTAAACCTTCCCTTGATTGCGTTGACGATGCAGGTGATAAAAAGCGAGTCTTGATCTACAGTAGGAGAAGCTGTCTCATCCTTGGTGTAGATTCCCCGCTGCACTCGACCATTGAAATTGCTCCTAGCTCCTAGCACTGGATTTTCATCGGTGTGTCCTCTATTGATCTTTTCCTCAATAAGATTGATCATGTCTCCGGCTCCTCTCTCTTCTTCCAAAGAAATGCCGTCAGGTCCGTCTGCTTTAACTCCGTGGAAAACTTGGAACTCCAGCAAATGTGCAAACTCCGCAATTAGCTTCAGTTCTGCTTCTTTGTTGTACTTCATGAGGCCCTGCTTGGCAGACATTTGGGCAAACGCAAGTCCGGTGGTATATCGCTCCAACAGGTGTGTCTTTCCGGTGAGCTGGTGTTCCTCCCATGGTACACAAGTGAAAAAATCCACCTTTCCTTCCTTTTCCAAATCTTCAAACCTCTTGTTCAAAAACAAAAACTAGACCTTTTTCTTTTTGGCCTTCTTTTTATTTGCCAATCTTTTTGAGATCGAACTTTTGCTAGTCTTATTTCTTTTCTTATTGTGACTGGCTCTGTTTCTCCTCTGAAAGCTGTTCACCTTTCCCTTTGCCTTCCCAGTGGTCTTCTTGATCTCTGTCGTTTGCAAAGCGGAATTCTTTTCAGCAGGTTTTCTTTCTCTCTTTCCTCTTCCAAAGTCTTCTCCTTCGTTTGTGTCAAGATGACCTCCAGATTACTGGCTGTCACTACTACTGTCTGGCCCCGCTCATCTTACAAACAACATCTGCCCATGACTGGTTCTCCATACTCTCGCGGTTGATGTATGACGGTTTAGACTTGTCACTATCTGATTCAGGGGAGTTGTCTGTACGACTTCCAACATGGCACATCAGGCGGCCCAAGCCAGAACTGCGCAACGACATAACGCGAGCATATGCTTTTCGGATATTGTAGGCTTTATTGACCCATTAAAGGTATTGATTCTAGAGGATACTCTGTACTTGATATTTGATGAGTTGACAAAGAAGTATGATCTGTTCAAGAAGGAAACAGTTGGTAATGCACAAATATGGCAGTGCAAAAGATTTTACATCCGCAGCCCTTTTATACTCTTGTCTCTCGTCCGCCCAAGGAAAATTGCACGGCATACAGTATGCTGCTAAGCTTTCTGGCAATCAAAACAATAACCAAGAATGATGAAAGAATATTCAAAGCACCTGCCGGAAGTACGAACGTGCAATCCTCCATTCCCGCATTCGAACTCCAGTTTTCATTGGACTGCGCAAATACACCATCACAAGACAAGAACTATGATGGAACTGAGCAATG